ACGATCGACGATTTGGAAAGAACGGGAAGTTCAGAGGCCGGAACAACGGATCTCGGCCTGTGCATAATGCTAATTTGCGTTCGGAAATCAAGGATGTTGATCAAGTCAGCAAAGCGCGGCAGAAGAAGGCAGACCACATCTCTCACCTGAAGAGCAAAGGGTCAGCTAAGGGAAAGAAATTTGGTGGGAAGAATGGAAAGAACTTTGGTGGGAAAGATGGAAAGAGAGGAAAAGGGAGGAGGTGAAGGGATTTCAAGTTGATAATAGACCCTTGAAGATTTAGGGGGCAGAGTCTTTTGGGGGATCCATGCATGTTCTTCCTGGTGCTAATGCATGTCCTTTCAATTAGTGGCAGCAATCTGCAAAAGCGCCCTCATATCTCTATTTTCTTTTCTTATGCAATGATTCAAAGGACTCGATTCCAGTGGTGTGGTATGAATAATGGCTACAATGTTGACTTAAATGCGGTGTGTGTAAGTTACTGTGATCGTCACGGAAAAATCCAAGAATCCTTTTTCCTTACAAGAGAGCAATGACCATGTCAATCTTTGAAGATTAATAACTTATGTAGAGGTTAATTGAAGCTTGATGTGTTTCTTCGTCTATAACTATTCCCGGACTCGTTTAATGTTATTATAAAAATATAAAAGCTTGTGTCCGAAAGGAATTAAAAAAAAAGACAAGATTATAGAAAATGCCAATGATCAAGTACGTTAAGATTTAGAACAAATACCAACTTTTATTATTTTACTTTTAAATATGTCTAACGCGATAGTTGTATCATTCAGCTTGGTTCTATGGTGTAGTGGTTAGCACTCTGGACTTTGAATCCAGCGACCTGGGTTCGACTCCCGGTAGAACCTTTTTTTTCCTTTTTATTTTTTTCTCTCCTCCACATCCCGCCTGCTTTTCTTCCTATCAGCCTTCTCTGAAGAACGACTTTATGATCAATTCACTTATTTTTCCTTTCCGGAAAAGTGAGATGAAAATCCACGTGCTTCCATCAATGATCCATCATAAATCCAAAAACCTAAACTAATCAAAATCTCATTCAACTTAACAATATGCCACTCATTGCAATGATGAGACCATCTCCTTCCAAAACTCTTCCTTGCTTGTGCTGCACTATTGGGCTGCCTGTCATCTAATCATGCACGTAATGTGACTATTATAATTCTATTTCACACTTTACCTGTAATTACTAAGTTAGTTACATGAAAGAGAGTCGTGTTGTTGCTCATAATATTATGCACACAAACAAAAGCCAGTTCTAATGTTCTATCTCTCATTCTCATCATTTCATGCAAATCTTTTCCCAACTTGATAATGAAAGAGAAGTACGACTTCATCGCACAACTGTTGGAAACGAATAAGGATATGTAAATCATCTATCTGTACTATAATGTGAGAGACATAATTGTTGAGAGTCTATTTGTTATTTAGTATTATTCGGATATTGTCGGATAGGTGAATTATGGGGGTTTATTCGGTTAGGTTAATTATTCGGGTAGTAAACAGTAATTAGTCAGGTTATATAAATATGATGTTATGTTAGGTCAAGGGAAGCAATAATACAGAATTGTTCCCAACTCTCTCTCTCTCAACTCACCCTAGCCGAACCCCCCTCCTCTTCCTCTCAACTCGGCGGCTCCCATCCCGGGAACCGATTCTGCTCTCTCTCTCATCCCAAATTTCCCCTTCTTCCTCACCTAAATTCCCAATCCCTAGTTCGTTTAATCCCTAATTCGCACGCCTAGATCCGTGGTTCTCACAATTGGTATCAGAGCCTGGCTGGCGTGCTGATTACTGAGCTGCAAGAAGCAAGATGTCGAACACGGACAAACCGCAACAGCAGAGACAGGGCCAGGAGATCGTGACTGTGAAGGACATCACGCATAACAAGTACGACGCGGTCGTAACCACGTTGGAGAGCTTAACGGCGTCCACAGAGCGAGCCGCTGCTGCTTCCCGGAATTCGACCGAGGCCATAGAGGCGCTGGGAGAGCGAATTACTTCCTCGATTGAGGAGATGGGCACGGCCATGACTGAGAAGCTGTGCAAGGCTCTGGCGGACACCATGACTCAGGTTTTGATCGGTGTGTTTCAGGGCAAGGAGCCAAACCCGGGAAACCGACCTGAGGCTGTGGAGAAGATGGCGGCGGCGGTATCAATGGCCGCCGAGAGGAAGGAGGCCGCCCCGCCAGGAGCGACGGTGGGCGCGGCTGGAGGCGCGGCTGGAGGCGGCGCGGCTGGAGGCGCGGGTAGCGCCGTGGAAGGGGAGGCGGGCGGCGCGCTGGCTGCGGCGGCGGCGGCTAAGCCGCCAGGCGCTCTCGGCGGCAGGGAGGCCGCGGCGCCGGGCGAGGTGGTCGGCGGTGGGGGCTCAAGGGCGGCGCGGCCACCAGGCCCAGGGGGTCGTGGGGGCGGCTATCCCGGCGGGCCCAGACCAGCAGGAGGAGCGGGCCGGGAATCTGGTTCCGCACCAGTCTTCAGTGGGCCAGGTCTGCTTCCGGCTCCGACAGCCCACGACATTGCGGAGGCCCGCAGGCAAAAGAAGGTGGTGGAGTTCGAGGAATTGGGCCCGGACTATGAGGAGATGAGCTTCGCGGATCAGGAGGAGTGGGAGATGGGCCCTGGGCCCAATGGGCCCAACCCGAACCCGGTGATTGAGCCCATGCTGGACCAAACCGGTAGACCGGTTGGGTTGTTGGCCGGCCGAACCAGTCACGGTCGGACCGGGATCGGTCGGACCGAGTCGGGCGGGGCCGAACCCGGCCGGACCGGGTCGAACCGGGTGGAACCGGGGCGCGGGCCGATGGGCAGCAGCAGGTACGGTCCAGGAGGAGGGCCCAGGCGCGACAGACAGGGCCCCGAGGCTGGTTATCCGCCATGGGGCACTCCACGGGCCGAGGGGGCACGACCGGGACGCCTGTTAGAGGAGGGTCAAGGATCCGGAACGAAGGCTGGGGGAGGAGAGGTGTACCAGCATGAGATGGCCGACTGGGCCTACTCAGAGATGCAGAACGCGGGGCCAGAATACCGACATCCTGGGTCGGGCCATTCGATGCAGCCGACCGGCGGTAACAGGTACGGGTACAGCAATCCTCTGTATGACTATGAGGATGAGCTGGTGTTTAGGGCTAAACCGCCAGTTATTGAGTTTCCGAAGTTTGATGGCACTGGCGATGTGGGGCTGTGGTTGTATGCGGCTGAGAGGTGGTTTAGGAACCATCCGATCAGGGAGGAAAGGAAGGCGCATCTGGCGTCCTTCTACTTGGAGGGGGATGCCCTCCAGTGGTGGGAGTGGACTGAGCGGGCGTACGCAGCAGCAGGTGAGAGGATCTCGTGGGCTCGGTTTCAGGATGAGCTCCGATATCAGTTCGGAAGGGCAGAAGGCTGGGCCCCGGAGCAACTGGCCAAGCTCAAACAGACCGGGTCGGTAGCGGAGTATAGAGCGGAGTTCTTGAAGCTGGGAAACCAATGCAAGGAGATGACCGAAGAAACTCTGGTGGGGCTGTGCATGGCGGGCCTGAGGCCCGAGCTGGCCACAGCGGTCAAGGTCTTTGAGCCGGAATCTCTCCGGGTGGCTTTTAGAATTGCAGGGCGGAAGGAAGAGGAGCTGGCAAGCTGGAGGACCTCTGTGGGCAGGATACAGAGGGCCAGTGGTGGAGTAGGTGGCGGAGCTGGTACCGGGGCGGGAGCACCGGCGGCGGCAGCAAGCCCTCCGGCGACCGGAACCACTGCCGGGCCGCGATTTCCGGCCAGAGCACCACCGCGAGGGTTCGTGAGGCTGACTCAGGCGGAGATGGACCAGAAACGCCGGGATGGGCGTTGTTTCAACTGTGATGAGAGGTATACTGTGGGCCACCAGTGCGCCAAGAGTCACTTGATGCTGCTAGTCGGGAATTGGGAGGATGAAGGCGAAGAAATGGAGAAGGGCGTCGAGGGAGAAGACAAGAAAGAAGAGGGCAAGACCCATGGCCCACCTTGAGGGCAAGGTGGGTTTCAAGGGGGATGGATTGTGAGAGACATAATTGTTGAGAGTCTATTTGTTATTTAGTATTATTCGGATATTGTCGGATAGGTGAATTATGGGGGTTTATTCGGTTAGGTTAATTATTCGGGTAGTAAACAGTAATTAGTCAGGTTATATAAATATGATGTTATGTTAGGTCAAGGGAAGCAATAATACAGAATTGTTCCCAACTCTCTCTCTCTCAACTCACCCTAGCCGAACCCCCCTCCTCTTCCTCTCAACTCGGCGGCTCCCATCCCGGGAACCGATTCTGCTCTCTCTCTCATCCCAAATTTCCCCTTCTTCCTCACCTAAATTCCCAATCCCTAGTTCGTTTAATCCCTAATTCGCACGCCTAGATCCGTGGTTCTCACATATAACATCCATCTAAAACTCACACCTTACCGCGGGCAAGTGGACCGAACTGATGATGTATGTAGTATGTCTCGAGAAATCGACAAAAGAAATAAAAACATAAAAAATGGGTATTATGTAGTTTATAACCACATTTACAAATTACAATCCTTATATGTTTCCTTACGCTGCTATAACTACTTAAAAATTCATGATTCACACCTACTTATCTACAAGTCTGAAACAAATTTTTTTTTGTACACAAAGAATAAATAGATGTACCGTAGACATTGAAATCATCAATCTTTTGCTGTTTTCAAGCAATATTTGAGAAACTCTATCCTATCGGTCGGTCGAAACAAAAATATCGGATACAAAACCAAATCGATCGTATTTTAACGATAGGAGATAGTTGTACCGCGGTTAAACTATAGTATAACCTCTAGTACAACTTCACAATCCTTGATTTTCAGTAGAACGCCTTTACCTAGAGAATGCATAAAACTGAGCTCAACGTTGATGCATGAACAGTAAGGCAGTTTGGATGTTTGTTCTCTTCCCTTCTCATCTCTTCTCCCCAAATTTGAACCACACATCGTACTACTAACAGCTGGTGCACCCAGATCTGGTAAATCAAGAACTCCAAGTGCATCCAATCCATTAAAGGTAAAATATTTTTTGAAGGAAACACAAGATTAATGGGACCTGGCAATGGGCAGCAGCATATGAAAAAAATCATAACAATAATAATAACTCCACCACCACTGCTGCATTGGACAGTGAAAAACTGAAAACCATTTAAAAAAAAGAACTGTCTTGTCCATCCCCAAAGTCAGTTATTAATCTTTTCATTTCTTTATTTCAGTGAAGAACTGGAAAGGCATACATAACAAAGAGAAAAAAAAAAAGAAGAAAAAGAGATTCATCCATCCATGGCCAGCAGGCTTTGTGTGGGTGTACTAATGGGTCTGTGGGGAAAACCCCTCCAAAAGGCACACACTTTCCCCTACTCCAACTCCAACTCCAACTTTCTCTCTTCATCACTGCTTTTCACTTCACCATTCAGAGCACTCTTCTTGACACAACTTTAGCTTCCTGGGAAAAGCTGCTTAGCCAAAAGGGGGTTTATTCAATCAGGCAATGGTGAAGGAAACTGAGTACTATGATGTTCTTGGTCTGGACCCTTCTGCGCCGGACGATGAAATTCGAAAGGCTTACTATCTCAAGGTGGTGATGTGGATGTTTGTGTTTGTTTTGATGATCCCCTTTGTGAAAAAGTTCGAAGCTTTAGTGTCCTTTGCTGTTTGTCTGGGTTGGGTAAGGGAAATGCATGGCAACTGTTTGATTAATTGTCTCACTTCCAGGCCAGGCAGGTCCATCCGGATAAGAACCCCAACGACCCTCTTGCTGCTCAAAGATTTCAGGCAAGTCTCCCACTCCATTTCGAGTTCTTCTCAATTCATTAATGGGTTTGTTTCCTCATAAAGCAAGCATTTGGTTATCTGATCCTATGATAGGTATTGGGTGAAGCATATCAAGTTCTGAGTGATCCTGCTCAGAGGGATGCATATGACAGAAATGGGAAGCATTCTATATCAAAGTATTCACTGATCTCTAAGTTTTACTTTGATTCTTATTGGGATTCTCCAAACCATCTTGAATTGATCTTAATTAGTATGCTCATTCCCCTTTTTATGTGGGCAGGGAGACCATGCTGGATCCCACTGCAGTGTTTGCTTTGCTGTTTGGAAGTGAACTATTTGAGGACTACATTGGTCACCTATCAGTGGCATCAATGGCTTCTTCTGAATTGGCTGCTGAAGCTGAGAACCCTGATAAACTCCATGAAAAGTTAAAGGTATTGCCATTTCATTGATTGCTCTCGCATTCAAGTTTCAGCTGCTGAATTTTGGTGGTCAGTATGTGATCTTAAACTGTTTCCCTTGAATGAACTCAATACAGGGTGTCCAGAAGGAAAGAGAGGAAAAGCTGGCTAGATTTCTCAGAGCTTTTCTCGATCAGTACGTTCGAGGAGACAAAGATGGGTTCGTTAGACGTGCTGAATCTGAAGCTAAGCGCCTTTCTGATTCAGGTTCTCTTCCTCGCACTCGATTACACGATACTTTGTGTCTCAAGCAATATGCAACAGGAATTGAAGATATCCTGGAAACATTTGTACAGATTTTGGTGCTGATATCTTGCACACAATTGGGTACGTATATTCAAGACAAGCAGCTCAGGAGCTTGGGAAGAAGGCCCTTTACCTTGGAGTTCCATTCGTGGCGGAATGGGTTCGGCACAAAGGCCATTTCTGGAAGTCACAGGTTACGGCAGCAAAAGGTTGAAACTTTTCTCCTTCGTGAAGCTTTCTTTCGGGTCTTTCTCCCAATTTCAGTTTGTAAGAGAACTAACAGTTAACCTCTGCAGGTGCGTTTCAGCTGCTCCAACTTCAAGACGACATTCGCAGGCAGTTCAAAGCCAATGGGACTGCACCAGAAAATGACGTGGAGTCACATTTGAGACTGAACAGGGAAACTCTGATGAGCTCCATGTGGAAACTGAATGTAGTCGACATCGAAGTTACCCTCATCCATGTCTGCCAAATGGTCTTGAAGGAGAACAATGTGAGGAGAGAAGAACTCAAAACTCGAGCCTCAGCTCTGAAAATCCTTGGCAAGATCTTTCAGGTGTGACACATACATTAACATCCTCCATTTTCTCCCTAGTTGCTTTTCCCCTGGCCTCGGTTGTGAAATAAAAATTATACATTATATATCGCAGGAAGGTAAACAGGCGAGAATTGATGGACCGTCAAAGGCAAAGAGTAGTCACGAAACTGGGGATGATGATGACGAAAGCAGTTCCGATAGCAGCAGTGAAGAAGATGAGGGCCCTAGATCACTATCTTACAAAACTCCTCTTCTCACTCAGGCATGTCTTGTCTTTCACAAATCAGTAGATCATTAAGCTTTAGGTAACCTCTATCAATACTGAAAACATTACCTTTGATTGATCATTGTACATTTCTTCAAATGTGCAGGGAATTGGTAGGCTGTTCAGATGCCTGTGCAATCCAGCTTTCGATGTGCATGATGATGATGAGATTGTCTACAGAAGCAGATGCTGACGTAACAAATTTACAAAGAGCTGTGTATATGATGATGAAACCCTTCAGATTCTTATTCTGCCACAAAGGTCTCCAGTCGCTGAACTACATAAAGTTTTCTCTCTTTCTGTTTTCTTCGAACACATCATCAACCTCTGCAATTGAAACCAGAAATACAAAACTGAAAATCGTTTGTTTATTCTCCTTTCAACAGCAAACCACCTGGCCGATTCAAAGTTCTGTAAGATACACAATTCAGCTGTTTTTGGTGGGTGTATTTCAAGAGTGATGTTTTGCAATAGCATATGCATATCCCATCAAATAAATATTGATTTTCATCGAGTTGAACACTCTTTTTCAAATTGCCATCCATTTCCCTCGCGTGATTGTAAGGTTTCTTTTGAGTTTCGGAAATGTAGTACCGAGCCATGAACCCACGACTCTTATTCACCATCGGCATTCACAAAGAAGGGTTCTTTAAAAACCAGAATCAAATAGTCGATAGCAAAGTCCTTTAAATTCTTAACATCACAGCATTATACAACAATAAACCCTTGCAAATCTGCAGCTACGCGGACTTGGTTTGGCCCACAAGCAAATACATAAAACTTACACCACGGCTTCGCTCTCCATGTGCTGAGAAAGCACACTTCCCTGAACTTTTCTGAGCTTCAATGAGCATGGTGATGAGGGACATACGTCAGAGTGCGGTGGGCTTCCACAGCACAAGCACAGTGCACTGAAGTCAAGTTCAGACAACCACTCATGACGAGAGAATGCCTCCCTGAGCAAGTGTGAAGAGCTGGGAAGCAATCACACAGTGCTTGAACAGCTGAAGGTGTCAGCGCCGTGCATTGGCTGATGTTCAGGCTCTTCAACCCTTCTTCGCCTTTCCTGGCTTTTATGCTCTCCCACATGGATGTAGACGGCTTGTTCTTCTTCACCCGGCTATGAACCAGAGAGTACATTGCTCGATCGGTGATGTTTCGACAGTAGTACAGGCCGAGGGATGTGAGGTGCGGGCACCTGTATGCCAGTGCAATCACACTGTCGTCTAAAGATAAAGGAGGTCTAGTCAGTAGAAGAGCTCAGCAGATGCAACAGGAAATGAAAATCACATTAAGCTTCCATTGAGGTAATACAAGTCGAACAAGGAAGCATATCTGATCTCTACCTGTTATCGACACACAGCCACACAAGTTCAGTGTTCGGAGTTCTGGACATCCATATGCCAAACTCATCACCCCAATGTCCCCCACGTTCTCACACCACCCAAGATTCAACGATTGCAGTTGATTGCAATTGCGTCCAATAGCCTGCAAGGGGTTCCATTAGTACTCTCAAAGAAGCTTAAGACAAAAATGAGTGCAGAAACAAGAACTATCGGTTGAAAAACCTGCAAGGCAAGATTAGTTGCTGCTCCTACACAGCCACAAAGATTCAGAATCTTCAGCTTACGACAGAATCCAGCGAGATACTCAATCCCATCATCGCTAAACGATGTACACCCACTGATATTGAGTTTGATCAGGTTGGGGCAACCATGAGCCAGGGCATACAGAGAGCGATCAGTTAGCTTAAAGCTCTTGCTAAGGTCCAAGTCTTGCAAGTCATGGCAGTGTCTAGCGATCGTCTCCACCGCAATATCTTCCAGCTGCGGCTTATCTTGGCGTAGCACTAAGCTCTGCAGATTCCTCAACTTGGGAGCAAGAGATATAACCAGGTTGTTCATACTGTTCTTACACCTGCAATTGGAAAAAGAAAAAAAATTGTCAACTAAAGCCGACTTTACCAATACAAATTTAAGGGATTTCTGAATCAAGCAATCCAAAGGCAGGAGAGGGATTAGTTTACCAAGAGAGGCATAAATGAGTAAGGCCTAAACAAATAGCCTCCCTCCACCCGCTACAAACTTCGGAGGCCATTATGATCGTGCGATGATCATCAACAAGAGACACGATCCTCAAGAGAAGCTCCATTGGAATGTCCTTCCACTCAGTGATGACCACTCCTCCCATCTTCTTACTGATGTCGATTCCACCGCCTGCCATCATCAGCTTCTCGAAACACTGGTTCAATTCTTCACTTCTCACCATGGTTTAAAACTTAAAAACTGGCCCCAAACAACAGAACATAAGCAATAGTTAGAAACCCCCTCGTTTCTGTCAAATTGACAGAGAGAGAGAGAGAAAAGGGGAATCAATAGACCATTTCTGAAGAAACGAACAGAATAGACGACACACCAGACAATCTAAACCACAATCACGGATGAGAGAGCTCTCTTGTAAATCACATAAACACAAACAAAAACAAAAGAGACTTCGACGCCAGAGGACAAAAAAAAATGTTAAAAGGAAAAACAGAGATGGGCATATTTCCCAATCGTGAAGGAATTCGACCAGATAGAGCACAACCCATTTCAGCAAAAGCGATGAGATTAAGAGGGCCAGAAAAACTCAAGTGACCCATCGTCGAAAGCAGAACCCTTTTCTTTTGTTGCACCTCGAGAATGATCAAGAAAAAAGGCAGCAAAGACAGGAGTACAACTGGTGAAGCATTCGAAGCGGTGCACATGGTGATTCGATCAGTGAGAGGAAGGAGGAAGAAGAGATTGGAGGAAAGACGAACCTGTGTTGTTGATTGATTGCGTGGGCGGTGATGAAGCCTGAAAGAGGTGGATGAGGCCCTGGTGGAAGAAACCGAGGGAAGAAGGAAAAAGGCGAAGGTTATAGAGAGAACTAGAGAAGGCCAAAAGGAGCTGGCTGTGAATTTGTGTGTCAGAGTGTGTGTTGTATAAGTTGTGACTTGGACGTTTATCATCGAGAAGGGAGAAGGGAGAGGACCAAAAACAAGAAAGGTAGAAACGTACGGGGGGGGGGGGGGAGAAAGGGCGACGCGTGTGGCTCCACGTGTCCCTTTCACATTGAGCTTTCCAACTGTGTAAACAAAATAAAAATATGAATAAGAGTGACAATGTCACAATGAATTTGGATGGGTCGATTTTTCCGGTATATGATTCATCGTATCGGAGGTTATTCTAGATAATTTGGTGATATGATATTTTGTATTAATATATGTAATTGAATCGATCATAGACAATTAGTTAAAATGTTGTAGTAAAATAGTAAAAATGTCGTGTTATAAATCATTCATTCGAGGGTGGCAATAAAACGACACTTGTTCAGCCGCCACCTCGCTTCCAAATGATTCAACTGATATATAACTAAAACCAGTACAAAATCACGAGTATTTGGCCAAATAGGTGATTTGGGAGTTCAATGTTATCATAGTTATCGTTGACCAACCGCAATTTCTATTTGGCTATAATGCCAAATAAGGAATTATACATTGGAAGGGAATGAATTGGACAACATTGCATGTTTCAATTTGATTACTTCCAATCAATGTACCAAAAACAGAATGCATCAAATTGGGATTATTAATGGTAACAAAGAAATTTCAAGAAAATGTAGTCCACATAAATAATAAATTGCAGCATCTTGCCTTATGAGACTATAAATCCCCCTTGGGGCTTCCGCCAATTGCAATTATAGAAAAAGCTAAAGCTAGCCCTAGGAGGCGCGTAAGGGTTAATATTTGCCATAATAATTTGCTTTTACTTTTATAAGTAAGTTAAGCAATGTGATATGAAGGATACCAAAAGAGTAATATATGGACCATAGTCCATACAGCTAATTAGCCTTTAATAGTGTCACTACAATTAATTTTTTTTATAAGATGACATAGATTGAGTTTTATAGTTAGATGCTGCAAAAGAGATTTGAACATAATATCTTAAGGTTCAAAATTAATGGTATATTTTTTTAGATAAGGGTGATATATGTCTTATTTTTTTCTGATCAAGGTACTACTTAAGGGGGGGGTTTGAACCTGACCTCCAAGTTCTACGCTAATGGTATTACCACTAGGTCAAATCCTTGTTCGTTTTGCCACTAAAATTAATTTGTATTAATAACAAAATAATCCAATAGAAAATAAAAAAAACAAATCCTACAAGTATTTGTGGGAAAGTTAATAATTCATTCTCCTTTGCCATATCGATACCACAACATGTTCTTCTAACTACGAGATACCACTAAAAACAAATATTGATATATATATTATTTCGTTGATATATATTACTTTGAAAAACATGGGTTCCTACTATTTTTATGTAAGATATATCTTTCTTTGCTAGTCTAGCAAACTATACAACACAAACTAATGGGTTTTGAATAGCACACACTATCGATGGAGAGTAAAATTTGATATGATGATACTAAGATAAAATCATCATTTCAAGATAATCCTATTCAAGTTTCCTCGACTCTCAGCTTATTTCAATGAGAGCCAACCATAGAGGATTCAATAGAAGAGATTGAGAATAATGAAGTTAAAAGAGAGATTCTTTGGAAGAAAAGGAGGTATTAAGAAAGCTCTTTGTGAGGCTAAAAATGCATTAGAGAGTGGTAATAACTTGCACGTCCAAAATGTTCCATTTGTTGAAAATCGAAACCGCGCCCAATCTCTCGCGATAATGCTTCCCACATTGGACTCTTTTTTCTTTCCTTTTTCCTGTTGCTTATTCTCTTCATTTATACACTTCTTTTGTCTTTTCACCCTTTTTCCCTTCCCCAAATCCCCATCCTTTTTTTATATGTCCATCAGTTGTGATCGACTGATCATGCATCCACTACATGCTGTTGATGTTTTGTTTTGGATGAACAAAAATTAATCATATTGTCTGTTTGAAAATTTCTTACAGAAATTGTGCTAATCTATAGAGACTTGAGACTAGTGATGACAACGAGCCAGGTTTGGAGCGGGGTTTTTTTCTAAACTAACCACATCTTCATTTCCAAATATTCGAACTTATATCCGTTTTAAATTTATGTGAGAAAAGTTTTGCAACCCCATAACCATATTTGTAGGTTTCACCCGTCATGTATATCCAATATTGCTATGTAAAGAATTCATAATATAGATTATTGAATCGTAACACCAAACAAACCTAATAAATCATGAAATGATTAAAGATACAACTAGCTTAATAAGAGCTCAAAACAGTCAATCCTAAAACATTCTTTGTTCCCTAACATAAAGTTTATTCATCTCCGACTCCGACTCTAACACATCCATTAAGCAGTGAATAGCTAAAATGGTCTTGTAAACAAGGGGAAAGAAGTGAAGGGAGTTTTGAGGGAAATAATTTGGGGTTAGGTTTAGTTTGGGTGGCGGCTCCGTTAGATTTCAACCCTATCAGTTGGGTTGGAGTCTCAAGTAGGGATGATAATTTCAATCTGACCTATTTTATCCGACCTGTTTGGCCTATTTTGGAGCGGGTCCGACCCGGCCCGTAGGCGGGGCGGGGCGGGCATGAGTACCTCTCGTCGACCCGACCTGCCCTGACCCGCCCCATTCTCGACCCGTTCTTGCCTAAATTACATGTAATCTTAGTCAAATTACTTAGAATTTTCCTCATATTACCTCATATTTTAGCTATAATAAAGTTATAAATAAGTGAAAACCTCAATTTCTCCAATACTTTAACTACATTTTATCATATTATGGTTTATTTCTTGGTCTTTTAATGAAAATAATGAATATTTGTTAAATTTTTCACATAAATTACATACCCATTGGGCCGACCTGTCCCGGCTCGCGCCTCATGATAAATTATCCGACCTGTAACTGACCTGCCACGGGACGGGTATAGGTATCGAGATACTCGGCCCGGACCTGCCGTTGCCATTCCTGGTCTCAAGCTGCTGATTAATTTAATTGTCTTGCCAGCTTTTGCAATATGAGTTTCATAGTGCATATTCTTTTTGACCTGATGGATTCATTGTTGGTTCTTGACATACATATATCATCTCCACGATACACATTCCACCTAGCTATCAATTCCACGATTTTTCTAGGTAATAAAAAACAAACACCCATTCTTGTTTTGTGATGCAAATTGCATTTACCTATAAAGCGATAATTGATGGATTGCCTGCTTCTTATGTACCGATGACATTATCAATTAATATTGTATTCGATGGATATAATTATTGTTATCTTTATCTTATTGGCTAGCTTGCTAATACTGATCTCCTGCTGTCTAGCTAACTGCTTATTTGTAAAAGCAACATGATCAAGTTCCCTTTTTCTGCAAAACAATGGTGGTGAATTTGGACATTACTTCGTCTAGGTGCACTTACTTGTTCCACTTCAACAAACCAACGAAACCTCTTTTAAAATTGATTGACTACAGTCTCCAGTCTTGACCTCGGCATCCCTATCACATGATTGATGGAATGTTTGTGCTCATTCCTTCCACGAAATTTGGATTCTTTTACGTTTCGCGTCTCGTTATAAGTTTAATTTGCGTGCACGATTGAAAAAGAAGACTCGGGTTCTTTTTTGAAATAAGGTGGTGGATCACAAGTATTGGAACTGAACTCTGAAACCATGAGTAGAGCTGTTAATAGACAAATAGAGGAAAAAATGAGAACCCTGTGCTGCTAGATTTCTTTGATTTATAGCTGTCCAGATTTAGTGTGCTCACAATGGTAAGTTAACAGGTGGCAATAGTTGATTGTACTAACATTATAATTACATCGTTGTTGTTATTATTATGATTTTGTTTTATAAGAGTGATATAGTTTTTTTTTAATTGTTAGGTGTTGTTTGAGGAATTCGAATCTAAAACTTCAGGTTGGTTTATTAGTACTCCTTAATTTCTTTAGTGAGTTATTATGTGACAAGTGTTACTTTATATTCTTAAAATTGAATCGATGGTAGATAATCAGTTAAGCCATTGTAGTAAAATAATAAACATATTGTGTGACGAATAATGTGACTGTCGTAATAAAACTGCACTAGTTCAGTTGCGACCTCTCTTTCAAATGGTTCAACATATATAACTAGATTGTACAAAATAATGAATATCTGAGCAAGTCCAACTACATAACTAATTGCAGCGCATCTCACCCTAGCTAATTCGTCCCTACTTAATACAAATAATAATTTTTACTTTTTTGAAAACCATGAGGTTACAGAGACATTCTTCGAAACAAAGGAAAGATTAAAAAAGCTCTTTGTGAGGCCAAAAATGCATTTAAGAAAAAGTTCCATTTGTTGAAAACCGAAACCGTGCCCTATCTCTCAAGATAATGCGCTCCCATTCTGCTCCTTGGCCATTTCTCTTTTTCTCCTGTTGTTTATTCTCTTCTTTTGTCTTTTCACCCTTTTCCACAATCCCTTCCAACTGGATTTTCTTTTATGTTTAATTTTGGATGAACAAGAACTTACATATTGTATGTTGAAATTTTTTCTATAGAAACTGTTGTACTACTATAGAATTCTTATGAGTTATAGGTAATAATATGTAGTTGTACTATGTATTTTTTATCAGATATATCCTATTTTTTAATATCAATTAAACATGTTCATGTATTTTGGAATTTTTTTTGAAATATGTCATTCTGTTATTATTTTCATTCAAAAATTGTCAACCGTGGTTGAACCGTAGTTTGGATGATCTAACCTCGATAAAATGGGATGGAGAATATCAGTTTTGCTCCTCTATTTATTACTCTAAGTCTTGTTAAAGTGAAATTATTTTGGAATAATAGCTATATAAAATAAACAAAAAAATGTTAAAAGTGAAATTTATTAAGGATATTTCAAACATTTATGTCTCACAAACCAAAGTTCGATCGTGGTTGATGGTTTTGAGTGAAAATTTTAACAAAGGGCATGTTTGATAATTTTTGCAAAATATAGCAGAAGAACATGTTTGATAAAAATGCATAATAATGAGACATATTATGCCTATAATCCAATTTTTATCTTAAAGAACGAAAGAAGAATGCAATGCAAACCTTGGAGAGAACTCATACCCTAATTGAAAGCTAAGTCGTCCTCGATTGCACTTTGCTCATATACATAGCCAACTATGAGTAAATATTGAGATGAATAGTTTCGAAAGCTAAAAATAAAATTTCGATCAATGCACGCTTTTCCTCGACGAACAGTTGGATCTAAGCTGGTGGTGTCTTATACACAAACAAGCTCTGTCAATTATCACCCGTATCATATAGTGATTCACTTCGCGCCTCTGCTCCTCAGATATATAGCTAAAAGAACATGAGTTAATTCTATCCTATGAGTTGGGTTGGAGTACTCTTAATTAAGCTGCTAATTATATTATATATTGCCAACTTTTGCGGTGTGAGTTTCATAGTGCATTAGCTAGCTTGTACTACTCTCGTGGATGAACGTGGATCTATAGAAGAGAGGAACATGATGATCTTGTTCCCTTTTCTGCAAAACAATGGTGGTGAATTTGGACAATGCATCGTCTAGGTGCACTTGTGATCCACTTCACAAACCAACGAAACCACTTTACATGATTGATTGAATACACTCTTCGACGACTCCTCGTCATCTTTGTACTGTTGTTACGCGAGGCATTATGAGCTTTGTGTGTATATATATATGCCTCAGCATCCCTATATCATATGATTGATTGATAGAGAATTTTTTGGATTCTTCTATGTGTCACGTCTTGTCGAAGGTGTGAAATTTGCGCGTGCGACTCTGAAAAGAAGTATCAAGTTTGTTTGTTCCGGATTTGGATTACGTGTCGAAAGAAGGTGGTAGTCGATGTTGCAGCCTTATTGGTCATGCAATTGACAACTATATCTAGGGATATGCAGAATCCTGATCAATTGTGATGAACCCATAATTACACAATTAGGCAACCCAATGGTCATACAATAACCTAAATTACACTATTTGATTCTAACACTTAAGTGGATGGTCACCTACATTAGGTCAAACCTCTAGATCATCATCCACATTGCAATTAAGATGTGGATAAAGCAATAAGCACATCAAATAGACAAAATATACTATAATCATAACCAAATCGTCAATTACATATACAAACCCTTAGCTAGGTTATGTGTTCTTACCCCAAATACCTATGATCTCATCCCATGAATAGGGTAAGGAGAACACAAAACTAGAAAATAAATCAACATTTGGAAACTCTTGATCCTTGAAAAAACAGCTCCAAACTCCTAGATTCTCCTATTATTCAAATAGAAACCCTTAACTCCTCTCTCTATGTGTTTTTTGTTTGAAAATGTGCTCTGCATTTGCCCTTGAAATGCAATCTCTATTTATAGGGCGATGATTTCATACTAATTCACTGTTGAGATTGGCTAAAGTTCACGGCCACGAACTTGGTGTAGGTCTCGTGTTCTTTGAGGTGACACTGTTCTGTCATAAACTTTTTAGGAGATCACGACATGGGGTTCACGACTGTTTTCTCTCTCTCTCTCTCTCTCTCAATCATGAACTCATAGGTTGCGGTCTCTTTCGAGTGCAGTGCGTTTGACCGTGAGAGCTTTCGCTTCTTTCGGCTCCTCTCGTTGCCAGGATTCACTGCATGAGAATAAAAACCCTAGTTGTGAAGTACTCTTGCATGAACTCCAGATTCAGAACTGAACATCACGACCGTGATTTCTTACTAAAGACCTTGAACTCCTCTCTTCTACCTATTACACTTATTACCCAAAACTCAAGTTCAATTCACTTAAACCAACACATTCATGTCCAAACATTTTTTAAGATGCTGATATAGATTATTATTATTAATGAACAAAAGTCATATTCTACCAACCACCTACAAACTAACACATTCATCATCCATCTCTTTTAGGCGTTGCTACCGTTAGACTCGGGGTATGTCTTCATCACATCTACCGAGAGGCCAATTAAGGAGTAGACTTTTTATCTAGTTATGGTATCTGATTACCCATGGGGCTCCATCATGTATCTTGTTCGATTCTTGCTTTTCAGTATGTCCTTTTGTACGACTGTCAAGGTCTCTTTGAGACTCGTTTGGTTGTGAATGAAAGCTAGCTGTTCTAACTGCATCCATTTATAATAAGAAAAATACTCGGTTAATGCTTATTAGCTAGAATCAAATACTTAATGCTTCGAATTATACAATTATGATCAACATTTATATGATAAACTTATTAAATGAAATTGACCAAACAATATCCTAAAAATCAATCTAAAAAAACTTGTAATATCAAATTTTCTTCCGTGCTGAAACCTTTTTTTTTATGGGAATTATTTGGTAATATGTTACAAACAAGTTGCTTCTATTTATAGTTGCACAATCCAAATAACCGTCGGCGTCAACGATAATCATAGAAAATTAAGTGTACGTGATTGCTTCTGCGTGCGAATGACAAGTTAAAGGAAAAGACAACCTTAAGTACCCAGTATTTAATCTAATTTTTTAAGAGAAAAGTTGACAATTAACATTAAATAAAGAATAATATGCATTTCCGGGACGTTAGCTGGGCTTAGTACGTTAGGCCCTTTTTTCTTGCAAAGTGCTTTTGCTTGCATTCTACAGGTATGGTAGCACACCATAAGGCCAAATTAATCATGTGATTAGGGTTCTTCTCATCTAGCGGGTGCTATCCGAAAATAAGTTAAAGGCGTCGTGCTTTTCAGCGTGTTTTGTTTCATTTTGCTTTATTTACGTATGATAGGGTTGTTCTTATCATATGATAAAATAAATTATTTTATCATTGGTTCATCGTTTAGTTGACCTCCATCAATTACTCTCTTCAAATTTGTACTCATCAATAACATCAAAGTATTAGATACGTGTGCATCGTAACCAAATTTGGCATCTATTATTATTATTATTATTGAAATGTACAATTTCACATGTTTAACAAGGAAGTAATCCTTCTTTTTTTTTTCTTCTTCCTAGACCTGAAAATCTGTTATATTCCGGCAGGGAAATTAATTAAGGTTGAGTCCAGCTCATCATGGAAGTGCAAACATGATCTATGTATTTATCCATGTGTTTGGAACATGACGATGAATTACTCAGCTGGGAGTGACGTGGACGTAAATGTTTTCTGCCCTTTGGATTTTCTGCATTTGCCATTTGGAGTGAGCAAACACACTGCTGGCCAGCAATGGCTTCTCGTGAAGTAAAGGGTTATAAAGAGAGAAGGAAATGAAGAAAGCTGTGCCTGTGGGAGTCGAATGCTGGTGGATCATTTCCACCCGTTGATTCGGAATGTTGTTTGAACGCAAAGTATTTATTATGTGTATTTTAATTTTTTCAAATTATTTAAAATGTGTAATTTTGTATGACATTAAGGTAATGTTAAAATTATTTTTTTTTGCTATTTGAAATCATAATAACCTTTAATCAATGATCTAATATTGTATTTTTAATGATTATAGCAAATAATCATTCATGACCAGTCTATTTAATTATACAATCAATTAGTTATCTATAGTTGAAAAGAAAACTGACATAACAAAAAAAAAAGTTGTCTGACAAAGACGTAGCAAAAACATAACAATGACCTTTCGCCAATATTTGTTTCTGTAAGATACAATGCATACATATGAAACTCTAAACCTTAAAGTACTATAAACAATATAACAACATACTCGATACGAAAATTGAAAGTGTTCGTGAGGCTTACAACACAGTTATGCCTGATCTCACAAACCATATTCTCTCAATCCTCTGAATCTCGTATCTCCTATGCGGAAAGACCACGGAGGTTCTTCCCCCTTTTATGCCCAATTTCTTCTTCTAAATCCAAAATCCCCAATTTCGTTCTTCTCTCAATCCCTACCTCTATCCTCCCAATCCCTAATTCTCTTCTATCGTATCATGTCACGGAAAATCGCACGTGCCCCAAGCAGCATCTTTCTAGCAGTACGCAGCTGCTGCCTGCTGGACCTAACTCTAATTAGACTTAGCAACTACTAATCACACTCTCAGCCTTTGATTACTGGGGACAAGAAGACTTTCGACAGATGAACCAACATTCCACTCTGATCTCACTTCATCTTCTTCGATACACATACTGTCGAGTTTCATCAAGTCTGGGAAGTAATGAAGACAGAGTTGGGCTAGTTTCTTCTACTCAGCATTCCCCCAACGGCCCATTAGCATAATTTGAGTCCATGCAGTTGCAAGTCCAAAACCCACAAAGTTTGATTCTTGGAAGCCCAATCAAGTTTTTTTACACAGTTGCAATTCCACAGCCCTGCCAGTCCCCTCTCAATTTTGAACAGAGGTTTATTGTCCTGTACACACTTCATCCCCTAACCCATCTCTCCTCCTTCACTTCTTTTCTTGGGTTACACGGATCTTATTAACATTTCCCCAATTCTCAAGCTAGGAACTTGTCAAACAAGTTACCAAAGAAGAAGCTCGTTTTTGCCCATCCTTTGTTCCCTTGCTGATCCTTTGCACCACCACCAGAACCACCACCGCCGCCGGTGCCAGCACCAGGAGTTTTCTTCACATTAAGCAGCATCCTGTGCCCGATTTCCTTTCTCAGAGCTTCCACCGTCTTCGTGTCAACCGGGTTACCGGAAGCATCTCTGACATAGAAAACATTCATAGCCTGCTCTCCTATCGTCGACACCCCAGCTCGTGTCACTGATAGACCGTTCTCTCGTAGCACCCTCGTGACCTCCGATAGCAGCCCCACTCTATCTTTAGCACACAGCTCCAGGCTCACACCCTGGGACAGGGACAGAAGAATAACAGTTTGAGGTGATGATGAAGCAAACATAGATATTAGATGCACTTGCGATACCACGCATATTAGACATTTGATGTTGTGTCTGCACTCACCTCGGATATTCTTCTTCGAATAGCTGCTTCGAGACATTTGATGACGCGCTCCTTCTCTCCTTCTGTGTCGAGTATGCAACCATCCATGTGGCGGATATAATACTCCTGTGCAAGTTCACCCGCACATCTTCATCAGTTTCATAACTTGATTATAAAATGCTGTGGCTTCACAAAACAAGAGTGGTTCATGTGTCATGCGTTCAAATCAATAAGAACAATGTCTTTCTATTGCAACGACACTGAACTTTACCATAGTAGTTTTAGGAGTTCACTTGCAGAATGAAAAAGAAACTAAACCTGCATTCTCTCCCCTGAAACTAAAATTCAGAGAAACTGATATAATTTTCAAATGCTTCGCTAGAAAGATGTAATTCACCGATTCAAGTCCCTTTAGCATAGTCTGAAAACAACATGAGCTAAAAAGCGTCTGTTTATCAATGAAATGGCCACGACTGTCCTATGGAGAAAAAATGTTTTTACCTGTGAAGCATTGGGGCCGTCAGACGAGATTGTTGCATGGAAAACAACATACTGCATATCAGTAAGAGTGCACACAATATCAAACAACAACTTGGCACGATCCTTGCAGCAAACGCTGACAACCGAGTAACCCTTCTCCTGACAACTCTCGATGGTGATCTGCGGCTTGAGAGTGGGAGCAGGAGCACAATCTGCCTTCTCGCTACCTTCATAATCCCTATCAGCAAACAACATCTGGTGCAGCCTACGATCTGTGTGTGTGAATCCCATGGAGAAGCTGGTGCGTCCAACCCCTCCATCGTCATCCTCCTCACATCCACGTAAGATGTTTTTGAGCTGCTCTTCCATGACGGATAATCTGGTGGGGTCATCCACAGCACGGGATGTGGTGTCATCATTGACATAGAGCACACATGCTATCCTCCTGTTGTGTGTCCAGACTTCTGCAGCTGCAACATTGAAGTGAAGATTGGCAAGGATGGCCGAGATTTCAGATAAAAGGCCTGGGCGATCTCTGCCAATGAGTTCAATGGCAGTGTGGTCGCCAATTGAGTGGACACCAACTCGTTTCCCTGGCCATGGTGTCACTTGTTCTTTGGCACCTCCCTTTGGTCCTAGAACCTAGAGCAAATCACAGGCACTTTCTGTTAGAATTGTAATTTAGGATTAGTTGTTGAACAAGGAAATGATTAAATAAGTAGCCATTTGATATTAAGATACAAGAGTTAGACAAGGAATTTCACACATAGCTTTCAGCATCAGATTGAATACCTTCTGCGTGTATTGATAAAGTTCCACATATTCTTAAAAAGCATCCCTATTGAATAGTGAAAGAAAGAAGAAAAAGATGATAGAAGGGCATCAGGATACCTTTTCTATGTAATCTATGGTCCTGGTATCGGTAATCTTGTTTCCTTGTTGATCAGTGACATGAAATACTGTTCATGAAAGATAGTAAGAAATGAGAAAAAAGGATCAGAATAGTGGTTGTGGTGAAAGTGAAAGTTATGAGAAGGAAGCATGGCGTCCATTGTTATGATGTTGTATGGAAAACAGATAGACAGAGACAGCTGGTTATATGATATGACAGAGCTTCTTCATAAGAAATGAAAAAAGTTATAAGAAGGAAGCAATCAAGCTGTCTTTGTTTATGATGGAATAGTTGATATGGACCATAACAGACAGGAAACAGTCAAAAATAGGTTGACAAAAAAGTCTAATTATAAAAAGGTCAAACAGGCAAATCAGCATAAGAAAGGAAGAGAATGGTGGGTTTAAACTAAACCATAGGTATATACCATCCATGAACCATCCTCCATCTGAAGAGATGTAAGCTTTGGTGATAATGAAGTCAAGATCTGTCAGTATTTGGACTACTTCCAGTAGAATTCCTGGCTTGTTCATGCTGTCCACCTGCCAAGCAAAAGTACAAATCTGCTAAGTGAACTCAACTTGTGATTTTACCCCCCAGAATTTCATCTATCAAGAAGGATAGAGAATTATATAAGAGATTAGAGCATTACCTTTATGAGAGTACTATTCTGACAAGTAACGTTATCCACAGAGACCCTGCCAGTAGAGAATGGAACCATTTAATAAGACAGGTGAAAAAATGGATATTGACATGAAGGGAATCTCGTTGAGGAATTTTGACAAACACCTTGGAGGGTTGATTCTATTGCTCATGTTCTCATATTCAGGGTCAAAGTACGGCCAGCAAACCCTTGCCATTTTTCTATTCCCCTCAACACAATATAAGCCAAAGTTTTCCCTTATACCTTCTGCAACAAAAACACAAACGCTTGTTAGGCACAAAGCTTTTCATGCCAGACAATGGCCAAAGATTGAATCTTTCACGAGCTGCAATCTAGAACAAGCCGCGGAAATCCTTACCCAATTCGAGCCAGACAACAAATGAGCCGTACGTTCTTGTTTCAGTCCGCAATTCAGAAGTCAGCTCCTTGGTCGTCGTCGATGGCGGCGGCGGAAAAATTGAAACAGGGCTTACATGATGTCACCCAAAAATCACCTGCAGAAATCCGTTGAAACCCAGAAGCCAAAGTTTCAGAATATTTTCCAGTCAGGAGCTAAATTGGGTTGTCGTCAGGAACAGGGGAAGGAGAGGCGGAGACTGAGAAACAGAATCAAGAAGTGAATACAGGCAAAAAGGACGAAACTTTAAGGTGCATTTTTATAAGGAAGAAACCGTGCGGTGGTGGGTGAAGCTGCAGTGAGAGGAGGAGCTTGCCTGCTTACACTTTTTGGAGGTGAGGTTTGCTGGTGAGAAGAAGCCAGTTGGTGGCTTTTGTTGTGTTCGAATATGGCAAAGGAAGAAGGCAGAGAAGGGGGAAAAAAGGAAGAAGAAACAAAAATTGAAAATGAGAAGAAAGAAAAAGAGTGAATTAATGAGACCAAGTTGGGGGGAGCAGAGAAGTCATCTGGGCCACATATAAGTACTTGAATTACTGATGACCCTTTGCTTTTTCGTGGCAGAAATTTGTGAAGCTGCATGAGGGAAAGCGAAGAAGAATACAAAGAAGGCCAACTATGTTCAATGTTGTGTCCTTTTCTAGAATCAAATTTTGATTTGGATTCATGTTCGATTATCATCACAAACAGTCAAAAACGGCAAACCACTTGCCTTCATTCACTTTCTTTCATCCTTTCTGGTTTCAACCAAAGAGTGAAAAATCGTATCGTATCGACGGTTCGACCAGAAGAATCTTCTATCGAAAGTTAAATCGATAGGTGGTATTTAGCTGTATAATATTGTTGAATCACGATTTCAACATAAAATATTCTACCACTGACATTTTCGATACGGTTTTACAATCTTTGGGTTGAACAACCATTTATTATCCACCCTATAGGGCAAAGCTAAAGAGTGATTCTTATCGATTTTTTTCCCAAATCGAGAGTTCATAAATTTGTAGTTTGTACAAACTTATCATATCTCGTATTTGAATAATTGTGAATTTGGAAAAGTTGTAAATGCCAAGATTTGAATATCACCTCTAAAATCCCGATCTGCTGGGCCATAATAGGCAGTCTAGACAACCAAGGGGGTGAGCTCGTGTAGGCATGCCAGAACGTCTGCTACACAACCCTAGAACGGCCATGACCTCCCTGCAAGCAAGGCAATGCCTCCATCCGCCCAGGAGGTGCTACTATAGGGGTCAACGTTGTCACCATGAATACAAACTCAAGAGCTCTCGACACTCTTGAAACGATTCACAAACTAGGTCAGCTCTCATTCGCGTAACTCGTAATTTTGAGAGGATACCAATAGTAAATATTCTATAGTTTACGACTTGGAATATATTGGTACGAATTAGATATATAAAACTAAATAAACAAGAGAATAAATTGCAATTTGTGAGGATTCAACTTGATGTGATGCATAGAAAAGAATAAGCTCCACCAACTTGATGTAAAAGTTGAGGGCAAGGAGGAAGTGGGAATCAGCACCCAAGATCTTCTCATTATCCTTTTTTTGGCCTTTGGAGGGGGCTACTACACTACATATCTCAAAGACATCTAATACTTCAGCCTCAGCCACATCTGTAAAGCAAATTGACATATACTTTACCAAATCTACTGAAGCAAGTCAGCTCTGCAATTCGGAACTAGGACATCTATCTGTGAAAACAGGGGGAGCGGTTCGATTTTGGGTTTTTCGCTTTTAACTGAAACAGTTTACATTCTTATCAAGGTTTTTTTTTTACGGGAGAAAACCAACAAGTTCTTAACACTTTAGGTAGAGATGACAAATTTGACCTGGCCTGTTTTACACGACTTGTTTGACATGTTTTGAGACAGGTCTAACTCGCCTGGACGGACATGAATACTCTTCTCGACTTGACCAGGCCAATTCTCGACTTGTTTTTGTCTAAATTATATATAACTTCACTCCAATTATTTAGAATTTTATTTTTATTACCTCATATTTTAGCTATAATAAAGTTGTAAATAAGTGAGAACCTTAGTGCATCGAATAATTTAAATATATTTATCATACTATAGATTGTTTCTTAATTTTCTTAATGAAAAATCAATGTTTCTAATGTTTTTCCTATAATTAAATTATACACTCATATGAATCGATTTGTCCCGACTCGGGCCCTATGATAAATTACTCGACCTGTCACGAGGCGGATATGGGTATCGAGATACCCTCCCTGACCTACCTCATTGCCATTCGTAGTTTTAGGTTTTGGATGAAACCGAAAAATCAATAAGCCATTAATGCAATAAAAGGTTCAGTTTTGGTTTCCAGCTTACTCTGCCAAATAATGATAAAGTTTTAAAGATTTCGATTTCGGTTTGGGCAGTTAACTATTTGAGTTTCAATTTTTAGTGGTTTTTCGAGCGGTTAACCAAATCAAGCTAGCCACCCCTATGTGAATTATGGTAGTTGAAAACATGTAACTTGATAACAAATTTTGTGAGGTAAACACCGTTAACTGATTTCTACCATATCTATTTTTATTTGGAATGTCATATTTTGTTAATCAGACATGAATCGACACAAATTTAATGTACTACTGGTCGTACCATTCAACTTGCTAAACCGGTGGTTCAAATTGGTTTGGCAACCTTGAGCACAATTGATCACTATGGCACCCAAATTTCTAGGGTTTATTTTATAGATAAACGTAAATGATGGATAAAATCTGTTAAGAGGAAGAGGTAATTGTTACGAATGGAGTGAAAAGGATTGACGGGACGGCGAGGGCGGCGGCGGCGGCTATAGATGTAGATATGTGCTGCATTTTTCAATTAGGAAGCCCGGAAGGAAGGAAGGAAGATCTCCCACCGATTTCTTCTCATCAATTCTTCCAAATTCATACACGTCGTCTTATCTCCTCCCCTCCATCCTAAATTCCTAGCTGTGTTGAGGTGATAAAAATTAAAAAGGACATTTTTAATACCTACATTTGTGCTAACCCGATAAGAACTAACAACATGCTAACTATCGGTTGTAGTAGTTCACGTAAGAGTTGTAGTTTTATGATTGCAAAAACAAAAATTACAACTACAAAAGTCATCATGATTATAGCTATGATTGTGAAGGAAATGCAATCCTACAACTGCAAAATACAACAATTCAGCGGCGGACTCAGAATATTCAGAGAGGTGCAATCTTACATAGTTTCATTGTTTTTCACAGTGAGCAAAAAATTTGTATATTATGAGAGGCTTGTGAAATACACTAATCGTTTATTTTGAAAAATAAGTATTTTTCAATGCATACAACCTAACAATTATCGATAAATTTGTCATTAAAATATAAATTTATGACTTTGTTACGGTGACATTCAAGTTACCGTGAATGGGACAAAACGGTCTACCAGTTCCACCAACTGGCCTGCCTCTTTCATCAACCGCACCCGATGAACCATTGCTATTAATAGATATGCTTGATGGTAAGAAAGTTGAAGTTAGAACAAAAGTTGGAGCATGGATGATAAGTTTCTCTAGTCATTGTTCTCCCGTAGATATAGAAAATATTAAGCATATTTATTTTTTAGATTTGACTTATTCTACAAAGACTTTCATATATTTCCTTCAAATTCTCAGTTTGCATTTTTTTATCATATAGTTGTCTTTGTGATGGAACAACTTTGTTGTTATTGTTGTTATGAAGATACTTAAAATGTAGGTATAATTGTTATACAATTGTGTCATTTTCAACGTGCATAAATCTTCTATCATCTTGCTTTTATGGGTTCTTATTTCAGAAGTGCTAGAAGAGAGTGTTATTTATTTTTGTCTATGTATGTAGTCTTTAAAGAGATTTGGTTGCCCATGGGTGGTAGGGTATTGCATCTACAGAACAATTTCGTATTGTAGTCATTCTATTGTCCATTATTTTCCTAATGTAAGTAGATGATAACTTAGTCATTTGGTGTATCGTTCACTGTAAGCGATTGACCATTTTCCAGAAGCGGTAGAACGACCCCTTCTAAAAAGCATGTGTAAGTTGAAGGTAAGTGTGATGTCCAATCAACCTTTTTACGGAAGCGGTTGACCATTTTCTCCAAATCACCATGACTTGCAAGTCACCATATGCATACCTTCATTTTATCAACTTCATAGTAAAAAAGTCATTTCACTGCTTGCAATTGCAACAGATGTATCAGTTACAACTTTCAGAGGTGTGTCAAAGATTATAATTTCAAATTTTTATAACAACAAAACCTAAACTTTCATCGAAATCCTGGGTGCGACACATCTCCCCTTAATTTAGTTAGATCTGCACCTACAATGACTGCAACTGCAAAACAATGTTTACAACTATTATTGTACTACTACAACTCATAATTAGCATGATGTTAACCCTTATAATTAACAAGCTAATCGATTCAAGTTAATTTTTAACTGGTATAGTTTGTTTGTTTTTCCCTATATTCTGATTTGGCTTTTTTCCTTCTTTCCTTGTCAATTTGTGTAAATCTGTTTGTTACATGTATGACGCATTCAATCGTATCTTGAGTAAAATTAAAGGTATAGTATGCATTGAGTAAGAAAATGATATCTAAACCTAGGGGTGGAAGTTTGGTTATGGTTTGTGGATAACCCATGAACCGCATCAAACCACACACATTGTGGTGAACCACACCCACAATTTGTGGGTAGTGGGTTGGGTGTGGTTAGCAAAATTCTAACTTGTGTGGCTAGGGCTTAACCCACAAAATTCACTATACCCACATTAACATTAGTAAAACAAACTTTTCTTTACATTTAAGTCCATCGTGCTTATTATTAATAGTTTATGATATAAGAAGTAATAACTAATTTTGTAAAAGGCTGAAATAACTCAATGTAAAAAATGCAAACTTATAGGGTGTCGTGTAAGATTAATTTACATTTTTGTAATGCAAAAACTATAGTCTCTTTCTCTCTCCGACACAAAGGTAGAATACAAAAATCGGGGAGACAACATCCCCACGTTGAGTAAGAAGTACAAAACTGCATCTTTACAAATAACACAACAGTATATCTTCGTGTTGTGAACTGTGAATTTCTCACTATCCATCAAGTATATATATGTAGTGAGAAATGACGAGGAATGATGATCCATTTCAGAGTGGCAGCAGCAAACACATATGTATATATAATTTGGTCGTTTCTTTGCCTCAGGCACCCAACTCGTTGGTCCAATGTTCGATTGGCAAATGGTATAAGTGCTAAAGGGACTATTAAAGGAATGGGGATGAAAAGAGAAGGTCGAGCACTATTGCAAAATGGTTGAAACTTACCATTTTTACGTAACTCAGCCACCAAAGCAAAAGTGAGGAAGAAAACTGAAACCAAGGTTGAAAAAAAAAAAATGAAGAAGGCAATTTGTGGGGTGAGAAGCTGCAGTTATAAAAATAGCTAGGCTAGGCTTAGATTGTGAGTTGCCGCATGCGTTGTCCATAGTGTTTGTGGCCCAATTGGAGAAACCAAAATTAGACCCACGCAACGACAAACTTTCCTACTACCCAGAAAAAAAGAGTCGAAAGTATACTTGTGCAGAGTGAGACAGAGAGAAGGAAAAGGAGAAAAGAAGTGGCGTACCTGTAAATTCCAGCCGCGCCCCCAGTCCTCCTGCTCTAAGTTCTCTGTAAAACGATTTCAGTTATATGCCATGGATCATTAAAGGTTAGAGAGAGAGAGAGCATGTATACGTCACCTGATGTTGTGAATAAAGGGTCAACGCAATTCGACAAGATGGAGCTACTGTGTAGGCTTCGCTTCAAATCCATACTGCTGCGCAAGCAAAACCCATTATTATTGTTCTTCTCTCTCTCTCTCTCTCTCTCTCTGCCTGTGTACAATGTATATGTAAGTAGTGGTAAATGTTTTCTGTTTCTGTTCAGAAGAAGAAAACAGAGGATTTTTTTTTGCATTAAATAATTTGTCAAAAATATGCTTTTGATTCCCTTTCTCTGCTGTTCATGCATGCTTACTCAGACATGACGCGGCGACCAAACACTGGCTTCCTTAAACTAAACTCACCGGTTATATTCCCTTTTTTCCCACAAAAAAAAAAAAAAAAAAAGTGTTTCACCTGTCGGCACTCAGCCGTGGAATCCACGCTCGAACAATCGAAATGTGTGGACTGTGGTTCTCCCTTCAATTGGCGGGGGCCACGCGCGGATACCAGGACCGAGGAATCATAGGCGCGCAGTGATATTTTTGGTGGGCTTGGGCCGAGCGTGGGCCCCACCTTCGTTGTGCCGGCTCGGTTTGCTTAATAAGTGAGTGAGTGCAGGCTGACCAACGTACACCTGGATTTGCAATTATTTTTTAATTAACACACCCGAACCAACTAATTAATTAATAAACCCTTCTTGAACAGAAATCACTGACTGTCATCGTCCCTCACTAAGATAGTGTTCAACACGTAATTTGTGTTCCACCCCCCAAATGTGGCTTTTTGGCATGGTCCATGAAACTCTACCGTGTTGGCAGTAGTTCAACCACAAAATACAAGTATTGGAGGCTAAATCGGTAGGTGGTATTTCACAGTCTAACGGTTGAACTACGATTAAACCACGGTTTAGTCATAAAAATATCATATTGCTGACTTTTCGGATACGATATCCGGTACGATTTCATGGACCATGCTTTTTGGAGTCCTCTAAAACCGGCCGCTAATATCTCGAATATCGTTAAACTTTCATCTTCTCTAGTCCGGCCAAGGTGGTTTCTTAACCCTTGTGGCTTGAGATGTTACAGCGACATATACTCTTTCTTTTAATTAAGAAACGAAATCAAATGTTGGGATATTAAGAAAACACGTGAAAATTGGTAGGAACAGAAACAAAAAAGAATTTTTTTTTCACTATCTCAGAAAGTATAATCCTAACAATCTCAATAAAAAGTTGAGATTGTAAATCATTCAAAATGAAATAATTTGAAGTGTTGCACCACAAATTAAATACATGCTTTTGGTTTCATTTTTTAAAATATAAACAAATATAATCGGCACAATACATGGATTCAATAAATACACCTTTTTAGAATCATAATATACAAAATGACACTTTACCGATGATGATTCCAGCTAGAATGTACGATAATTCGATCTGACATGAAGTACATAATTAAGTCAAATGTACTGTTAAATGGTCGACCAAATTGGCTCGAGTGTAAGTTTTTATTTTTAAGAATGACTTACCATAGTGATCATACGAGCCACGTAATGTGTGTCTAAACAAAAATAGTAAATCAGTCTGTTCAATATGACCCAATAAAGAATCATCAATACAAGTGGTGATGAGCATAATAGATATAGAACGTCAGAAAATAGGATGGGGGAATAATTAATATAAAATCAGAGTATAGAAATAGATTGTACGGTCACCGGATAAATGCTTCCTAGAATTAATCGAAACATAATAAGTCACATCAAACTCCATCACAAATGTGAAAGAGAACAATTGATTTATTTTCAATAGATACCAATTGATTTTTGTTTTACAAGGAAATGATAATATAAGTTCAGCAAGTTAAGCCCTTCCATCACAATAGAAATATAAGTCAGATTGGCTGTTAATAAAAAGAAAAGAAATATAAATCAGATCTTTTTTTGGAGGGAATCTTACTAAAGCGGATTGTTCATTTAGTCGAGTTTATTTGAGTTTTGTCTTACAAAGTCTATAGTAGCGTGTAGTCTATCATCAAAATTCAATATTCAATACAAAGTAGCGATCTTTCATAACTAATACAATAATATAAGAAGCAAAGTATTTCAGTATTAACTACTAAATTTTATACCAGTCATAAATACTGAAAAACATATTTGTACTACCGGTATTCATTATTAACTATTAACATAACTATTGTTTCCTTTACCACTTAATGCAATTTCATCACAGTTCTAAAAGAACTATTACCATAACAGCTAAAATGTGTATAATTTTTTTTTTTGGACAAGTAGCTACTTTTTTCTATTATAGTTTAAAAGATATGACAAACTCAAAATGTTGATAACTATAAACCACAAATATGATTGTGAATAGTGATTAACCAAATTGTGTATTATTTGATGTTAATTGTGGTTAATCAAATTTATGAAAGTGTATCAGGGTATATATCATAGTGTAGAATGGTTGTATAGATGATAGTATGAATAAACTAACCATAATTTACCACATTTTACTGTCGTTTATCACCCTATATTAGGGTGGTATATGGTGATATATTTAGTTTAAAAAAAAAAATCATAGCAAATTGTAGATCACGATGAACTCGTTCTTTCTGTACAACAATTTCAAATTTTGAGTTAATGCAAAGGTGGTACACAATACTTGTGTGGTAGGGGAGTGGTAATGAGTGATACAAAAATTTTCTCTCAAAATATATACAAATAAATTAAATTTTATAAATTATAATCAAATCAAATCCAATACTCAAAAAATTTATTTCTGACACTTTCCAAGTGCCATAATAAAACTAATTTTATACAATGACCTATTAACATTTTGCTCACCGTCCTTGAAAATTCAGTGATTTAGCTCAAACCAAATGCTCCAAATATGATGGCAGACGGATAGTTTATATTCATTACCCTTTTTAAATAGTTCAGGTTTTACTCGTACTCACATAAAAGTTCGTAGAAAATTTAAAGCATGCCCATACCTTATCGATTTTCGGGTATCAACAGTTATCAATGAATATTAATTTCTATTTATAACTCCAACCAACTTGTTAACATTCTCACACACATACTGACATTACATAAGTGGAACAGTACGACAACCGTCATTAGAATGAACAAAAGTAGTTAAAAACAACACCAATTTCATGCAAATTTATATATGTGTAATATATATAAAATATGTTGAAAAAAATAATGATCAATCTCTAGACAAAATACATATGCACGTATATAATCAGTGGCGGAGCCACATGAGGCCAAGGTGGGTCATTTGCACCACCTTGGCCCAAAAAATATGGAGTAAATTAATTTATATGATTGTTGATAAATACAAAATTTCTATATGAATGGTTTATGATCTCTATTTAACTTTTAGTTTATATATTCGATAAGAGATTTTAGTATATACAAAAACTCGAAAAGTAATGTTATTACTTAGACCTGTTTGTTGCTATCGGTTGTCATTCAAGTATTGAAAGAGTACTTATGCAATTAGCAAAGTAAAGAAATACTTCATAATAAGATGAGTTGTGTAATCATGAACGATTTTTCGTTGTGATATCTTAACATCTCTCATAATTTGCTTGATGAATATATTTTAGAAAATTTTCAAAACATGAACACATTCAACAACATACGTTATATATATCTTTTCATATTTGACCCACCTTAGATAAATTTCTGGCTACGCCACTGTATATAATGAGAAGAATTTGAATTCAACATTATAAATACATGTTTACCCATTTTACCCGCAACATTCACATTCGGATTGTACTCCTACCCATTGAAAATCTTCCAAAGTTCAAGTGTTATCAAAAAGATGAAGGATGGCGGAGCGAGCCCTGGCCTAAAAGTGACCATCTCAACTCAAGCCCTCCCTAGGTCCATCAAACAGAGTCTGGGGCTATGGGCCCATACAAAGAGAAAATGAGAATAAAAAAATATCGGAGTTTCACAACGGTCAAACTACAATGCAGAATCCTTCAGATAAAAACTCTAGAATGGACAAAAAAAAAAAAATATGACCAATGCAATAATCTCCTCAATGTGACAAAGAATGCATTGTCGAGAGATCTTTTCTTTCTTCCTAGGTTAGTGACCATGACATCATGACGATATTCCCATTGTTAGAGAACCAGCCACATGAACCCTTATGGCTTTCAACCTCACAAAATGTGCCTGCCAAGTTCCTTAGATTCATCATTGCCTAACAACATGAAGGCATCGAATTCATATTCCAAACCTGAGGACCCTCTACATCACTTAAAGAAAACTGCACAATCCTCATTCTTCTTCATCATGCTTTCCCGTCAACTGTATCTTGTTCGGCGAGATCAAGGAATGCATCCCCCTAAACAAGAGAATAATTATCATTTTTAGAACATGGCACAGGAGAAAAAGAAAGAATATCCATCCAACTCCAACAAAATGGAGACCACAAAACTTGAAAAGTAAAGCAAACCCATGATACCATTCTGATGCTTACATACACTAACACCAAAGCATAGCAACAGAAAAAATGTCTCCTCTTTCATTGCAGCTCCATATAAGAATACACACACACACACACACAAAAAGAACACTTGAAAAAGTAGAGGAAACACTATCAATGGCTCCAAGAAAATGGATGTTCCCATCAAATTGCTCTCCCCATGTTCATATGGGTTCTCATCCCTTCCTCTCTTTCCCCACTTTTCTGGTGCAGAATACTGTTGCTCAGTCCAAATAAGGTGGAGGGTCAACGCACAGTTGGAACTCTCTTTTACTTCATAGCAAAAGATTTACTTAATAGTGACACCACATACCCTAGCTTCTCGATTCTGACTACAAATTCATCTGGATCCTTATCCCAAGCTAGATGCTTTTGCTGACCTACAATTGCATTTTGCTATCAACCGAAGTGAACCCAATGACGAGTCCCTATGGGCATCATCATCATCATAAGTTGGCTCCTGTAACAATAGATAGTGATGTGCAATCCAGAGATCATTCGCCACCCTGCCTCCACTATACTATAGTGGTTCTATTCTATCATTTGGTCTGACAGATGATAAGAAGGAAAATATCTACAAAGAAAATGCATGACGTACTCGAGGGTGGCTGTCCCTCAAATTTTGAAGAGGATCTCGAAGTCTAGAACTTCAAAACAAATTCACAGAACCTGAGTTCAATTGCAGCCGCAAGAGAATCAAATTATAAGGACACAGTTCCATCTATGATAAGTACCAACAAGTGTTTGGATCGATCTCCTTCAGATACTTCTTAAAGCTTTCAAGTGCAGCAAATTCCATCCCCCTGATAAATCAGAGAAATCAATAGTTAGGGTCCAAAGACAAATTAAAGGATGAAAGAGGTTAGTAGCTAGAGACAAATTAATAATAATAATAATTCCGAACCATCTCATCCACTAATATAATCAGGGACGATAGTGTCTCTCAAATGCTGCATGCGGTCATGTTCTCCTTGAAGCAGGCTCAGAACCTGTGGCAGGAGGTCATCGTGTGTAAGTAAACCGGAAGTATAAAGGTTTGTTCACAAGCAGAAACCAGGACTAGATGGATAGCAATATTCAACTGACTTGATCACAATGTGATGGTTATTATATTCAGCTTATTTAACATAAGAATAATGGAAAGGCTTCACATTCTACCAAGATTCCAATATGAAGAGCTAGCAACTATACAGAGAGATATGCAGAATTCTTTCCAAGATCTAATTCAGACAAGTTTCCTTCAAGCTGGTAGCCGGATGAATATCTGTGAACTTAACAAAAATATTTATGTACTGAAGTTGTAATTTTGATGCAAAATTTTATGTAACATATGAAAATTTTAGAATATCGGGCGTGAAAACTAAAAAGTAATTTAGCAGAAACCCATGTAATCAAGGCGAATAGTTTTGGGTTTTAGGGGTTATGACTGGATGGGTTGGGTTGGGTTGATATTTGCAATCTATAGTCGCCTAATGTCTCGAAGAAATCGTCTAACATTCAATAGCTCCACACAAATCCCAGCAAAGAAATGTACTGAGATAAAACGGAGACCCTCAGTGTGAAATCGAAGTACCTGTCCAGCCGAAGGTCGCATTTCAGGGTTCCTTCGCACACAGAGATAAGCTGCTTTAGCCATTTGGTATAGCTCATATGTATCGTATGACTCTCCTAGACGAGGATCTATAAGCTTGTGCAAAGCGAGCTTCTCAATCAATGGTTCTGCCTGAAAAAAACAATTGTGTTAATTAAGTTAATACAACCGATTATGGATCCTTGGTATAGGATGTGTACAATTGCACTGATGTTAATTATAATATCAGAATCTAAACATCAAAGTTACCCATTCTCTAATAGATTGTTGTCCTTCTTGCTGCCTGGCATCAATTACTCTGCGTCCTGATATTAGCTGCAACAAGATAACACCAAATGCATACACATCTGTCCTAACAGAAATTATACCACTTTCCACGTACTCGGGGGCAAGATAACTGCAAAAAAAAAAAAAAAAAAAAAAGAAGGTGGATTGAGAGATTTCCGAATAGAAGCATGCCTAAAAAATTCCACGAAAATGCCACTGAAAGCAAAGTGATCCAACAAACCAAAAGACTATAGCATACCCTAATGTGCCGAGTAGTCTTGTCTGCACAGGATCAACAGTCTTCCATCTTGCAAGACCAAAATCTCCAACCTGTTTCAACAAGGCAAAGAAATAATAATAAAAATTTACAAATATTTCTTTGGGTAGCATTGTTCGCCCCAAGGTTTGAACCTAGGATGTTATGGATGTTATCATCCCCACATTACCTCTAGGCCAACCCTTGGACTATGTCAGACCAAATTTGAGATGACAATCTTTTCTAGGATATATTATTATATTAATTCAAAGCATATGAAACCCTAATAAACACTAGCCAACAAAAAGAGAATAGAGAAATAATTCACCTCCTTTATGACACAGGAAGAGCTGTCAAGTTTACTTTTGCTTATTGTTTTCCTGACCTAAGCACAACTCTTTCTATTTAATTTAGAGTCTTCAATTTCTTCTATAATCATATAAGCACAATGATAAGAAATTCTTCTAAATGTCTTATCTTTTGCATTTATGCATTTTGGAAGTGCTCATTGAGAAAGTAACAGATGCTAGCTCTTATCTCCTGCATTCTAATTACAATCAAATTCAGACCCAAATTAAGAGTTAAGACTAGACCTACGAAGAGCTTAGACCAGAATAGCACCAACCATGATCTACTTTTTGAATCAGTAATATGAATAGGAACTACAAAGAAAGAGATTTAGAATTTCACCATAGGAACAAAATCATGAGTGAGCAAAACATTGTTGGGCCGCATGTCTCGATGTATGATTGGGCTGCCTCTGCATTCTTCATGCAGAAAACGCAGACCTCTGCCAATTCCCATGGCAATGTCATGTCTTTGGTTCCATTGTAAGGTATCTGCTGTTTTATCTGGAGAGAAAAGGTTGAAGAAGTCCAATATTATGTTTGCATTTAGAGGAATACATTGACACTCCCAACAAGCAGTGTAGCAGAGAAATCTGACGATTACTTACCAAATAAATGCCAATGTAATGATTTGTTGCAAATATACTCATAAACAAGTATGTTAAGGTTTTCCTTGCAGCAGAAACCCAAAAGCATTACTATATTCTTGTGGCGGGCAAAATTCAAGACTTGAATTTCAGATTGAAATTCTGAAAACCCCTGCTGACTTTCTTCTTTGTGCACCTTCGCTGCAATGAACTGTCCACTATGCAGCTTACCCTTGTAGACATGACCATACCCACCTTCTCCCAAGACATTGGCATCTGAAAAATTGTCTGTTGCAAGCTGAATCTCGGATAAGTTGAATCTCATTGAATCCTTGACATTCAGATCAGTCCGGATGCCACAAATGGAGCAGAGAATAGGTTCTTCCAAGGACTTCTGTCTGAAGATATCACTGAATTGCCTTTGCATGATTTGATTTTCAGCACGATGCTCAGTTTCTGCTTTGGAATACATGATACTTATTATGGATGGCAAGGAAATAAATCCTACAGAACAGACTTGGCAATATTTTCATGCAAGAAACTAACTTGAAACATAATTCCAATGTGTTTTGGTTCGATTCAAAATTGTGATTGTCATATGAAGACAACCAAAGAAAATGGCATAGTTGAGCAACAACCTAATTCCGGGTGCCATGCAGGACTATACTATCAGGGAAGCACAAATTCAATGCATTTCATTTGTCTACCCTTCAAGTTAACTTTTATGTGACTGTTTGCGGGTACATTCTCCCAAGAACTTCAGATTTCCGAGGGTTGAAAATTGTTTGCTAACCATTTAATAACCTCAGTGCCTTCCTCTCATGAAAACATAGCTGTGATATATTTGGACTCTCATAGACGGTCAAGGCCAGGAAACAAGGAAAAGAAAACCCCATTTATAAAGTTTGCTGACCTGATACATAATGACTGCCAGAAGAGCCAAGATCAGACGAGATGTTACTGTCCATTTCCCACTTGGATTCTTTATTAAATGAATCCCCAGAGGAAGAGCTGCTTGAAACTACTAAGTGCCTCCTGTTTCCATGACCTTGATAATTCAAGACTGGAACATGTCTCGAACTTGAATAAAAAGACTTATGCTCTGTAACATCTGAGATATTCTTTGTATGATCTCTTTCAACTTCCACCGACATGTTATCGTGAATTAAGGCAATTTTGGAAGCAACCTGAGTAAGGTAAAACCTCAAATCCCTTCTTAAATGCCTGTTCAAGTAGGCAGCAACTTATCAGATCCAACCAAAATTACCAAGCACATAAAACTACTATAGGGGTCATCATAGTCAAGGCAGAACAAGCTAACTGTGCGAGAATAGCAGACAAAATTAACTGTAATAGCATTTTTTTTTTCTTGTCAGTTCTAATCGTTATTTTCTTGGAATTATTCTTCATTAGGATTGCTATGAGTAGGGAAAGAACAAATACACTAAAAAATGAATAACCAGCCCCTTCCATTTCTTTTCTGCGAATAATCATCAGGTATAAAATAGTAGGAAATATTATTCATGTGTCACACTAAAGATTGTAGAAACCTCAGAGATCATCGACGGTCAACTATGGTGAAGCCAGAGAAACATTGACAGTTGCAAATAGAAGGATTATTGTTTTACCAATGCGGTTCCATGCAAATGAAACAGAAAACTACCTGTCTAATACAAGCCACGCTGCACTGCAAGCTGCAACTTCTTGAAGCACAACCTGTTTTGCTGGAGTTCCAGCAGTAATTGTAACTTCAACACGAACCTGTTATTGCAAACAACGAGAATGTCTATAAGAACCCAAAAAAGATACAACACAGGAGAAAGACAGAGACTAGATCAATGTATAAATTCTCTAACATAACTGACATATAGGGCATGGACAAATAGACAGATAAATCTAGTATTACCTCGGTATGAAAATATGTAAAAGAACATAATAAAAAGATAAGTCTTCAAAACATTATTATTTTATGCAGTATACATACTTCTACGTGTGCCACCATTTTCACCAGATGGTTTCCAGGTCCTAAGAGTTTTTTTCCTTCATTAAAGCAAAAATGAACGAATAAAAGAAAGCATATGAAAAAGTGTCAATATGGAAACATGATAACAAATAGAACACAACATAACGACCAAATTCGACTTAAATGAAAAGAACAATCTGAAGTAACTATCAAACAGAACGATCTAAGGATAACAAGTCTCGGATGACAAACATGAGGATTACCCTTTCGGCTTCACAGACTCCAGCACTTCTCACGAGCATGTTTACGTAGGTATCAACTTTCTTGATAACTTCCTCTTCCATTACACGAATGCTTGCTCCAGCAAATGAATCAGGGCAAGCTTTCACTTGGTAACCCACTGCATCAACCAACAAGATATAAAGCATACTTCACATTACAATGCAAATCAAAAGCACCAGCTAATGAAGACAGCAACAATCATCACCAGATAAAGACATACTCAAGTTTTGACATACAACAATGTTTAAGAAGTCTAAACTGTGGTCTGGTCTCCACATCTACTTAGACCAATCAGAGCCATGATTTTCAATTTAAACACTTGCAATTTTACACTTCCCTCCTTTCTTCTTTGTCCAAAGACGGCCTATTTTGGTTGGACTAGGCAACGCAGAACCATAAGTTTCTGCCACTAGGATATCAATTACTAAATAAAAAAGGGGGGTAAAGAAAAGGGTTGCTGTGACTTCAGTGAGGCATTAAATCAAACACTTACTGGGATGCGGCACCTTGTCCAAAACTCCTAGAAAAACCAGTCGATCACCAGGGAAAAGAATGCCACCCTTCTTCCTGACTCCATCAATGGTAGCCTTAAGCTCTTTAACACTCCTCTCCTTTGTAGCATCGAAAGCAATGACCACGACCGAGGGCAAAGGAGAAGCCTCCATGAGCAGCAGCAGCAGTAACCCAATAACTGTCCCAAGGCTGACCACCACAGACACAGCTGGCAACGTCTCTAGCCCTTTTAAATAATGGGCACGAAGGGATTGCTGGCTGGAGCAGATAACATTGTAGACGAATGCGAAGAGAAGGGACAGAAGGTCCATGGGTCGACATTGGTGAAACTTTGAGTTCTTTGTCTCCTGGCTTCCCCCAAAGGGTTTAATTGGGCGGCGGACGTTGGAAGAAACGGCGAGATAATATTCCAGGAATACGAAGAAGAGATATCCATTGGAGATATTCCATTTACAGATTAGATCCCATAAGAAGGATTCTCGGAGCATTGATCGTGCCGCCGTCGGTACGGTTAGGGACAACCAGAAACATATCAATCACGTCTCGGAGTTACGCGACACTGCGACAGATCGAAATGGTCTCATCTCATCGAAGAAAGAAGAACAGAGGGCTAAAATCCCAAATGGATCAGCAAACTACGCTGGATATGACAAAATGGTCATGCTAGACTTTAAAACTTGATATTTGGTCATCTGAGTTATCAATTTCACCAACATAATAATGTACTCAACTCCATCCAACATTCATTCCATAAGCTAAGGTGGTATCCCATGGAGATTATGAATACTAGTAATTGACTCTGCTTCTATTATCTCAATTAATGGCTACAGCACAATTTCACGAGAGAAAGCCAAGTAGAGAAGGAGTTCGGATTCGAATCCCCATCAAGTTTTTTTTCTGGCATAAAGGGAGGCCGAGACCAAGAAAACAGAACAAGTTACAGAGTAGAAGTAGAAGGAGCTTGGAGGTTCACAATGCGCCTTTGAAAGGAAGTGCCAAGAAGATCATCTCGGAGAATCAGTGCTAAGCCTTGTGGAGGATTAGCAAGCTCATACACCCTGTAGGGATAGACGAGATTGTGGTTCGAGAGCCAATCCCTATCAAGTATTAACCAAACTGCCCAAACACGATATAGACAAGGTGTTCTTTCCTTCTTTGATAAATCACATCGTTTCAAAAGAAGAGACCATAGAAATTCTCAAACTAGTGTTAATACGATATTCTCATGAATTACCATACTATTAACTAATTAATTTAGACTAAATGTTCTCATTGGCCTGAAGTTCATAAGTTAACGCATTGAATTGATTTGTAAATACCCGCATTAAATTTTCACCCGAATCAGGAGGTCCTATGTTATAACGACCCAATCAATCCCTCATGTTCTTAAGTGTTCTATATGGATTTGGGGACTTCAATTAAAAGCTCACAAGATAAAATAAACAATATATTGAAGGAAAACGAATATCAATATTTATATTAATTCAATCAATCCAAAAAATAGATAGCTAGCATTCATCTCATCCGATAAAAAAGAGACTAGTTCGCGAACAAAAACTTTGTTTAGTGGTACTATCACTAATCTTGAACCTAGAGGTCCCGGACTCAAATCTCTTAAGTATAAGACCAAAATATAACACTCCATACCACCCTGGTGTAGGGGTGGTAATTTTGGTAGACAATGACGAACGTGGTAAATGACAGTTCTTGTATTCCTATTATCATGTATTCAATAATTATACATTTTGTATGTTCATACCACTATGATACACTTTCATACCACGTGGTATGATCTTATGCGATACCAAACATTACCACCATGGTATAGATATTGGTAATAACTATTTTTTCCCCCAAAATGTATATCATTTTGAAAAACACAATTAATCTGATTTATCTGTGACTGTAAAAAAATTAAATTACGACTTATAACAAAAGAGAAATAACCCGTTGCTATTTGTAGGAAAAAAATTAGAGATATTTTATAGATGATATGACAGGTTACACATGTTCATGCGGACCAAAGATAAGATAGCCTAACGATAAATCTGTCGCGACAATGAAAGCTTGAGCGTTGCAAATCCTAGGTTCAAATCCAAACGAGACCCGTTAGTTTTCTCGAAGGTACAAAACTCTTGGGGGCGAAATCTCTTACTAGGACACGCTGTCACAAACTGGACGTGTGACTGAGATTTCTAGGTAATAAAAAAAACACATGTTCATGCGAAAAGTTATACAAGCATCAGCTGCCGAGTTCTAACCTCATCTTTTGGCGTCACGGTGTCTTTATATTTGGCTCTAATGTGATAGTTTTGGAGTTTGTTACGTAACCAAATATGTCTAAAATATTTTAGCAAATGAATATAAACAATTAACTAATATATAAAACGAGTGGAAACATGAGAACAGCCGTTAAACCAATACAACACCACCAATGTAAAACTCTTGCTTCTGATTTGTTTCTTTGGTTGAGCGGGTGTGTTTGTTTTACATTTTCTTCTTCAAGTGGAGTTCAAAACAATCATTTTGTTATACATTTTTTTTCCATTTTTCAATAACATAAAAGTCTTTTGCGAAAAATCAAAAAGTTTTTTCGGAATTGCAAATGTTTTAGATAATGGTTTCGAAAGTACAATATACGCTACTATTTTTCTTAACGAAAAATATAATTTTCTTTCATTGATATTATTTTATAACTCAAATAAAATAATATAATTAAAATTAGGTAAATCTGACAAAATTCAGTTTGGATATTTTAAAAAAAAATTCATTGGAAACTTCTTAAATTATTTTACATGATATAGTAAACAGTGCTTTTAATAGTTAATCATTCAAATACTTAATTCTTTTTCTAAACACACTTGTAACATCTCGAACCAGAGACCTCCCGTTAATATATGATGTTTCTTATAAATTGTGATGAATCTCTTCCTTCGATACTTTGTCAATACATAGTTTCTTGAAAGTGTTACACTTTCACTAACACTCTGTTTGGGAACCTAGTGCAAATGGTGGGGGGTGCATAATTGAGGGGTAAGCACAGAAATCGAAATATTTACCCCCATTTGGTTCTTTTACAACAGTGGCAGGCGGGTGCATGGCTGGGGTAAATCTACTGTTTGGGTAAGCCCCCCAAATTGGGGCGTAAAACATTGTGGGAGATATATTTTATTTTTTCATTTTTTTAATTAGTCCTTCTTGATGTTGTCCCACACACATGGTGAGAGAGAAAGGGCCCACGCCCACGCCCACTTGGAGAGATGAGGAAAGAAAATGAAATCAGATAGATGGTGAGAAAGTGTAAAAGAAAATAAATAATGTTATTAAAATAATTTAATATTTTTTCTAATATAAAATTATCATTAATATATTTTGATTTCCCAATTGCACCCTCCTACTTTGATGGCTCTCGTTCGTTTATTTTCGTGCATTTGATGGCTCCCGTACTAAACGCATATAAAACCCGTATAACACGTTTGATATTCGTATTTAATGAATTAAATTGTTCAAATTAATATTATTTATATATTTATTTAATTTTACAATAATTATTTTTTATATATATTTATGACTGTTAAACGTAACATTCGGTTAGTGACGAAGTAAAATATCCGTACGTATTTTATACACAACTTTCCCTTACCGTATGTCACTACCTATGTATAATACAACATTCATATTATTATATGTACTCTTTATATATAATAATCTAAAACTCTTTTTTACATCATTTTGCACCCCCCTACTTTTTCATCCAAACAACAATTTACCCCTCTACTTGCACCCCCCAGCAATTTGCACCCTCCAGCAATTTGCACCTCAACTTGCACCCCCCTGCAATTTGCACCCCCCTTGTTGCCAAACAGAGCGTAAGAACCCCAACAAGAAACTACTTGGAAAAAAATAATAATCTAAAACAGCATCAAACCTGCCATATTTACTAATGATTAGGAATCCAAATGGTTCTTCAACTCTGGCCGCATATGCTCTTTTTTATTTCACTTGGCCGCAGATGTACATGCCTTAAAAAGTCTACAGCTTTTCTTATGCATTTCTTTTTGGCCGGGGAGGAAGCCAACTTAGTACTTACTAAGCTAATATATATCTATATATAGACCTGCAAAACACCAATAATCATAGAAATTAGGCACACGCACGTACGATTAAGATTTAAGACTTTCCCTTCTTTCGCGTCGATCACCAACCAAACCAAACCAAACCAAACCAAGCCAACAAAAATGGAGTTCAACGTCAAGACTTTCCTTCTCCTCGGCCTTCTCCTCGTCGCGTCGCTCCTCGCGCCTTCAGCTTCAGCAGCCGGGCGACCAGAAGTACTGAAGGGTCAGTAAAATATTATTATGGTTGTTAATTATTACTATTGCTAGCACTTTGCTAAGGTGATGTACAAGTTATCGTGATTTAATTTGGAAGAAATGATTTACCGCTTTCATCAAGCGGTTTACCGTTTCATCAAACGACGATGGACCGGGTGAACTATTGTTAGTGAAATAAACATATCAAATTAGAGACATACAATATTAATATATATCATAGTAGTAAGACGGTGACAGATGATGATCCAGAAAAGTTCACACAAATTTCTTTCTAAAAATTACAGAAAAAATATGTATAATCTTGTAGAGTGGAACTAATTCGTTTTTTCCCGTACGACTTCTTAAAACAATCAAAAATATAAAATAAAAGAGATGTAAGCCAACTAAAAAAAAAAAGTTTAAGAAACTTCATTTAATCTCACAATCAAATATATATAATCCACGGTTCTGCATTATTCAAAATTGGAATTAAAATTTCGAAACAATATATAATATGCATCCCTCCATATTTACATTCTTCAAGAGCACAACGATATATCGATCTTATATTTGCATTAGCCTAAATTACATTTATTTTGAAAGTATTGTGATTCATAAGGTGGGTTGTCATTTTTTTTTTGGTTTTTTTTTTTTTTTTTGCTTCTTTTTGTGCAATTCATGTGTCTTAATGAAAGTTTCTGGTAGGTTACTACTTACTAGCCATATAAAGAAAAAAAAATTATTGACATTGAAATTCCCCAAGTAATGTTGTTTTTTTTTTCTTTACATTTTTGCCATGCAGAGAATCGGTGGAGACATGGCAATTATTCGAATGAATGATCTTGAGACTGAGAGAGGCAGGGTTGGGTTGCAGAAATACAAGCGTCACCGATGTTGTACGTGTTTATGTCGTTATATTGAGTTGACTGTATTGTTCAACTATGAATAATTTGGTTATATTATACAACTATTTTAACGGGTTTCTCCCACCATGCTTTGTTGTGTCGTTTACTTCACGTTGGCTTTTGTTTGTTGTGTGGTTTGTTTTTCATCGAGAGCGTTTCTCTTCATGTACCTGATGGATTATATATAGTATGCTTATTATATCACATTTTCCATACATCGCAAGCTCCTTTTGCGAAGCGAAATTTTGGGTTTGTCGAAGTCGTCACCGAACCTTACCCATAGGAAGATTTATGGCAAAAATATTACACCTTTTTCTGCAAAATTTTAGCTTAAGTGAAAGATGGTGACTATATCAACATCTCCTAATTAATGGAAAGTGATGCTCTTAGGCTTCAAACCCGCTAAATCGTGTCAAGTCCTTGCAACGATATGGTTGTGAAGCTACATTGTAGACTCATGCCGTGCAACAAACTTTAAATCGTGTCAAGTCCTATAATCCAATTAAATTTAACCCGACCAAGTGGCTGATAAAGGTTGATATATAAAAAAGCTTAGTTTGAGATATACTATTGGGTTAATATATTTGTATGCTCCGAACTTTATCAAATTTTTTCGATCTGTAACTTCATGGCCTTAACTATACATCAAAGTTACCAAATTGGCCAAACCCGATATTTGGCCTTTATCTTGGACGGTCAAACGTGTTGACTAACGGTCAACCCACCACGTCACCCCCTAATTAACATAAAAATAATTTAAAAATTAAAATTTCATATATTGTCTAATTTCAAATTATTATATTTAAATTAAAAAAAAAAACACACGATAAACTGAAAAGGTTTTCTTCATTTTTCTTGATAATGTAACCAACTTAGTAACACGTATACAGATAATAAATACACCCTAATCCTAGTCTAAGACTCTAAGTGTATCTACTTGGTAAGCTTTTCTTGGCATTTACTCCACCAAACACTCTCCGATCCGAGGAAGGCAAGGCGTAATTATCATAGAATAAAACAAAAATAGCTATAAAGGACGCGTTATCGTTCGCGAGTTTTGTGTTATTGAGTATATATATAGGTTTGTAGAGTGGAAAATAAGGAAACAAACAATCCAATTCACTAAGATGATGATGGCGGCGGCGGCGCGGACTGCGGCAGTAACAAGAGAAGAAGGGTTCAGGGAATTAGCTGCGGAGAGTTGGATTCGACGATCGATGCATTACCGGAGGAGATCATGGTGGAGATACTCTCGAGGGTCGGGACGGTGAACGAAGCGGCGCGGTGCAGCCGTGTCGCGAAGCGATGGCGGGGATTGTGGCGGTCGGTGGACGGCGGGGTTCTGGATTTCGACAAGTCGGCGGAGCTACTGAGGAGCAGCATCCCGCGTGCGCCCTTCATTCCTTGCGGGAGTTTCGCAATTTGTGGGAGCGGTGGTGGCCGCGATTGCTGGAGGGAAAAAATCGTCGCCGGATCGGTAGCACAGCACCGATTCGCCGACGGGGTGAACCGAGCCTTGAGTTCCCACCGGGCGGAGACTCTGGACGCCCTGAGATTAGGTTTCTACTTGTACACGATGGACGAGGAAACGTGGAATTGGGTGGAATTCGGGTTCCGCAAGCGAGCGAAGGAGCTGATTTTGTGGTCCTGCTTCTCCTACTCTGCCCCCGACCACCACCTCGTCTCCTTCCCCGGCCTCACCGCCGAATTCCTCGCCGGGCAGGATCTCCGCCGCCTCGAGGTTCTCAAGCTGAAGGGCGTGTCGAGGATCGCTCGGAAAGCGGTGGACCACATCCTGATGAACTCGTCCAATTGCCCATCCCTGCATCGACTGTGTATCTGCGAGTCCAATTTCGACGGGGAGGTCATCCGAATCCGTCACACCAAACTGCAATGCTAATGTGTTATCAATCTGGACAAACTCTCAGAAATAGAAGGAGAATTTTATTGATCTTACATTCTTACTTATGATACTTATATACAGAAATAGAAATAATGACTTCATTTACAACTTCAACATATATATCCACACACCACTTTCTTTCTTGCATTTCTAATACCCTCCATGCTGCCTACAATTAGGAAACATGGCATCTAGCTAGTGATTCTTCCTACCGAATTCAAGAACAACAAAAAAAATGCACAAAATGCATGTTCTAGACAGGAACATCAGAAGGGTAATCTCCAGGGTGTCTTTTGATCATCTCTCGAAGCTGCTCATGTTGCTCGCGAAGATTCGACGGCGTTTCATCATAAACGTCGCGGAACATTTCATCGAGAGAAGGCTTCTCGGTTCTCTCCGCCGCTTGAATCGCTTGCAACAGTTGTTTCCTGGTCGCGCTTCTCAGCTCCGATTCCTCACCTTCATTCCACCAGCCATTGCCTTCGACCCACTTCCGGAACCTGTTCACCGGGTTTCTCATCGCTTTCCAGTACTCGATCTCGTCCACGGGGCGGTACTTGGTCGAATCGTCGGACGTCGAGTGATGTCCTACTCGATACGTCAGAAACTGAGACACAGAAGAATCACGAACAAAGTTTGTCACGCCAAATTCGGTAGTGAACAAATAGTTAACTATATTATTTGATTTAGACTTTAGAGTGTGATTCACCTCGACTAGTACGGGTTTTCCTTGCTTGACCGCGATTTCACGAGCGGCCCGAATCGAATTGTAGACAGCAAGAGCATCATTCCCGTCGACCCTGATGCTGTCGATTCCATAGGCTTGTCCTTTTACCACAATGCCATCGCCTGCAAAAACCAACCAATCCACTTTAGACGCTCCTGAATGGAACCAAATCATGGTTGTCACGCTGGCCAGCGTGCCACCGGTTGTACCGGGTTCAACCGGTATCGGTCATAAAACCGGCATGACACCACCGGTATGACCGGCATGATCGATATACGAATCTCTAAGTAAAATGACCTTATTTTAGAGAATTTAATTGATAAAAATTATTTTATTATTTATTTTATGAGTATAAAAGTTAAATATTGATGTTATTTGTTGGATTCAAATATAAATGTTTAGGTATTGACGTTAAATGTCATGTTTAAATATGAGTATTTATAATTTTATTTGTAATATTGACCGGCATGAACCGGCACAAACCGGTATGTACCACCGGTTGAACCATTCCACTTGCTAAACCGGCACACTGGCATAAACCGGTTTGACAATCTTGAACCAAATGAAAAGATAGGAGGGTAATATGGTAATTACTCACTTCGAAACTGCTCTGATACATTGGTGCTAATGGCCCACCCATTGTTCCTGCAGACGAATAACACAGGAGATTCCGTCACGGCCGCAAAGTTCAATCCAGCATGAAAATCTCCCTGTACATACGAAAAATTAAATATCGGTAGTGTATCATTAGAGCAAATCCTTGTTCTTAACTAGATAATATACATTTAATTTTTTTTTTTACGATACTCAAATTATTCGAGTTATAAGGATGAACTGATTTACGAGTTTCGTACCTCGCTAGAGCTACCATCGCCGAAAAACGTGACGACACATGCATCTTTCTTCTCCATCTTCAGCGCATACGCCACGCCAGCAGCCTGAGGAATCTGAGTACTGAAAAGTGGGAAACAAATTAAAGAGAAAGAAACTCCCCCCAAACAAAAATGGCGAGAGGGAGAAAAGTATTTACTTACGCAAGAGGGGAAGAAACGGTGAAGTAATTGAGCTTATTGGAGCCGTAATGAATCGGCATCTGCCTCCCTTTCCCGTAATCGTCCTTGTTGCCAAAGCACTGGTCGGCGAATTCACGCAGCGAGAAGCCGCGCCACAGCAGGACACCTGGCTCCCTGTACTGCGGCATGACGACGTCGTCGGGGGTGAGAGCGGCGGCCGCCGCGACGCTGATGGCTTCCTCGCCGGTGGAGGTTAGGTAGAAGGAGAGCCTGCCCTGCCTCTGTGCTTCGTAGAAGATGGTGTCCATTACCTGAAGCCTCACCATTTCTCTGTACATCTTCAGTGCCGTTTGCTGGCTGATCAGTGGTTGTTGGTGGTGGTGGAATTGGAAGTCGCCGGCGTTGCTGCCGCCGCCGGCTGCAGGGATCAGGACGCCGTTGTCGTCGAGGACTCTGTAGCAGGGGACTCTGTTTTGGGTTGATGAGTTGGAGATGAAGTTTAGCGAATGGGTGTACGACACGTGTCCTCCGGGGAAATCCAGGCCCTGAAAATGGAGAAGAAAAACCACACTCTTGAGTTTTGACCACTGATTGACAATTGAGGTTTTGGAACACAACATGAAATTTTCAGGATAATTCAAATCATTGGAAGGAGTTGTTCTAGATATGGCATGTACTCGGTGGCGAAGTCAAGATTTAGAGTGAGGAGGGACCGAAAATAACAAATTGTAACAACATGCTATGATTGAGCCTAAATCTCGGAGGAAGGAGCTGCTACATGTGTTCTAATGTATTGTCAAGATATAAATGCACATATTGTAACCTCAAATAGAAAATGACTGAGGGTGGTTGTAGACTTGTAGTCCCTCCGAGACTACACGTTGCTCCACCACTCCATGGAACCTTTTGTTTCCATGGCAAACATGCATGAGTATAATTGTTTAGGTGGTTTCCGGGTTAGTGTATAATCATCAACACCATACAAACATGATAAATAAGAGCCAATTGAGTCCAAAATTCAGTCAAGTATGGTTAAATGGGGGAAGAACAACATGCTACGTGAAATTGGTATTGAACACAAAATCTCTCTTATACTAACATCACATCTCTACCTGCCCAGATGATTCTTAACTCGAATTGTTAGCGACGAGAAGTTTCATATTATAAATTTAGAATTCCGGAAACCTGCAAAAAGCGTATAAGAACACAATTTCCCAAGTTACAGGCAACCACAGCTCATTCAACCAACTTGACATGGCACAAAACAATAGATTGCTAGTTAAGCGATACCCATTTTGCATTAGTCAAGGTTCCCTATTGATTGAATTTTTTTTTAGAGTTATCAAGACAGTGCACATGATGTTTAGATCTCAACTCAGATATTCCATATGGACCAGAATCCGAATTAAAAATTACTATATCCATTAACCTGGCAACAAGGTAGTCAACCCGCGGGTCGAACCCCGGGTCGACCCATTTTGACTCTGATCCGGTGAGAAAAATGGGTTACACGCACCCGCCGGGTCGACCGCTACAAGGTATCGGGTTGAAGGTCAAATTGTGTCATTTTTTTCTTTGGTTTGCGAAATGCGCCTATTTTCCGATTTTCTTTTCGCCTAACTCAATCTTTGGAATCCTAAGCTGAACATTTGAATATTGATGTTACATAAGTGTGCGTGAATTTTCACTATATGTTGGATCTAAGTACGACACGTTACTTGGTGTAATGTTATATGTTAAAACTCATATGTTAGATGAGATTTGATATAATTTATCAGGATAAATATAATATAATGACTCTTTCCATATGATTTTGGGTTAAACCGGGCTAAAACGGGTGACCCATTAACCCTTGACTCACTAGCTCCACCGGGTCCGGTCAACCCGCGGGTTGATAACCTTTCCTGGCAAGCATGGGGAAGCTATATGACATGGAAATTAAAAATAAAAAACTGAAAAAGGAGGATGTGTCCCAAATCCAATTTGGAATTATTGGATTGGACAAGAAAGGGGAGGTTGGGGGTTTTCATAGTTATCACTTGCTTTTTTCCTCTGCCATTTCTTAAAATTTGCTTCTTCTGCTTTCTTCTTGTGTTTGGATTGGGATGACACAAAGCACTAGCTAGTGTGGCAAACTCACAACACAACAGTACAACATTGAGAAAGGATAAGGTAAGGTCATAAGGATATAACACCAAAAAGGAGGTCTCAACTAGAAGAAAGAAGGGATTTTTACCTAACTTCTTAGGAAATCATTATGAAGTTCATCACCCAAGGAAATATGACTTGTTACAATCTAACCATGATGCTCACATAATAAGATTTATTATTGGTTTCATTAGAATTTTAAATGAACTGAATCTTATATTCTAGAATTTATATCAAAACTAAACTTATTCTTCATTTTCCTCAAACATAACATACTATAATTATAATTTTTTCGTAAGAATGAAAAGCGTGCAAGTTTAATCACGGAGCGTACAACTCCGAAACAGATTGATAAAACTTAAACTCAACGAATTTAAAAACATTGTCATGGATAGTAAATTAAATTATTATGCTCGAATTAGTTGGGATATTAACATTCAAGTAAAAACATTAGATGTGTGTGTTTCAAATGATGGTATTTGTCTTTTAGATTCCCCTGCAACTAGTACATTTTTTTTTACCGTTCTTCCCCTGCAACTAAAAAGGCTGGATTTGTTCCCCGGAATCATTCAACTAATTAATACCATCATGTTCATGGCCATGGGAAGAAAAGCTGGTTCTAAATTAGCGGAGAAGCATCTCCTCTGTTTCTCAACCCCAAAAAAACAGAGGAACGTCACAAGAAACCGACGAATTCGTAACGTAACCCGCCGGGGCAGAATCTGAAACAGTTTTTTCTGTGCAAAACATTAAATAGAATGAATTTACCTGGTGGTTATTGGTAACGTCTTCGTCGCTGGAATACAACTGATCGACCGCCGCCGCTGCAGAAGCTTTGGTGGATTTGAATCTCCAGAATCCCAACAAGGCCGAAGAATTCTCCTTCTCCTTCTTCCCAGCAAGAGCATTTGGAGAATGAGATTTGGGGAAAGCAGAGCAGCTTCCACCGCCATTCACCATGTTTCTCCTCGTCAGGCAACGAGCGGCGGCCATCGTGGCTCCAGATTTCCTGGCGGCGACGACCCAGATTGCCATATTGGGTACCCAAAAAAAAAAAAAAACTGAAGCGGAGAGGGTTTTGATTTTGGGGTTGGGCGGAAAAGATAAATGATGATGATGATGATGAAATTCTTTTGAGTGGGGATTATTGAGTGAACGTTTTTTTCCCCCAGAGTCGTGCGTTGTTGTTGTTGTTCTGTGTGTTGGGTTGCAGGCTGAGTGGGGAATGAGAAATGAAGGCGACGGTGACACTTTGTTGCTGCTGATTCGACGGTCAGGTGGGTGGGCGGGAGAGAGAGAGAGAGAGAGAGAGAGATTTCGTCAGCTTTCTTCTCCTTTTCCCTTTCCTCTAAGATGGGGGACTGAGAAATGAAAAAAGGGAGAGGGGGGAAATTGGGATAGGAAGAGAGGTATTTATGTGGTAGCTATTAGCTAACGTCTAACGCACGAGAGAGAGAGAGAGAGAACAAGAGTGGCATAACAATGTAGGTTACAAAGAGATAGAAAGATGGTGATCCTAGAGAGGGAAAGATGGTTCATCGAGCCCACGAATCGTGGACAACCCCAACAGGTCGCGGGCGGGTATCTCGATATCTCATTATTGTCTCGTGGCAAGTTGTATACAGGTCGAATAATTTTATTATGAAGGTGTGGGTTGGGCAGCAGATCGACGGATATGAATACGTGATTCAAAGAAGAAATATTAAAAAAATAGTTGCATTCTCTTGTTATAAAAATCAGGAAACAAACTGCAATATGATAAATGTAGATTAATTATTTGAGAAATTGAGACTCTCGTCTATTTATGACTTATAAATGAGGTAATGAAAGTAAAAATATATGTAATTTCAGCAAAATTATATATAATTTATGCAAAAACGAGTCTAGAATGGGAGCAGATAAGGACTGGTCAAGTCGAAAAAAGTACTCATAAGTCATAACTACCTCAAGCCTGCCCAAAACTGATCAGACAAATAAGATAAATGAAATGGGTCCGATCGAAATTACCATTCCTACCCCATTAGAGGCAGCCTGAATGTACCGATGAAAATGCTGACCTGACGATATTTCGTTGGACACGTGGATTAGAAAAACAAAAAAAATATAAAAAGCCATAAATTCAATTTTTTTATTTAATAAAATGAAAAATAAAATAAAATTTGTATAGAAAAAGCTTTTATCTTCCTCCCCATACTCCTACCATGTCGCTCCCTGCTCCTTCCCGTACAACTTTCAGGGCCCTCGTCAATTACCCAGCAACCCTAAAATATCCATCAATTACTCCACCGGACTTGGATAAGTTGATTCGTAAGTCGTAACCCAGATATCGATTGGAAACACAAAGCAACAACTCGAAGTTATAGAACCTCCTCAACAATGGCATTGCAAAAGAGAAGAGTGTCATCTGATGGGCCAGGTCACCTCTTCGCCCTGAACTTGGTAATTCATGTGGAACCCGTTGATCTTCCCTATGTTTCGCAGGCTGTCTAGAATAAGTGAGAAGCCTTTCATGACCATAAGGAATAAAAATTAGGGTCGCAAATGAGCCAAGCCGCTCGCGAGCAATTTGGCGTTCGAATCGGAAAAAACTCGTTCGACACTCGACGGTATGTTTAACAAGCCGACTCGCGAGCCGTCTCGTTAGTAAACGAGCCAAGCTTGAGCTATGCCATGCTCGGCTTGATAAGCTCGTGAGCTAGCTTGACTCGGTGGCTTGTTGAGCTAGGCTCGCGAGCTGGCTTGTTTAAAGCTTGTGGAAGGATTAATTATTCTTCTGAACATGAAAATGATCTTGTTAATAAGGATGTGTATGGAAGTTAGATGTTATTTTTAGTTTCTAATGTTCTTTTTATCATTTTTAATTTCTAATGTTCTTATTTGTACACATTTTTCAGCAAGAATGATTTCAAATCGAACTTATCTTGAGCCGAGCTTGCACTCAGCTTGACAAGCTGTGTTAATGAGCATTTACCGAGCTCTATCGAGCCGAGCTCGAGCTGGATTATTTTTAATCAAGTCGAGCTCGAGCTCGAGTTGGATGATCAAAATTCGAGTTCGAGCCGAGCTCGAGCTAAAATATTTACAAACGAGCCGAGCTTAAGCTAAGCAAAAACTCGACTCGACTCGGCTCGTTTGCCTCTTGCGCCATAGAAGAAATTCTCTTTTGACTTTGGAAGTACCCTTGAGCTTCACCAATGACGAGCACAGAGAAATGAGGAGTAGACATACATTTTCGAATCCAGATCACACCAAAGCCCATGCGCCATAGAAGAAATTCTCAGTTGATGTTGTCGAAAGCTTTCTCTAGGTCAAACTTCAAGATGATCCCCGGAGAACCATGTTTACGTATGGCGTCAATAAGTTCGTTTGCCACCATCGCTGCATCTAGTATCTGCCTTCCTTGAATTGCTACCATTTGGGTAGCTGAGATGATTGAGGGCATGAGTGGCTCGAGACGAAGGACAAATAATAAATAGAGAAACTATGTTTCTTTACGAATTCATTGTCCTCCGTTTCAAAAGTAACATATATATTAGAAGTGGGAGAATAAAGAATTCCACATTCCAAAGGTCAAAGAAAACTAGAGGAGCATATAAATATTCATGTTTGCACATTAACTGAATAATTTTTTCCTTATAAAAAAATAATGAGATAATTATATTATTGATTTGTTTTTAATTAATTTATAGTAATGTAGAATAGCTAAAGGTGTGGGGAATCTAAAAAATTAAAAGTTCATGAGGGTATATGTGAAAAATTATATCATGGATTTATGCATGTTCCGAAATCCACATCAATACCTGAAATTTACAAGTCCATGAGGCCCACAAATTTGAACCCTTAAAATCAATGGGTCCCACAAATTTGTTTTAAAAAAAGCACGAAGCAAAAAATTTATTTCTATTAAATCCGTGGTGGTCGTGGATTTGATCTCTAATCCACCCCTCAGATCCTTTATGAATTTATATTAAAATAAGAAAATAATTTATCCATATGGTGAATGCTAGGGTTGGACGTGGTAGATTTGCGATTTGACATCGATTCACATACAAATAATGTAAATTGTTATTGGTGGATAAATGACGTGGATGAATTATGGATTGGTAAATCTCCTACATACACTTACTCGGGTGGATGGTGGGAGAGTTGCGGAACACGTGAATAACCACAACCAACTTTTAAATGACTAAAGTTTTTTTTTTATATTACCGAATGATTATCTTATCTCATGACTGATTGACTGTCCTGCATACTGCCATCAACATTTAAGACTGGATAACTAAAAAAATATTTGGACTATCTTATAGTACTCGTAATGACAGTTATGTGTATGAAACGATGTCTTATGGACATCGTCCCCATGCATTCTAATATGATGGTACTCTGCTATGAGATCTAGCTTCGTGAATCACTGGAGATATGCACCCAATCCAACATACCATTCACTGTTGGTATGGAAAACCTGTCCTTGACTGTGGCTTTATTCAGGGTGCGGTAATCCGTTCAAAATCGTCACATCCCATCCTTCTTCTTCACTAGCAAAACTGGCGATGAGAAATTGAGAAGAGACTGATGCTGGGATGAATCATTCCACTCTCCCGCATCTCTCCTACCTAGAGGTGGCAATTGGATCGGATTCGTGAATTGGATTGGTGGATCTATGGATTGGATCCAATGGATTGGTGGATTCATGGATTGGATTAAATGGATTGGTGGATTGATCCATGAATCCAAATGACATCCAAGGCTTGGACCAAAATGTAAAATTTGAAAAGTTTTGGTACTAAAATGTCATAATGAAAATGTTTAGGTACAAAAATGTAATTTTCCAATGATATTTTCGTATAAAAATATAAATTTTAGGTACCAAAATGTAAAATATAAAAAATATACGTACCAAATCGTAATTTGTCATTTGGATCCATGGATTGATCCATGAATCCACCAATCCAATTAGATTTGGATCAAATGGATTGGATTAGGTGGATAATTTGGCGAATGTATTGGATTGGATTCATGAATTTGGATCCTAATTGCCACCTCTACTGCTTCTCAATCTCTGATCTCAGTGAAAGGGCATATCGATATTGACTTCATGGGAACACCATTTCCTCTTCGTAGGAAAATAATCTTCGTTCATGGAGTAACAATGATCATTAACTAAGCTCTAAGCATGTTAATGGGTTTGGCCCAATGCAAGGCCCAAACCGCCACACCTATTCCTTGTACGAGACCTACTGTGTCTCACGTTTGTACAAGGATTTCTTGTCCTAATTGTAATACCCTAGTTACTTGTGATGAAGGGTATAAAACCCATTGTAGGCCATCGGCCACCATTAAGAAAGCATAATAAGATTTCAGCCGGAGAGCCAAGCTCTCCCGTGGACTAGTCCCGATCATCGGGGAAACCACGTAAAACTCGTGTCTACTTCTTATCGTTGCTTGCGATTATGATATTTTACATGGTATCAGAGCATTGATCCGATCAGTTTTCAGTCATCATGGCGGGAGAAGAAGATTCCTCTCTCGAAACGCCGCACACAGGAAAATCAACCAGCTCTGGATCCGGAGCCAAAGATCCTGATGTTCATAGTCCTTTTTTCATTCACCAGTCGGATAGCACTGGTCATCTACATGTTAGCAGCCTGCTTAATCCCTCCAACTATAGCGAGTGGATTCTTGAGATGACGGACGCCCTAGTCACGAAGAACAAAGTTGGTTTCGTCGATGGGTCTATTCTGCGTCCTCAGGATGGAACGTCCGAGTCCCGGGCGTGGGCGCGTTGTGATGCCCTTGTAAAGGGCTGGTTGCGCACGGCGATGGATGCGGAGATGCGTAGCAGCGTTATGCACGCAAAGACGGCCCAAGAGATTTGGGAGGACCTCCGTGATCGTTTCAGCAAGGCGAACTTGACTCGAGCTTATGAGCTGCGTCGCCATGTTAGCTTGCTACAGCAGGAAAAACAATCCGTTTCTAGTTTTTATACACAGCTACGCAAGGTTTGGGAAGAAACCCAGACCATTCTGCCACCGCCGGTCTGTTCGTGTGGACGCCGCGGTCGTGATCAAAACGAGAGCCTACGTTTGCTCGATTTTCTGTTGGGACTCGATGAGTCATATGCTACTGTTCGAAGTCACATTCTCTCCATGCCCAGCCCGCCGTCTCTGCCAGAAGCTTTCCGCATCGTACATAACGATGAGCAACAAAGGACACTTACCCAGCAAAGGAAACCAGTACCTGAAGCTGCTGCATTCTCCACGCGCGGAGAGACTCCAAAAGCTGAGTCTGGTGGTCGTGGATCGCGGGAACGTGGGTCTGGCGACAGAGAGAAGCTGCAGTGTACTCACTGCCTCAAGACAGGCCACCTGCGCGAAACATGCTACGAATTAATTGGCTGGCCCCCGCGTGATCCTTCACGTGAACGACGAGGAGACCGGCAAGGCGACAGGCAGAGTGACGGTTCCAATCGTCGAAGGAATCGTGAATCTGGCGCTAATGGAAGGAATGATGGAGGATCGCGAGGGCAGTATCGGGAGCCGCGAGCTTCACAGGTTGCGCAAGCAGATTCCGCGCCCAGTCCCGTCTCTGGTTTTACGGTTCAACAACTCGAGCAGCTAAAGCAATTTTTTGGTGGACAGTTTCATGGGGCAGCAGACCCTACGAGTCATATGGCTGGTACGTTCTCTTTCTCGAATACTCCGGAGTGGTTGATTGACTCAGGCTGCAATGAGCACATTATTATGGATGATTCATGCTTATCATCGTCTGCATCTGGTTTGCCGAATCAGCCTGTTCGAATTCCGAATGGGGCCAGTATACCTGTTAAACGGATAGGGTCAATTCGATTAAATGATAGACTGGTGCTTAATCGTGTTTTACATGTCCCAGAATTCCGCTGCAATCTATTATCCGTCAGTCGTCTTTGTCAAGAGAACAATGTAGCTTTGGTTTTTATTGGTGACTTCTGCATCATACAGGACTTAGTCTCCAAGAGCGTGATTGGGAAGGGGGAGATTCGTGATGGTCTTTATTTCCTGCGGTTATTCGGATGTCGTAGCACTCGAGTTCATGCAGTAACGCAGGGGCAGGAGATTCCTGAAGCTTTGTGGCATGCTCGGTTGGGGCATCCATCATCTGCTGTTATGGAGAAACTCAATTCGGTTATTACTGTTTCGGTCACATCGGATAATGGTTTTTGTCATTCTTGTTCTAGAGCTAAACAGACTCGGACCCCTTTTCCAGTCAGTGGAATTCGTACCTCAGCTTGTTTTGAGATGTTACATTTGGATATTTGGGGTGGCTATCCTACCCCTTCGCTTAGTGGAGCACATTATTTTTTGACCATAGTTGATGATTTTAGCCGTGGTGTGTGGGTTTATCTCATTAAGTTTAAATCAGAGGTTGGGCGTTATCTGCAGTTTTTCTGCAATTTTGTTCGCACACAGTTTGGCAAACAGGTGAAGTGTATTCAAACAGATAATGGCCCTGAGTTCAATACCCTGGTCCTACGTGATTTTTATGAAAAGGAGGGTATTCTTCTTCAGACATCATGCACCGATACGCCACAGCAGAATGGTGTGGTCGAGCGCAAGCATCGTCACTTGTTGGAAACTGCACGTGCCCTACGATTTCAAGCTTCTTTACCCATCCAGTTTTGGGGAGAATGCATTCTTACTGCTGCCTATCTTATAAACAGGCTACCAACTAAAGCCACCGGTAAAACGCCGTATGAGACACTCTTTGGGAAGCCGGCCTCCTATCTCCATTTACGGGTTTTTGGATGCCTCGTCTATTGCAAAGACACACACTCTCACCTCGGCAAATTTGATGAGCGTGGACGTGCCTGTGTATTTCTTGGTTATGCAGCAAACCAGAAGGGCTATCGCGCATATGATCTTGTCACACGACGGCTTCTTACCAGTCGTGATGTTATTTTTCATGAAACATTTTTCCCTTTTCAGGCTAACATGAAGAATCAGCTGCCTTGGGTACCTAATACCGTCTTCAGCAGACCAGCCGATGTATCTGATGATGAATTGGCACTTCCTGGGCCCCTGTCAGATTTCTTGCCACGCCCTGGGCCTTCTCAGCCCTCGGTTGGGCCCTCTTACTCTGATGGGCCACCACTTAATTCGCCCTCCACCAGCCCAGCGAAGACCCTTCCTTCTCCCACTCATCCGGCGGATCAGGGCTCCCCAATTGGGCCATCCGTGGCTGAGCCCACCCCGCCTCCTCCCTCAGCGGGCCACACTTCACCAACAGCAGCCCGTGATACTCCATCCAGCCCAGATCTGCCTCGTGGGATTTATCCCGCCCCACCAGCGCCTCAGTTGCGCCGTGGTGATCGAAATCGGGTGCCACCCAAGCACCTGGACATATATTACACGGGAAGTCAAGCACATATGGTTCATTATCCATTGTCCAATCATCTTTCTTATGATAATTTTACTTCTAATTATCGTGCTTTTCTTGCCACAGTTGCTCACCATCCGGAACCCCGGAATTTCTTTGAGGCAGTACGCGAAGAGTGCTGGCGCAAGGCAATGTCCGCTGAAGTTTTAGCCCTTGAGCAGAATGGTACCTGGAGTCTTGTTTACTTGCCTCCTGGCAAGCGTGTTATCGACTGCAAATGGGTCTACAAGATTAAATTCAATCCGGATGGCTCCATCGAGCGTTATAAAGCTCGTTTAGTTGCAAAAGGGTACACTCAAATAGAAGGTGTTGATTTTCATGATACTTTTGCCCCAGTTGCGAAACTGGTCACTGTTCGGTGCCTGCTCGCAGTCGCAGTTAGCAAAGGTTGGCATATTCACCAGTTAGATGTTAACAACGCTTTCCTCCATGGTGACTTGGATGAGGAGGTTTATATGCGCATTCCTCAGGGATTTGCTGCACCAGGTGACACGAGAGTGTGCCGCCTACATAAGTCGCTTTATGGTCTCCGACAGGCATCTCGCAACTGGTACACTAAGTTCACCCAGGCGTTATGTGAACTTCAGTTTCGTCCTTCCCCTGCAGACCATTCTTTGTTTGTCTTTCAGCGGGGGAGTATTCATGTCGTCGCATTGATTTATGTGGATGACGTTATCCTGGCAGGCACGAGCCTTGAATTCATTTCTCATGTCAAGAGTTTTCTTCATTCCCGGTTCAGTATCAAGGATTTGGGTAATTTGCGGTACTTCCTAGGATTGGAAGTGGCGCGCACTGCAGATGGTCTCTGTCTCAGTCAAAGGAAATATCTCCTTGACATTCTTGATGACGCTGGTGTTACCGGTGTTCGACCCAGCGCTTTTCCTGTCGAGCAGAATCATCACCTCACACGTCCGGCACCTGCTGATCACCCAGACCCAGCTGCTTATCGCCGGTTGGTAGGACGTCTGCTCTACTTAACGGTGACTCGCCCCGATATCACCTATGGTGTGAATATCTTGAGTCAGTTTGTTCATGCTCCTACACATGCCCACATGGATGCCGCGCAACGCATTCTCCGATACCTCAAGAGTGCTCCCGGACAGGGTCTCTTCTTCCCTTCTGCTAGTAGTCTTGATCTTGTAGCCTACTGTGATGCGGATTGGGGTGGATGCCAGTCCACTAGGCGATCCACTACTGGGTTCGTCATTACTCTTGGCGGAGCCCCTGTGTCCTGGCGAACCAAGAAGCAACAGGTGGTTGCGCGTTCATCTGCTGAGGCCGAGTATCGGTCTATGGCCAGCACCGTTAGTGAAGTCCTTTGGTTACGTTGGCTTCTCTCTGAGCTTGGTGCACCCCAGCGTGGCTCCACGCCTCTGTATTGTGATAATCAGGCAGCTCTTCATATTGCCGCCAATCCAGTGTTCCATGAGCGCACCAAGCATGTGGAAATGGATTGCTATTTTGTTCGTGAACGCGTACAGTCAGGGGATATTGCACCAATGAAGATCAGTTCGCAGAATCAACTCGCGGACATGTTCACAAAAGGACTTGGAGCAGAGCGTTTTCAGTTTCTCTTGTCCAAGCTGCATGTTCGCAACCTCCACATTGCAGCTTGCGGGGGAGTAATGGGTTTGGCCCAATGCAAGGCCCAAACCGCCACACCTATTCCTTGTACGAGACCTACTGTGTCTCACGTTTGTACAAGGATTTCTTGTCCTAATTGTAATACCCTAGTTACTTGTGATGAAGGGTATAAAACCTATTGTAGGCCATCGGCCACCATTAAGAAAGCATAATAAGATTTCAGCCGGAGAGCCAAGCTCTCCCGTGGACTAGTCCCGATCATCGGGGAAACCACGTAAAACTCGTGTCTACTTCTTATCGTTGCTTGCGATTATGATATTTTACACATGTCCCCAAATCTCTGATCTCAGTGAGTATTCAAACTCTGAGTAGCTGCAGAGTCAAACTAATGTTTTCTTCTTTCTGCCCTCTAAATTAACAAGTCATTTCATCTACCTTGTCAAGAAATGACAAAACGAGAAGAAACATAACAAATGTATAAAATAATCACCAGCCAGCAATGTTTATGTTCTCGTTAATCAAAAAATAAATGTAAGCCCATAAGCACCAACAACAAAAGTAGCAAGATCTGGTATTATTATCAATTGTTCATTGACTTTCTTTCATTTCATCTAACCCTGTGTTAGTTCTACCCACAAGCACAAATCACGCCCTTCAGGAAGCAAAATGGCTGAAATAATCCTCTTTCCCATCGGAAAACAGATCCTGGAGAAGTTAGGCAACTTCGCCGTTCAAGAGATCGGGCTGTTGTGGACCCTGAAAAAGGAGCTGAAGAAACTGGACGATACTGTGTCAACCATCCAAGCTGTGCTCCTTGACGCTGAGAAAAAGCAGAAGCACAACGACCAGATCAAGCTCTGGCTCAGCAACCTTTCGGAGGCGATGTACGATGCTGATGATTTGCTCGATGATTTCGCCACCCATGAAGCTTTGCAACAGCAGCGGCAGCAGAATAACACGACTTGTTCGTGTTCTACTGTGGTAAGCTACCTTGCCTCCCTCTCCAAAAGGTTGCTCTATGGACTTAAGATGGCCCATGATATCAAAGACATTAGGGAGAAGCTTGATGATATCTCTGCAAATAGAACCCAATTCAACCTTGAACAAGTTCCTCCTGCGAGTGATGATGATGGAGATGAAAGGGAGACCATTTCCTCCCCACCTTCCTGTGTTGTTGGCAGGGAAGCTGATAAAGAGAGATTGATCAGTGTTTTACTGAACGACGATGACGATACCCACGTCCTCCCCATCGTTGGTATTGGTGGGATGGGGAAGACAACTCTTGCTCAGCTTCTATTCGAGGATGACCGGATAAAGCAGAACTTCGAGGTGAGACAATGGGTGTATGTCTCCGAGAGGTTCATCGTTAAGAATGTTGTCAAGAAGATTTTAGAATGTGTAACCAGTGAGCTCATCCAGGGGCAAGATCTTCAGCTGAACTTTCTGACAGATCGCTTACGGCCGCATATTGAAGGCCGAAGGAGCTTGTTCATCCTGGATGATGTCTGGGAGGAAGATAGTCAGAAATGGGAGCTTCTGAAGAAATGTTTGTTGGTTGGTGTTAGCAGGGGAAGCAAAGTGGTACTAACAACCCGCCTGGAAACCGTTGCAAGAACTGCTAGCACAAAGGAGCCCTACCGTTTAGGAGGCATCTCAGTAGACGAGGCCTGGGATCTGATGGTTCATATGGTGTTTGATGGGCAGCAACCAACTAGCCAGAGTGTTGTCAAAATTGGCAAGGGAATTGCAAATAAGTGTCGAGGAGTTCCACTTGTTGTGAACACAATAGGAAACTTGTTACGGCACAAACATCCTGAAACCGAATGGTCGTTTTTCTTGGACAAAGAGCTCTCGAGCATACCTGAAGGAGAGAACTATGTGCTCTCGACCCTTCGATTGAGCTACAACTATCTTCTTCCACATTTGAAGAATTGCTTTGCCTATTGTAGTCTTTATCCCAGAGGTTGGGAGATCGATGTCCCGGCACTTATGATGATGTGGATAGCGCAAGGATTTGTTTGGTCGGACAGCAAGGCCATCTTAAGTGATGAAGATATGGCATTGCAGTATTTTGAGAAGCTATGGTGGGGGTCATTCTTCCAAGAGGTGGAAAGGGATGTGTTGGGGAACATCACAACCTGCAAAATGCATGATCTGATGCATGAATTAGCAGATTTAGTTGCCGAAGACAGGATCATGAAGATAGATGGCCTCAATGGTATTGTTCCTGCTATCACAACAAGAACTCGCCATGTCTCAGTGACTTCGTGCAATGAGAATGATGCCTTTCAGATGCAAGAAGAAGCAAGGAAGCTGCGAACTCTCCTACTCAAAGACACGGAATCGCATCTACTGATGAAGGGGCAACTTGAAGTGATAGTACACAACATGAGACGTCTAAGAGTGATAGGACCGCTGGCTGAACCAATATCTGACAAAAGAAAATTCAGAACTCTTCTGCTGGTTCAGAAGGCTGTTACGAATTTCATGGATGCATTTATCAATGTGGTTGAGCTATCGGATTCCATCGGTGAGTTGAAGCATCTGAGGTATCTCGATATCAGCAAGAACAAGGTGGTTGAGATTCCAGATTCCCTGACAACCCTTATAAACCTCCAACTGCTGAACCTCACCGGCTGTAATAAACTCAAGAGACTGCCCAGATATATGGAGAAGCTTGTGAATTTGAGGCATCTTTACTTGGATGGCTGCAGTGAACTGACTCATATGCCCAAGGGGATAGGGAAGCTGACTTCCCTTCAGACATTGACCCTATTCGTCGTGGCTGATCCGAGTAAGGTTGAGCATGATGTGGCGGCGTTGCTGGAGGAGTTAACCGGGCTGAATCACTTGGGTGGGAAGTTGACAATCAAAGGCTTGGAGCATCTTGATTCCAAATCAGCTGGATCGTATTTGAAAGAGAAGAAGCGGCTTCAATATCTGGAGCTAATATGGGGTGGTCAAAATAGAGATGGAACTGTTGCGGAGGCCTGGATGGAGAGACTTCGCCCACACAGCAATCTTAAGAAGCTCACAATAACTGGCTACCGTCGAATGAACTTCCCCAGCTGGGCTTCTGATATTAGTGATAAACGTTACTATTATTACTTATAGTTATTCCATGGGAACAGATTGGGAATTCTGGATTTGATAGAATTTCTCATCCGCCCCCAATCCTTCCAGTCCTCAATCGCCATCTTTATTCCATCATTTCTTCTTTCCTTCAGCGCAGGCGATTGAAGGTGGGAGGTAGTAAAAGGCACTGCGAGGGCAGTTTGCGGCGGAAAGAGCAGCTTCTACTACTACTATTCAATAGAAATTGATAACTTGCACTAAAAGTAACCCTCAAGTACAATACTTCCGTCTGAGCTACTGGTCTGTACATTCTTCAGGTCTACGTGTCTCCCCATGGTCTTCAATGCAGCTAGAGCAGCTGCATCATCTTCACCTTCCCACAGAGGCAATACTTCAACTACAATCTTCTGCAACATCTTGTACTCCATACCTTCCTTGACAAGCTTCTCTATCCCAACAGGAGTTCCCCTCAAATCCAGCAGAAGACTGCACAGACCCTGCTGCTTACAGTACTCCAATATAGCCTTCAGATTTATGCGATCCAATACCACAGTTTTGTTTCCTCTCTGGCTAGTTTCAACGCTGGATTCCTTGGCTACAAAGATGATCACTTTAGAATCTGATTGCCCGACATCCACTAAAGGAACACGAATTGGATCCGAGGAGCTTGCAGTGATTATCCAAAGGGGTTGATTAGCACCCGGTTCTTGAGAAATAGAAAGGGGTAGCTCAATGGTGGTTGCAGAAGCAGAAAGAACAATGGCATCGTATTCCTGTAGCAACCGGGAGTAGTATCCCCCACGTTCTGTAGCTCCTTCACCAAGTTGGTCCAAAATGTTACCATTCAGAGATATGGAGTATCTGTGGTTCAAGAGAACGCTTTGTCGGGTTAGTCTATGATCTGCAATAATATGAACATCCCAAGAACTCGAACTAAACCATACAAATTTACCTAATTGTGAGAAAAGGGTTCCCTGTGAGCATCTTATGGATGTAGGCCTCGTTGAGCCTCTTGCACAGTTCCTCTTCAACACCAACCATAACATCTATTCCTGCCCCTCTCAATTTATCCACCCCTTTCGAAGCCACAATCGGGTTTGGATCCACCATGCCAACAACCACCTTCTTCACTTTGGCTTTGATAAGAGCTTCGGTGCAAGGTGGAGTTCTGCCATAATGATTACACGGCTCCAAACTCACATAAGCCGTCGCATTCTCAGCCAATTCCCCCCCAGCATCTCTTAGAGCAAATACCTATACACACCTGCTGCCTTTCCTAGCGATAAGAAGCACACCGCAGTAAAAAACGGCAAGAGGCGGAAGCCGGAGCCACCGTGGAGCCGTTCGTCTGCTTCTTCTATGTTCCGGCGTTCGTCTTAAATTACTGCGCCGGCCACCGAGCGGCGACTCGGGAGAATTTGGGAACTGTGAAATGAATTTGCAGCCACAGTATTGAAACGTTTTGGGGTTGGGGTTGGGGTTGGGATTCGGTTTGCGGGGCTGGGCTGGGCTGGGTTAAATATTTATTGTGGGCTAGTTTAGAAGCCCGGCCCAAGAATAGATGAAAAAAAAGTATTTGAAAACAATGGAGATGCGGGGTATCGATCCCCGTACCTCTCGCATGCTAAGCGAGCGCTCTACCATCTGAGCTACATCCCCATTTGCTTAGACATTCTACTTGTTACTTTATAATACGTGCTCTAAGTCTGTTCTTTGTATTCTGGTGAAAGCCGGAAGCAAAGCGGCGACGGGCAGTTTAGAGCTTAGTTCTGTGATTGTGTCGACAATGAGAAGAGCGAACAGAAGCTACTTTCTCTACCGGAAACTCGTCGGCGGCGTTGCTCAATCGAGCCTATCCACGCAGCCAATCAAGCGCCCTCCTCTATGGAGGCCTTTCTCCAGCGGCAACGAGAAATCCCTAGTCGGGGCAAAGTCCAAGAAAGAGTCGGCAGTGCTTGAGAAGTTCCGGCAGAGGAAACTCCAAGGTTCTCTCAAAACCCAGCAACACGACCCTGGAACGGGTTCGAACGGAGACGGTAAAAGTGACAATGCCCTGGAAAATGGAGCGGCTGCGGCGGCAAACGCGGAAGCGGCAGAGGTGGTCTCGAGCTTCGCGGAGTTGGGTTTAAGAGAGGAGCTCATAGCAGCCGCCGAGGAGATGGGCGTTCGAGTTCCGGATGAAATTCAGTGCGTTGGCATTCCAGCCATCTTGGAAGGGAAGAGCGTGGTTCTAAGTTGTGATGACGGAGACGATGAATCCGCCGGCGGGAGAACTCTGGCTTACTTACTTCCCCTAATTCAGGTATTTTTGCCCCTTTTTTCTCGAACTAGCGGTGTCTTTCAAAATTGAAATCACGACGAACCATTAAATTCGTTTTTTTTTTTTTCTGTTGTGAACTCCTCAGTTGTTAAGGCAGAAGGAGGTCATCCCCAGTTCCAAAAAGCACCCAAAAGCCATTGTTCTTTGCCCAACAGATGAGCTAGCAGATGAGGTATAATTGCAGATTGGTATATTACTGTAATTGCTTTCTGTGGTTAATCAGTAGTGTAACTGATGGTGTTTTCCAAAGGTTTTCCGTGGGGCGGCATTCGTCTGTGATTGTATTGCGAGAACGAGACCTGAAGCTGCAAAGGGCTCAATTGGGTTGCTGGTAGGAACTCCTGAAGAGGTTCTACAGCAGATAGAGGATGGTACCATTGTAGTTGATGATATCAGATACTTGGTATGGAACGTTTGGACTTCAACCACGTTTATCTTTTGCCATTTCATTGATTGGGTAGTATTAAAAACTTGAACTTTGCAGTCTGATTTTGAGCTTGTGATGAAATTTTGCATGCCATAGGTAGTGGATGAAGCAGATGCAATGCTTGAAGTAAGCTATTATAGAGATCAAATCAGCAAGATTATCCACCCGTTGCAGAAGCCTGATATCCTGAGGATTCAGACTGTGTTGGCTTCGTCACCCATAACTAAGGTAATGCAGAGTAATTAATCACAGGAAGTGCCTATGTTCTTACACGGTGATGCAAATCCTTTTCCTTCTTAATATGGAAAAGTGTTGGCTTCAGATGCTTTCCGAAGATTACACATCATTGGTGAAAAGTATAGAGCGTGAAAACGCGGGGCAAGTTGCAGCAATGTTGCTGGAGATGGATCAAGAAGAGGTATTTGATGTTCTAAAGCTGCCAGGTGGTCTGAAGCGGAAAGTTGCTGAAGCTATGGATTCCCTTTCATCCAATACTTGAACTTTTGATGTCTTATCAGCCAGGGCATTTTGATTCCGAAGCTTGACTTGTGTTTTCTTTTTAGGATCGTTGTAGATACTCTCAACTGATCCATGCTGCTCTCTTTAGAGTTTAGTGTACATGCAAATGGTTAGGATTTAGTTCCAAGTTTGTTGTAGCTTCTTTTGCCTACTGAATCTGTTCTTTTGAGAAGTTTGATGGTAGTTTTCAGCTGAAATTGGAAGCTAAACCAGTAGATTTGTGCTTTGTCGATTGCGGTAGTAGACAATAACGATGTCATGAACTTAGAGTCAGATACAAAACAAAACAAAACGCAATTGTATAGACCCATCAAAACATCAAACAATCAGCAATATTCAATGTCCTTCCTCGTTGCCATCACCAAGGCGTCCACCAACGTAACCAACTCAATGTTTAATCAGGATAGTGAATGCATTCACACCCACAGCTGAACTCTGAAGCCTACTAACGTCTGCATAATGTTTTGCCACAAACATTTCAGGAAGTTTTTTAAGAGAGCTGACTTCAATGAGGAACATGGTCGACAAAAGAATCCAGGCCAGCACTCAGCAGCAGTCTGGCTTCATGATCGAGTGAGCCAGAATGCATCCAACACGAGCCGGAGGCAGAGTCAGTTCTGTCTGGAACTATCAAGTAACGATGAGCTTCGGTTTCAGAGACGCTGAATCAAAGCCGGAAAAGAGTGAACTTTACTTCGGTTTCAGAGACGCTGAATCAAAGCCGGAAAAGAGTGAACTTTACTGGACATAACTATAAGTAATAGTAGCGTTTATCACTAATATCAGAAGCCCAGCTGGGGAAGCTCATTCCACGGTAGCCAATTATTTCGAGCTTCCTAAGATTGCTGTGTGGGCGAAGCCTCTCCATCCAGGTCACTGCAACAGCTCCATCTTGATTTGGATCCCGCCATATTAGCTTCAGAGATTGAAGCCGCTTCTTCTCTTTCAAATACCATCCATCTGCAGCTGATTTGGAATCAAGATGCTCCAAGCCTTTGATTGTCAGCTTCCCACCCAAGTGATTCAACACGGTTAACTCCTCCAGCAACGCGGCAACATCAGGGTCAACCTTGCTTGGATCAGCCACGACGAATAGGGTCAATGTCTGAAGGGCAGTCAGCTTCCCTATCCCTTTGGGCATATAAGTCAGTTCACCGCAGCCATCCAGGTAAAGATGCCGCAAATTCACAAGCGTCTCCATACCTTTAGGCAATCTCTCGAGTTTATCACAGCGGGTGAGGTTCAGTAGTTGGAGGTTTATAAGGGTTGTCAAGGAATCTGGAATTTCAACCACCCTGTTCTTACTGATATCGAGATACCTTAGATGCTTTAACTCACCAATCGAATCCGATAGCTCAACCACATTGATACTTGCCTCCATAAAAGTCATGGCAGCCTTAAGAACCATCATAGCCGTACGAAGACCTCCTTGAGATATAGGCTCACTCTGTGGTTCTCCAGGAGATGGTCCTAGAACTCGTAGACGCCTCAAGTTGTGTACTATCGCTTCATGTTGCCCCTTCATCAGTAGATTCGATTTGCTGCGTATGAGCAGGAGAGTTCGCAACTGCCTTGCCTCTTCTTGCATCTGAAAGCCATCATTCTCATTGCACGAAGTCACAGACACATGGCGTGTTCTTGTTGTGATAGCAGGAACCATACCATTTAGGTCATCTATCTTCATGATCCTGTCTTCAGCAACCAAACCTGCTAAATCGTGCATCAGGTCGTGCATTTTGCAGGTTGTGATGGTCCCCAACTCATCCCTTTCCACCTCTTGGAAGAAGGACCCCCACCATAGCTTCTCAAAATACTGCAATGCCATATCTTCAGCGCTTAAGACGGCCTTATTGACCGACCCAACAAATCCCTGTGCTATCCACATCATCACAAGTGCAGGGACGTCAATCTCGCAACCTTTGGGATAAAGACTGCAATAGGCAAAGCAATTCTTCAAATGTGGAGGAAGATAGTTGTAGCTCAATCGAAGCGTTGAGAGCACATAGTTCTCTCCTTCGGGTATGCTCGAGAGCTCGTTGTCCAAGAAAAACGACCATTCGGTTTCAGGATGCTTGCGTCGCAACAAGTTTCCTATTGTGTTCACAGCAAGTGGAACTCCTCGACACTTTTTCGCGATCCCCTTGCCAATTTCGACAACGCTCTGGCTAGTTGGCTGCTGCCCATTGAACACCATATGGACTATCAGATCCCAAGCCTCGTCCACTGAGATGCCTCCTAAACGGTAGGGCTCCGTGATGCTAGCAGTTCTTGCAACAGTTTCCAAGCGAGTTGTGAGTACCACTTTGCTTCCCTTGCTAACACCCACCAACAGACATTTCTTCAGAAGCTCCCATTTCTGACTATTTTCCTCCCAGACATCATCCAGGATGAACAAGCTCCTTCGGCCCTCAATATGCTGTCGTAGCCGATCTTTCAGAAAGTTCAGCTGAAGATCTTCCCCCTGGATGGGTTCACTGGATACAGACTCTAAAATCTTCTTGACGACATTCTTAACGATGAATCTCTCGGAGACATACACCCATTGTCTCACCTCGAAGTTCTGCTTGATCCGGTCATCCTCGAATAGAAGCTGAGCAAGAGTTGTCTTCCCCATCCCACCAATCCCAACGATCGGGAGGACGTGGGTATCGTCGTCGTTCAGTAAAACACTGATCAATCTCTCTTTATCAGCTTCCCTGCCAACAACACAGGAGGGTGGGGAGGAAATGGTCTCCCTTTCATCTCCATCATCATCACTCGCAGGAGAAACTTGTTCAAGGTTGAATTGGGTTCTATTTGCAGAGATATCATCAAGCCTCTCCCTAATGTCTTTGATATCATGGGCCATCTTGAGTCCATACAGCAACCTTTTGGAGAGGGAGGCAAGGTAGCTTACCACAGAGGAACACGAACAAGACATGTCATTCTGCTGCTGCTGCTGCTGCTGCGTCAAAGCCTCGTGGGTGGCGAAATCATCAAGCAAGTCATCAGCATCGTACATCGCCTCCGAGAGGTTGCTGAGCCAGAGCTTGATCTGGTCGTTGTGCTTCTGCTTTTTCTCGGCGTCAAGGAGCACAGCTTGGATGGTTGACATAGTGCCCTCCAGCTTCTTCAGCTCCTTTTTCAGGGTCCACAGCAGCCCGATCTCTTGGACGGCGAAGTCGCTTAACTTCCCCAGGATCTGTTTCCCGATGGGAAAGAGGATTACTTCGGCCATTTTTGCTTCCAAAGGGTTGTGCTTTGTGCTTCTGGGTAGAACTAACAGAAGGTAGATGAAATCAAAGGAAGTCAATGAACACTTTATAATAATACCAGATCTTGCTGGTTGGTGATTATGGGCATATATATTTTACATTTCTGGCAGCCTGGCTGGTAATTATTAATTAATTGATTATGTTGATGATACATTTATTTTCTTTTTTGTCGCTTTTCTTATAATCGAATATGTTATTGATAGCTCTTCTTAAGAACCAAATTTACTGGACTTTCGATCTGAACCAAAATTAATTCAACTTCCAAGTTATGATACAGGTGAGCATATATAGTTTGATGGCAATCATTTCCAGGTGAGCATTGGGCGATTTCTGTTGGAAGGAGGAACGACGTGATTGCCATCAGAGTCATAGATGATGACACCTGAAAAGTCAGGGAGCTGACACTTCCCTCCCATCAGGATGTTCTTCTTCCACACCGGATTGATCCCACTCTGCTCCATACTAAACATGCTGCTGCCTCCATCGTCGTCGACTCCGGAGTCCACGAGCATCGCGCCATTGTTCTCGAGCTGGATGACTGGGTCGGGGACGAAGCCATAGCTCCAGTGTCTGCGCCATCTTGTTATTCTTCTTCGACCGTGTGAAGCACAAAGGAACAGGGCAAATGCACACAGGGCCAAGGTCATGGCAGCCATGGCTGCCTGGGGCAAGGTCAGGGAGAGATGCTTGGTGAGTGTTATGGTGATGTTGTGATGATGGTGATGCATCATTAGATGTCGAGCCATGGAAAAGAAAGTGGAGGTGGGTTATATCAATGCTGTGCTTTTGCCTAGTGGGTTTGGGATTGTAGATTTTGGAGGGTTATATATAAGTAGAAACTAAGACTCTAATATGATTAAATAGATGGGTGGGGGGAGTAGTTAACATTTTAACAATGCTGGTGGGTTGGGTGGAGAGCTCAAAGCAATTAGTTTACCTAAAACATTAGAAGTGTTGCAGTTTGGTTATTTCCAACTCACATTTAGATAAAGGGTGATACATCCCTCACCTCCAAACTGTAATCGAAGTTATTTCAAAAACGTTAGTGGTAGGACATTTTGTGTTAAAACCGTGATTTTTTTTTACTGCTAAAACTGTTTATTGTTTGTGGTTTGATATCCTATATTTTCGATCCGATCGACCATAGGATATCTAAGCATTGATAATCCCTTTTCAACTCAGCTCAAATTGTTCGTTTCCCCTTCATTTTTACATGTCTCTAGAGACCAATTCAACTCCAGACTGAAGTTGTAGTGGTCCAGAAAACTTGAAGAACGAACCTATAAATATGTTTCTTAGTGCTCATATTTGAAAATTTATCGTTGTTCCTTTGTGTTTTGTTCCATCAATGTTTCACATTAATATCTTGGTTTGCTTTAAATACTTGATTTACTTGTTTCAAAAAGGAATTTTGTGATACCTCAATCACAAATATTTTCTAAAGTATTTGTTGGAAGTAATTGAGATAAGAGAAATACATAGTCGTGAACAAATTAATATTCTATGTATTAGTTGCATCAACAGGCTACTCGATTATTAGAAACGATGCTTAATTAGTGCTAAATATATGAATGAGACATTCGATCCAAAACCTAATTGAAGTTAATTTTTTTGTTCTAATAATATCCCAGGTTGAGACCACGTATAAAAATGAGATTGCAATAAATTGACAAGGTAATATTTCCATTATTTAATTAAAAACTTATTTAAAAAAGACCCTATTCTTTGGAATATCAATCTCGAGACCTCGATAAAAAATAGACGGGCCGAGTGGCCACCGTGGAGAAGGCCAGGCCCAGGAAGCGCCACGGACTTCCCAACAAAAGAAAGCGTCAGTCTCAGTTTCCTACTTTCCTCCACACTGCTCATTTTCCTCTTCCTCGCTTCCCTTGCCAAAAACTCTGTGAGGCATATCATCAAACACCAAGAATGCATAGACGATTACGGCCTTCTCTCTGCAAATCCCTTCTCCAACCCTCTTGCCGGCCCCCACCGCATCCGTTTTCTCCGGATCCAATCCCTCCAGCTCATGGATTCGCCACCCTCCTCCGAGAATTTCACCTCGTCTCGACCGGCATCACAGGGACTCTCCACACTCTGACGCCCCCATCTCACCCACGAACCCAGCTACCGCGTCCGAGCACGGGTAGGAGGTGGAGCTCGGAGCCGGGGTTGGATGTGGACAGGGAAGTAGACACGATAAACCTCAAGTTTGCGGAGGCGAGAGAGGAGCTGGAGATGGCTATGGACTCAAAAGAGACCGTCTACTTCGACGAAGAGGCTGAATGTGCGAGAGATGCAGTGAACGAGGTCCTGGGCTTGTACGACTCGCTTCTTGGGAAGTTGCCGGAGAGTGAGAAGGGTGTTGTGCAGAGGTCGATGGGGCTCAAGATGGAGCAGTTGAAGGCCGAAGTCAAACAGTTGGATGATTGAATTGATCGTTGAAGTTAGGGAGGTAGGTAGGTTCTTAATCGTGTATTCTTGCTCCCCCTTTGAGGGATAGGTCTCGATTTGGTAAATGGTGAAGGAAAGTTCGAATCTTTTTTGTTGTTTGGCTACTGTAGAAGCTCAAAGGAAGTTCCTTTCTGCTTCTGGGTTGCTATGACCCTAATAAATTGGATTCCATGTTGCTCATTGAACCATCTTTGCCTTCTGGTGAAATCAATTTGGGCGTTGATATGGAAAGCAAGAGGAGCGTTTTCCGTTTTGTATTTAAAATCTGCTAAACTGCCCCAAAGTTTAATTAGTGGGTGCTCTGTTTCAGATGAAGTCTTCAGACCCCATAAACCAGTTTGTCATTAGAGAATCTAGTGCGAGAGAACCTTCAAACATGTGGCGCAGTACATGGCGAAGCCTTCAGTGTAGCTATCAGTAAGTAGAATGCATCCCTCTGCTTTTGCTCAATTGAAACAGGCTCTGAAGATGACAAAAATAAAAGTTCTAATTTGTTGGAAGAGAATTTGTTCGTCATTCCATCATTACTCTCTGGTTAGTGGTTACTAACTGCATGACATATTTCTCTGGTGAAACAACAAGTTTGTTCCATATGTGCAAAAAAAAAAAAAAAAAAAAAAAAACTTGTAACTCAAGTTAAAACAAAACATATATAAATAAATTAAAAAAAGTATGAAAATTAAAAAAATGTTTTAGTCTAAACCCTGAGATCCCCATGCAAAATCAAATGACCAAATCTGATTACACATTTGTGCATAACCAAGAGTTGTGCATCCTATCTTGGACTCTTGTATTTCCTTTTACGTGTGATATGACATATCTCGTTGATTCTTTATTGTTCAATAAATATAATTTGAAGATTGATATTTTTGTACCAATCTGCATTTTTTATTCTTATATTTAATAAAAATTTGTTGCGTTCAGACGTAGCCTAGGCATATTTGAATCTGAACTATAAAGTGTAAACTCATCTACCGAATGAATTTCTTGATATATCAAAATATCGCCTAACAACCTAAGGATCAAGTTGTCACTAAAAGCCTAAGGAACAGTGAGAAGAGTGATCGTAAACGATGCTGATGACTTGGACGAGATAAATTTAACTTATTGAAAATAGTGTTTCGCAATTGAAAATATTTTACCATTTAAATATTTTCCTTAGGGTTTCGTGCACTTGATGATGGATGACAATTTGAGGAAAAAAAAAAGAGATTGTTGATGATGAAGGCATAAATTTCAATGATGCAGAGTAATAACAAATCTCCTATAATATTTATGGTTGGGATGAATAAATTATACTAAGTGAAATTATGTTTCATATGAACTATGAATTTTCCAATAGCTTGATAGTATGGACTCTTTTCCGTTACCAAATAAAATGTCATTGCATCAAAAAGTTATGATTGTTGTGCCGTTGATGAAATGCATCCGATCAATGGATCAACCCGTATTTTGGTTTCTTTTGTACCATATGACAAATTTCGCTTATGTTGTATTGTTCGAGAAATAGAATTTGAAAATTGCTATTTTCTAATCAATTTAGATATTTTTTTATTCTTATAATTGATATAAAGACATTTTTTATGAATACATATATTATTTTTGTAACATGTTATCTTTAGCTCAAACAACAAAAGTTAATGTGGAACACTGGCCCTAGAATGGGTGTGAGTAGCCCAACAGAACATTGGGCCTAATTATTGTCCTTTTAAATTTAAGGATATCGTAAGCCCAATTTTGTGAACCTAAAAAGCCCAACTAGTAATCAATTACCCAATTACGTGTGATACAAGCTGGTCGACTTGGTCAAAGTCGGTTTGTTGAGACGCGTCTAATTTGACACGTATACACGTGTTACTTACGCTACACGGGTAAGTCGGCACATGTATAACCGACTCTCCAACGTTATAAGTTTCCATTGCTGTACTTAACCATACTCTCATTGTCGAACCTCTCATCTACAGCTTCCCGAGCTTCTCCTGTGCGACCGAAATGAGATTTTGCCGCAAAAGGGACCGCCGGCGGGTTGCTTCCTTGGAATCGTTTTTAGCGACGAGTAAAGAGTAGCGATGCCTCTCTGGCCCTGAGACCGTGTCTCCTCTCGATCGGTGTTGGTATTTTGCAGCGGATGTCCGACGGTAGGGTTTCGTGGTGTTTATCGGTGAGGGAATCGTTATACTCTTCTTCTTCTAATTGCTCCTCGTCTTTGCTCTTCTACGCATATGCTTATCTAGATTTTTGCAAAGCCCAATTCTGTCGCTTGATGCAAAGTTTGGTTTGATATCGTTGAAACCAGTTACGTGGTAAAAGGATGTGCTAAATCTGCAATTTAGTTGCTTCGTGAGCCCTAATTCCGACGGTTTTAAGATGCACGAGTTGTGGCTCCATATTTTTTTCTTATGATACAGAAATTGTGGGTGATCCATTCAGGGAATCTGCAAAAGTTGATGGGAACGCGGGTAATTGGTGGTGCGATTTTCAGATACGGTCTGTTGGTTGGTTTCTTTGACACTAACAAAGTCGGTGGTTAGGCGTTTTCTATTGATCAGGCCAGTTAGGGTTTGAGTGCAACCATGATCGTTAAAGATATAACCTTGCGAGGTGGTGAAATCCTTTCAGTGGTATAACTCCTCATGTCCCTTCTCTGTTGCCTAGACTTTTTGTATTCGGATGGAAAATCTCAGAGTTGCGCCTTAATTTGCTTATGAACGCACTAGTTGTGATAACTATATTTTGATGTACTAGCCTAATACCTGATATTGTTGTTGGTTGATGATGCCTGATTATGTCTATTTGGTTGTTTTTGTTGCCACCTGGTTGTCCTATATTTCTGTACAAATTAAATTGCTTCATTCAAGTTCTGCCAATTGTAATCGATTAAGTGAATCTGAACTCTGCAATGTTCATTAAATCAGTGGCCTCCTCGTGTTCTGTTGTAGTCTGGTGACCCACAAATATCTGTTGCCTTCTTGGTCTAAGTTGAAGCGATGGTTTAGCGACTATAGTTACCTTTCTGCTCTATCCTTTTCTGACTGGAGTCCTAGATGGGAGCTTTGGAATAGTTAATAGAAACCAAGTACATGCATGGATTGGAGGCCATGTTTGAGGAACGAAAGCTGTTCTGAAAGTTGTGTCCCTTTTTCCCTATAATTGAAGTTGTTCCTAACTATTCCAGCTGCCCATCTGCTCTATCCTATTCAGTGATTGCCTTAACTAGAGTCCTAGATGGGAACTTTGGAATGATTAAATATTGATGAGAAAATACATGGATTGGTGGCCATGTTTGAGTAACAATGTTGTATGTCCGAAATGCCATCAATTATTTAATCATTCCAGTTGCCCTTCTGCTCTATCCTGTGACCAAGTCTTATATAGATTCATACAAGGTGCCTTTGGATTTAGTGATTCCAACTGAATATACATGCATGGGTTGGAGGCCATGCTTGAGAAAGAAATTTGGTCCGATAGTTGTGTCCCATTGTTCCTTTAATTGAAGTTGTCCCTAACCATTCCAGCTGCCTATATGCTATATGTGGTTGCCTTAACTAGAGTCCTAGATGGGAACTTTGGAGTGATTAAATATTGACCGAGAAACTACATGGATTGGTGGCCATGTTCGAGTAACAATGTTGTATGACCGAAATGGCAGCAGTTATTTAATCATTCTAGTTGCCCTTCTGCTCTGTCCTGTGAAGACCACGTCTTATATAGAGTCCTAGAAGGTATCTTTGGAGTTAGTGATTCGAACTGAATATACATGGGTTGGTTGCTCTCAAGTATTGTGTCCCTTTGCTCTATCTTGTGAAGAAAAAGTCACAAATTGGGTCTTAGAAAGGGTACTTTGGAGTGATTGATACTAACTGAGATATACATGGACTGGTGGTCATGTTGTTGCTCCAAATCTTTTGTCCCTTTGGGTGTTATTATGAGATAATCACGATTGTTTGTTGACTGAAAAGAACTAGTAGGAATCCTAGAGGAGGGGCCTTATCAATGATTACTGTGGAAATACTGTCCATTATGTCAGGTTGCGTGTTATTGTCCTGCATATCTTCTGCTGGATTATTCAGTTGTTAATCTTCCCAAGTCTGACACGGAATTATAGCTGGAACGTGCCCGAGTCATGGAAGAGTTGGCGCTACTGCATTTGTCCTAGTTGTCCTTGATAAGGAGACTACCTACCCTGCCAAATCTGGCGAACTAGTCTTTTGCTTTTTAAATGCATTATTGAAGTGAAGAAGTCTTTAGAATCTTCAAGCATTATGCTGCAGACACTCCATGGAGAGTAATTTGATGTTGCTACTAATAGAAAATGTCCACATCCAAGAGTAGTTGATGAGTGAATCAACGTCTTAAAATTACAGTTATGAGGTTTCCCAAGATTCCATCAACTATGGAGTTCTCAAAGGATGATTTTGGTACGAGTCACTTTTTGGTTGCTGTTGCGCATATCCCTCTTTTGAGAGTTGATAGCTGGAACCTCATGGGTATACTGTAACACCCCGACATTTGAGTTAATGTTCGATCATGATAAATGAACGATTGGATAGGCGGTTACATATAAAGGATTGCGAATTTGGAATAATAATAATAACTTATTATTATTATTAGTAAAGCAAAACAAAAAAAAAAAAAAAAAAAAACAAAAACCCACCCCACCCCACGTCACCCCACCCCACCCCACTTCTCCACCTCTCACTTCCTCCCTACAGCTAGCAGCATAATATCATCCAACCACTTAGTCCCTACACCATTTACTTTGGATCTGAACTAATTGAAGGGCCACGTTCAATTAGTGTACAATTTAATTTTCGTTCTCATCTCCTCCCATTCACAACCGGCAGCACCATGTAGGTTAAATATAACCTCATGTCAAGTAAAGAACAAGCAAGGTTCTTGAGAAGCTAATTGAAGGGCCACGTTTGAGAAGCAGAGAATCAGTGGGCTTTATGCCAAACTTGTTCCTCTGTTCCTCCCCCAACTGCTTATCATCACTATCACCCTCTCGTCATCTCTACATCCATTACCATCATCCCTTGTGTTCCCAACACAGCCATCACCATCAACCTTCCATCCATCAAAACAACACGACCGCCAAAAGCTTCTCACTGTCGCCATCTTTGTTGTTGCCGGAACAGAGCCACACCGCCAGCACTCATCCTTCATCGCCATTAACTTTGTCCATCCTTTCCTTGCCACACGAAGTTTCCCGTCGCTATCATCGTCGATCGGATAGCTACCACGATACTAGCAACAGTTTCCATAGAGAGTCTCTCCCTCTGTCTCTCGAACCATAGGTAAGAACCTCGATCTCAAACCTTTTTGAGCTCGTTTAAACCATGATTAACCCGACAAACCCCATGGTGGACGTAGTTGCGACGGCGATCCCGGCGTGGTCGACTTCAACCAAGCTTCGAAACCTTGGTACCATCGCGTAGAGGACGACCCCAGGAGCACTCCGGTATCGACGAAATCGAATTTGGACGTCGGACAAAGGAGAACCGAGCCTCCAAAGTTTGAGACGTGAGCTCCAGGTACTGCACGCAGCTGAAATGGCCATAGGAAAATATCTAGATTAGTCCTCCATGTTTTAATATGAGCAGATTGGTAATTAAAATTCTGATAATTGACCGAAAGTAGTGTTTGCTTATGGACATGATTACTTCTGACGCGTTTTAGTGTATATTTTTATGATTTGATAATTTTATAAATTAGAGAATATTAGTTTAATGACTGGATAATAATTTGAGAATTTTATGAGCTGTATTTATAATTATACAAATTCGTAGAACATCAGTTTTAGAAAATTAAAATACTGTTTAAGCGACGTCAGTAGGTTTGATAATTTTATATGTAACTAGGGTGCTATAAGGTTACTCATAATAAATTTGGAGATTTTAGGAAGTGATTTACTATCTATAAAAATTAAACTAAGGACGGTTTTATTTAACTAAAATAGTAAAAGAAGGCTCCTGACCCATTTGATAATTTTACAAGAATCTAGAATGACGTTTTGATATTTTAAAATTATAGATTTAAGGAGGATAGTTTTTAGTGAATTAAAGGTGATAAATCGAGCCGTATCGACTAAAAGGATATACGTTTAAATTATAGGTTTAAGGTAGCAATCGGAGTAAGGGTTCCACATCAAGGGAACTAAGTAATCGCCACAAGAGGTGAGTGGTTTAAGGGGGGTAATTTCTACGCCTTACGTGTTTTCAAGTAATTGCCTTACGAGTTTTTAAAGTATGTGTGTTTACGTGAATTGTATGCCAGTGATTGAATTATGTCGTGATTGATAAAGCATGATCTGTTTGAGATATTATCCGAGATGATTATTTGAGCTTTCTGTATTTACTTGAAGCTTTTATATTTATGTTTATTTGATGAAGGTTGTTTGATCTTTAAGGATCAATATTTAAGAGGTATTTCACTCCTAATTAAATTAGGGTGAAAAGATTTAAAGATAGTTCACTAACGACAGTCCCCCGCCCCAGTGAAAGTTTAAAGGAAGAGCACGTTTGCTCTTAAGGAACATGTGGATGAATCACTTAGACATCACATGAAGTTTAAAGGAAGAGTATGATATACTCTTAAGGTTTATGGGGTTGAATCGATTACTCCCATAAAAAGGTTTAAGGAAAGGCCTATGTTGGCCCTCATACGTATGAGCTGGGCGGTTGGACTAGTTAGTGAGGGGATCCCAGTGTCGGTCAAAGGTTTAAGATTTTGAGGGTGGCGAGTAACATCAACTCCCACGTTTTTAAGGGTTAAAATTTAAAGGGTGGAAGTATAAATAACTTCCACGGGTTTTTGAGGTGAACACTTAAGGGAATACCCGTAAGTGCTTCAAGTTTAAGTAATGGCGTAGACTGACCCCAACCCACTCACCAGGTCGTAGAGGAGGAGCTAGGGAGCATCCAGTCGAGGAGCATCCAGTGAGAGAGCAGGCTACCAGAGGAGGACCACGTGAGCACTTCTGAAGATGTCTGACCACGGATCGGAGTAAGCAGCATTTGTAATCTTTAGTTATTTGCTTTATGATTATGAGTAATGACTGGAGATTTAAAAGGATAAGTCTTTATGGATTGAGGTTTGCCCAAATGTTAGGGCTTTGCTTTTAAATTATAAGATGTATTTTCAGTATTGGTATTTCGAGCACATTATTATTTCTTTCTTTCAAAATTTTAAATATGCTCCGGAGCAAAACTTTTAAAGATCGGGATGTGACATTTTGGTATCAGAGCCGGTGTTCTTCTGTTCTTTGGTCTCCAAGGAATACTGGAATATCGGTCGTAGTTTTAAAGGCTTATGTTTTAAAGGAAAAGAAAAACGTGTTTTAAGTTTTGGCCAAACGAGTCAAGGATTTGTTTTAAGGATTTATAAAATCTCCAGTCTACTCTAATCGTATTGGAAAAAAAATAGCTCGATTACTAAAAGGGCCTTACTTATATGCAGAGCTAGTAATGCCCACGTCAACCTTCCACCACCGCCGCAACCTAGGCGTCCACCGGATTATGATACGTTCCGGAAGAGGAAGGTAGAGGATTTCTACGGGGATCGTTCGACGGATCCCATGGAGATTGATCTGTGGCTTTCAAAAGTCACTCGCACTCTACAGGAGATGCGAGCAGATGACGAGGACAAAGTGTTGCTGACAGTGTCCCTACTACAGGGTGCTGCTTACCGCTGGTGGGCTACACAGCCAGCCAGTCAGGAGGATCCACCAGCCATCACTTGGCCAGGGTTCGTGCAACTGTTCAAAGACCACTACATACCAATGTCTTATCGGATCGAGCAACAGAGGGAATTCCTTATGATCAGGCAGAAGTGGGGAAGTGAAAAAAGAGAAACAGTGGCGGAGTACACATCCCGGTTTGATAAACTGCTCCCTTATGGGGGGCCACAGTTCCAGGATGCTGAGATTCAACGAAGTCACTACCTAGAGAGCCTGAAGCCTACCCTTAAGAGGGACCTGAGTGCACATGTATGGAACAGCAGAGAGGAGATTTATCAGGCAGCCCTCCGAGTGGAAAGGGTAGAACAGAGCTTGTACGAAGAAAGGGTACAACGAGATGGTCATAAGAGAAAGGCTATGAGCTTCACAGAGGGACCGAGACAGATGAGTCAGATCAGGAGGAGGCCGAATGGTCCACCCAGTTATGGAGGCACTCAAAGCCGGGCTGGTTCGACTATGCCGGGTCCGACCTATAATAACAGGGGTCCTTGCAACCAGTGTGGGAAGATTCATCCGGGAGAATGCAAGCTTCACTTAGGGGTCTGTTTCCACTGCAACGAACCAGGCCATTTTGCCAGAGAATGCCCTAAGAAGGGAGGGCAAGGGAGGACTCAGTCTGAACAGTCTGTTCGTGGTGGAGGAGGCAAAACTCACACCGGGTACCAGTTTGGCAATCAGCAAAATCGAACGTTCAACAACAATGGAGGAAATGTTGGGCGGTCCATCCGTAATGATAGGGGCCAGGGGTCTCAAGCAGCTGGGCAACCAAGGATCTTCGCCATGAGGAGAGAAGAGGCTGATGCTGCACCTGAAGTGGTGACGGGTATGATTACTCTTTACCGACATTCAGCTTTTGTGCTCATCGATTCTGGTTCTACGCATTCATTTATCTCTACAAAGTTTGCTAGAAACTTAAGAATACCATCAGTGAAGTTGGGTCAGAACTTAGGGGTGAGAACCCCGGTAGGGGATACATTGATAGTCGATTCCGTCATTAGGAATTGCACTATCACAGTGGCTGGTTACGAGTTCGAAGCAAATCTAATCATACTACCGTTTGACGAGTTTGACGTCATACTGGGTATGGATTGGCTGTCCAAAAACCGAGCAAGGGTGGATTGTTACAAGAAGGAGGTTAGCCTTGAAATTGAGGGCAAGGGCACGGCGTTATTCAAGGGTACCAGAAAGCTGATCCCAGGAGGCTTAATCTCTGCGATGAAGGCCTTCTCGTTGATCCAAAAAGGATGTGAAGCCTACTTGGCCCATATCAAGGAGGTGCAAGAGAAGAAGATAGAAGATGTGCCTATTGTGAGAGAATACCCCGAGGTATTCCCCGAAGATCTTCCTGGGTTACCGCCGCAACGGGAGGTGGAGTTTGATATTGAAGTGGTTCCTGGTACAGCACCAATATCCATTCCTCCATACCGCATGGCACCAGTGGAGTTGAAGGAGCTGAAGGAACAGTTAGAAGAGCTATTGGAGAAGGGTTTCATCCGCCCTAGCGTATCACCATGGGGAGCACCAGTGTTGTTCGTGAAGAAGAAGGATGGCAGTATGAGACTGTGCATCGACTATAGAAAGTTGAACAAGGCAACCATCAAGAATCGTTATCCTCTGCCAAGGATAGACGATCTCTTCGACCAGCTACAAGGAGCAAAAGTTTTCTCAAAAATTGATCTGAGGTCTGGATACCATCAATTGAGAGTAGCAGATGGCTCCATACCTAAGACGGCATTTCGCACACGATATGGCCACTACGAGTTTTTGGTCATGCCGTTCGGTTTGACTAATGCACCGGCAGCTTTCATGGCCTTGATGAACCGAGTTCTTCATGAATATCTAGATAAGTTTGTCATCGTATTCATTGATGACATCCTCATCTACTCTAAGAGCGAGAAAGATCATGAAGAGCATTTAAGGGTGGTATTACAGAAACTGAAGCAGGAAGAGTTGTATGCCAAATTCTCTAAATGCGATTTCTGGCTAGACGAAGTCCTATTTTTGGGACATATGATCTCTGGTCGTGGAGTTGAGGTGGATCCAAAGAAGATTGAAGCTGTGACAAACTGGATTCCACCAAAGAACGTGTCCGAAGTACGGAGTTTTCTGGGTTTAGCTGGGTACTACCGGAGGTTTGTAGAAGGCTTCTCCAGTATTGCGAGACCCATGACTCAATTGTTGCAGAAGGGGAAGGCATTTGTATGGGACGAGAAGTGTCAAGCTGCATTCGAGTTGCTGAAGAAGAAGTTGACGTCTGCACCAGTGTTGGCACTACCAACCAGCGGTGGGGAGTATTCCATCTATAGCGATGCTTCCTATCAAGGGTTGGGTTGTGTGCTGATGCAAGATAAGAAGGTGATTGCATATGCTTCGAGGCAACTACGACCCCACGAGGTGAACTACCCCACCCATGACTTAGAGTTGGCAGCAGTGGTCTTCGCCTTGAAACTATGGAGACACTATCTCTACGGCGAGACTTTCACCATCTTTACTGATCACAAAAGTCTCCAACACTTAACTGATCAGAAGGAGTTGAACATGAGACAGAGGAGGTGGATGGAGTTGTTAAGCGATTACGATTGTACTATTAAGTACCACCCAGGAAAGGCAAATGTGGTAGCTGATGCATTGAGTAGGAAGAGAGAGAGTCCTTTACCCGAATTGGTCTCTTTGAGGGCCATGAACGTGGAATTGGAATTAGAAGAAGTAACGAAGCTGTTAGCAACCTTGAAGGTTCGCCCTATGTTACAGGAACGTATCAAGGAGAAGCAGAGTGAAGATACAGAATTGGGGAATTATAAGAAACGGGTGTTAGAAGGGAAGGACACCAAATTTGAATTGGTAGATGGTGTACTGATGTATCAAGGAAGATTGTGTGTGCCGGATGTCGACAAGTTGAGAAAGGACATTCTGGACGAGGCTCACTCTGCACCATATGCAATGCACCCTGGTGTCACAAAAATGTATCGTACCCTCAAGGAGCATTTTTGGTGGCCAGGATTGAAGAAGGATGTAGCAGCACATGTTTACCAGTGCCTGGAATGTCAAATGATTAAGGCTGAGCATCAAGCCCCAGTCATTGAACACCTACCGCTGGAGATTCCACAATGGACTTGGGAGAAGATCACTATGGACTTTGTGTATGGATTGCCGAGGACCCCGAAGGGAAATGACGGAGTATGGGTAATTGTAGACCGATTCTCAAAGGTGGCTCATTTTATACCAATCAAGTTCAAGCCAGGGCTGGAAGAACTGGCTAGATTGTATGTGAGAGAGATAGTAAGGCTACATGGAGTTCCACTTAGCATCGTGTCTGATCGCGATCCTAGCTTCACGGCACGATTCTGGGTAAGTCTCCAGAAGGCTATGGGCACTAAGGTGCATTTCTCTACTGCATATCACCCCCAAACTGATGGACAATCAGAGAGGACGATTCAAACGCTGGAAGACCTGCTAAGGGCGTGTGTATTGACGATGGAGGGAGCTTGGGACGAGCATTTGCCCCTAATGGAGTTTGCTTACAATAACCAGTATCACAGCTCGATACAAGCAGCTCCATATGAGGTATTGTATGGGAGAAAATGTCGCACACCACTATACTGGGATGAAGAAGGAGTGCGACAACTAGAAGGTCCGGATATGGTACAGAAGGCAGTGGAAAAGGTGGAGGCAATTCGTCGAAATTTGAAGGTGGCCCAGGACCGGCAGAAAAGTAATGCTCAGAGGCCAGGGAACCCACGCAGTCATGAAGTGGGTGAGATGGTATTTCTGAGGGTGTCTCCTTGGAAGGGAGTAATGAGATTCGGCAAGAAGGGAAAGCTTAGTCCGAGGTATATCGGGCCATACGAGGTGCTGGAGCGTGTGGGACCCTTAGCATATCGACTAGCTTTACCTCCTAGCCTATCTAAAATTCACGATGTCTTCCATGTAAGCATGCTAAGGGCGTATCGATCTAACCCTGAACATGTGATCAGGCATGAGGACATCCAGTTGGAGGACGATTTGACTTACGAGGAAACACCAGTCAAGATCGTGGATAAACAGGAAAAGAAATTGAGAAAAAAGAAGATTATAATGGTAAAGGTGATATGGCGGAACCAGGGCAACGAGGCTGCGACTTGGGAGACAGAAACTAGCATGCGAGAGAAATACCCTGAATTGTTTAACGATGCTTAAATCGATGGTCGGTTTGTCCCAATGTATTTTAGCGTTCAGTTCTCAATACACACTATTTAATAATAGTCCCGGTGATTAAGTTCTGTTCAGCCAAAGTACAACAAGGCAGTTCACCCAAAATTTCGAGGTCGAAATTTATTTAAGGGGGAGGGAAATGTTACATCCCACTATATCCAATTCTAATTGAATACGATTTACCTCGGCACAATTAGTGGCATCTTATTCCCCAACCAACAGTTCCAATTTCGGGGACGAAATTTTTATAAGGGTGGAGGAAATGTAACACCCCGACATTTGAGTTAATGTTCGATCATGATAAATGAACGATTGGATAGGCGGTTACGTATAAAGGATTGCGAATTTGGAATAATAATAATAACTTATTATTATTATTAGTAAAGCAAAACAAAAAAAAAAAAAAAACAAAAACCCACCCCACCCCACGTCACCCCACCCCACCCCACTTCTCCACCTCTCACTTCCTCCCTACAGCTAGCAGCATAATATCATCCAACCACTTAGTCCCTACACCATTTACTTTGGATCTGAACTAATTGAAGGGCCACGTTCAATTAGTGTACAATTTAATTTTCGTTCTCATCTCCTCCCATTCACAACCGGCAGCACCATGTAGGTTAAATATAACCTCATGTCAAGTAAAGAACAAGCAAGGTTCTTGAGAAGCTAATTGAAGGGCCACGTTTGAGAAGCAGAGAATCAGTGGGCTTTATGCCAAACTTGTTCCTCTGTTCCTCCCCCAACTGCTTATCATCACTATCACCCTCTCGTCATCTCTACATCCATTACCATCATCCCTTGTGTTCCCAACACAGCCATCACCATCAACCTTCCATCCATCAAAACAACACGACCGCCAAAAGCTTCTCACTGTCGCCATCTTTGTTGTTGCCGGAACAGAGCCACACCGCCAGCACTCATCCTTCATCGCCATTAACTTTGTCCATCCTTTCCTTGCCACACGAAGTTTCCCGTCGCTATCATCGTCGATCGGATAGCTACCACGATACTAGCAACAGTTTCCATAGAGAGTCTCTCCCTCTGTCTCTCGAACCATAGGTAAGAACCTCGATCTCAAACCTTTTTGAGCTCGTTTAAACCATGATTAACCCGACAAACCCCATGGTGGACGTAGTTGCGACGGCGATCCCGGCGTGGTCGACTTCAACCAAGCTTCGAAACCTTGGTACCATCGCGTAGAGGACGACCCCAGGAGCACTCCGGTATCGACGAAATCGAATTTGGACGTCGGACAAAGGAGAACCGAGCCTCCAAAGTTTGAGACGTGAGCTCCAGGTACTGCACGCAGCTGAAATGGCCATAGGAAAATATCTAGATTAGTCCTCCATGTTTTAATATGAGCAGATTGGTAATTAAAATTCTGATAATTGACCGAAAGTAGTGTTTGCTTATGGACATGATTACTTCTGACGCGTTTTAGTGTATATTTTTATGATTTGATAATTTTATAAATTAGAGAATATTAGTTTAATGACTGGATAATAATTTGAGAATTTTATGAGCTGTATTTATAATTATACAAATTCGTAGAACATCAGTTTTAGAAAATTAAAATACTGTTTAAGCGACGTCAGTAGGTTTGATAATTTTATATGTAACTAGGGTGCTATAAGGTTACTCATAATAAATTTGGAGATTTTAGGAAGTGATTTACTATCTATAAAAATTAAACTAAGGACGGTTTTATTTAACTAAAATAGTAAAAGAAGGCTCCTGACCCATTTGATAATTTTACAAGAATCTAGAATGACGTTTTGATATTTTAAAATTATAGATTTAAGGAGGATAGTTTTTAGTGAATTAAAGGTGATAAATCGAGCCGTATCGACTAAAAGGATATACGTTTAAATTATAGGTTTAAGGTAGCAATCGGAGTAAGGGTTCCACATCAAGGGAACTAAGTAATCGCCACAAGAGGTGAGTGGTTTAAGGGGGGTAATTTCTACGCCTTACGTGTTTTCAAGTAATTGCCTTACGAGTTTTTAAAGTATGTGTGTTTACGTGAATTGTATGCCAGTGATTGAATTATGTCGTGATTGATAAAGCATGATCTGTTTGAGATATTATCCGAGATGATTATTTGAGCTTTCTGTATTTACTTGAAGCTTTTATATTTATGTTTATTTGATGAAGGTTGTTTGATCTTTAAGGATCAATATTTAAGAGGTATTTCACTCCTAATTAAATTAGGGTGAAAAGATTTAAAGATAGTTCACTAACGACAGTCCCCCGCCCCAGTGAAAGTTTAAAGGAAGAGCACGTTTGCTCTTAAGGAACATGTGGATGAATCACTTAGACATCACATGAAGTTTAAAGGAAGAGTATGATATACTCTTAAGGTTTATGGGGTTGAATCGATTACTCCCATAAAAAGGTTTAAGGAAAGGCCTATGTTGGCCCTCATACGTATGAGCTGGGCGGTTGGACTAGTTAGTGAGGGGATCCCAGTGTCGGTCAAAGGTTTAAGATTTTGAGGGTGGCGAGTAACATCAACTCCCACGTTTTTAAGGGTTAAAATTTAAAGGGTGGAAGTATAAATAACTTCCACGGGTTTTTGAGGTGAACACTTAAGGGAATACCCGTAAGTGCTTCAAGTTTAAGTAATGGCGTAGACTGACCCCAACCCACTCACCAGGTCGTAGAGGAGGAGCTAGGGAGCATCCAGTCGAGGAGCATCCAGTGAGAGAGCAGGCTACCAGAGGAGGACCACGTGAGCACTTCTGAAGATGTCTGACCACGGATCGGAGTAAGCAGCATTTGTAATCTTTAGTTATTTGCTTTATGATTATGAGTAATGACTGGAGATTTAAAAGGATAAGTCTTTATGGATTGAGGTTTGCCCAAATGTTAGGGCTTTGCTTTTAAATTATAAGATGTATTTTCAGTATTGGTATTTCGAGCACATTATTATTTCTTTCTTTCAAAATTTTAAATATGCTCCGGAGCAAAACTTTTAAAGATCGGGATGTGACATATACGTATGAGATTTCCCTAGGGTAAAACAAGGTGTTAATGGTTTGTTTTCAAACATATTATTTGCAGCTACTGCATTGAACTAAAGGTTGCATGTATCTGCATGACTTCCTTTTTGAACTTGCAATTTAACTTGTGATTGTAAATGCAAGTTATTACTGGAAGGTCTTGGAAGGGTGACTTTACTAATGTCTGCTTAAAGATTATGGCTGTGACAAGCGAGCAAAGTTTAAATTAGGTCTCAAAAGTAAAAGCTTGCTTAATCTGGTTGTTCTTTTGCCTTTTTGACACACATTAGTTGGGACTCTGTTGGTTTAAATTAATAATAGTCTTTTCTTGGGGATTCAGTGTTGCAGTAAATTATTAATAGGAAGGCTCAGAAGAGAAGCTTAGCTTACTCATTTTCTCACTTGAAGCTTTGTATTGTGACCGGGTCCTAGACAAAAATTAAGCCAGTCTTGGCTCTCCTTCAGAATCAGGGGACATTATGAGAATGCTTAAGTGGAAGTAAAAGGTACTGGACTAGGATGTTCCTTTGTATTACAACCATGAGGCTTTGGTTGGGATTCATTGTTCTCCTGTAGTTGCAACTTGTGCATGTTGATTGGGTGACAAAAATCATCTTGTTCAATACTGTATTTTGAACAGTAAATCTCTAAGAAGGGTCCTGGCAAGGAAGAGGGTTCACTGGTTAACTATTTTCCGATTTCAAACATAAGAAGAATGTAAGCTTGCTGTAATTTGGTTCCTATCATGAACGTTTGTATCTTATACTCTCAGAAATCAGTTTTTGGGAGGAAATCTATCTTCTCATGACTTGGTAGAAAGATATTAGTCCTTTACTTCATCTGTCGATCCAATATCATTTCGTTGATATCTGGAGACTAGAAAGGTACTTGGAATGGGTTGTGGATAGAATTCCTTAATAATGCAAGCTAGAAGTTATATGCTAGGGAGAGACTGTTCTTTTGGTTGTACTTGTGTGTTCCAAACAGAATGCAGGTTCGCAAAGTTCCTATCCTAGACGGGTCAATTGGTTTCTCCTGTAACCATTATGGTGGATTTGTACTTGCATATTGTTTTGACATCATTGAAGCGACGCGTCTTGCTTTCAGGTCATTTCTGGTCAAGCATTCAAACCTTCAAAAGATATTTGCTTGTTGCTGGATTCTCACCTGGCGGCACTTAAAAGAGGGGTCCTAGAAGCAATCCTACTTAAATGGTTCGGTTTGGCTTGGTTGAAACATGCAAGTTCATTACAATTTACAAGTCTTGAGGTGGAGCTAGAAATTCTATTTGTCCAAGTGATATGATGCTGAGCATCCTGTTTTTGCAAGTTGGAAGGAAGATTCTTACAGAACAATACTGTTTTCTGTCCTTCAAGATTTATCTGCAGCACCATCTGGTTCTTGAACTCACGATTCAATGAGAGCATCTTTTGGAAGGTGTGGATAACCCTACCTCTGATAAGTTTTGTTTCTTTGTGAGATTCTTGCGTACTTCAGGATGTCGATTCTTCTATGCTACTCTTGTTGTTCATTTATTATTTCCTTAGAACTAATGAAAATACTGATGGAATCCCAGCTGTGACATAGTGCTGGAAGTGTAAACCTTGGGGTTGAGAGATCAGTGATGAGCTTATACATCTTCATGAATTCTATCAGCTAAACTAGAAGTTGTACTGGGGCAATGCGGTGCGCTACTGCCTTCATTTTGTAATGAAATTTGATTCATTCCTCAGTTATATTATGCGATTAAGGAATGTCCTCTGGTGTTTATAATGTGATTGTGGACCATTGTGACTGTGAACATGAAAGCTGATGTTGGATCTTTGGCAGAACTCAAGGAATACAGATTCTTACTACATCTTACCACTATTTGTTTCTGATAGATACCTCTTTCGATCGACCTGTTATTGTTGTTGGTTTTCTTCTGCTCTCAAACTCAACAATGGATGAACCTTCATGTGGTTCGACGAAGGATGCAGTGCAATGCAATGTCCTAAATTATTATACCTTCACGATTGAATGTGATCTGCCCAGTTCTGTTCTATTTTGGCTTCGGTTCATTTGTTTACAAAGGGAATCTTGCTTGATGCTTAGTCCCTAGACCAACTTCTTTCTCTCATGTCACGTAATGTGAGCCGCTGCACTGCATTGGTTCGTCTGTGAGTAAGTTGAAGAAGGGAATCAGGTTCATAATAGTTCACAAATGGGCTTTTGAGAAAGCCAGTCTTACTATCAGCAGCTTGGATTACGAGAGCCCGCACATGAATGGACTAGCCAGACAGAGATGGGCTAGGCCGATACATCTTGGACAATGAGACTCCTGTCTACCTGTTTCCTCCCCTTGTCGGTTGTGGTGGTCCTGCATTTCCGCCACTGAAGTTCTGAAGCGATCGGTGATGAACCTTTCTCCTCACCGCCAGAGTGTTGCCGTCAAAGTAAAAGCCTGCAAGTCCGGCATCTCTCTCTGGAGATAAAATCAATAAGCATAATCCAATTCTGCTCGGTTCATTTGGAATCCAAGGCAGGGCTGAAATCTTTGGAAACTGTCGAGATAGTTGATGGGACAAATCTGGGCAATCTTGATGGACTCGACAGTCGCCACAAACTTGAGTTTTTCAGGCTGTGATGCATTGGAAAGACTACCTAGTCTAGCGTCCTTGAGCAAGTTAATCTAGTTCCATAGCTTTCGCTGCCCTCTTCTCACAGAAATCGGAGGCCTTGGAGGGCTAAATCATTGCAAGTGTTTGAGGTGGATGGTGCGGAGAGTTTAACTCGAGACCATGGCCTTGGGAATCCCCTATGTTTCAGAAAGTTGCAAACTTTGAGGATATGGAATCGCCCTCGTCTCACAGCACTAACATCCCATGGACGGCAGCCTGACAGCCAAATAGTACTCGAATCCTTGAGATAGTTGTCCATCCGTGCAAGTGCATCCCTACTGCAGAGTATCTTCAACCAGATGCTTTATCCGACAAAGTTTCAGAGGCTTATGGTATTGGAACTTGGGGAGATGGGGGCAAAAATGCAGAGGAGTTATTGCTGGAGGGGCTCGAAGCTCTGGAAGATCTAGTTACACTGATGTTGCTTGGCTTGGCCTCAATTCAGAGAATAACTTCTCTATCAAAGCTAGTAAAGTTGAAGTACTTAATTCTGACTGATGCTTCAAAGTTATGTGTGATTGAGAGCCTTGTTGATTTGCAATCTTTGCAACACGTAACGATTATTGGATGCACATCTTTGGAAAGATTGCCTGCTGGTCTTTCTGGGTTGGAGCAATTGCGAAGTATTGAGATCCAAGGATGCATGAAATTGACTGATCTCTTGGCTCTGTGGAACCTACGATCTAATGTTAGTGTTTGGCAGCCAAATTCTGATACATATTTATACGACTCGGACTTGAGCTCAGATTCGTGAAAGAGCAGTATGTGATTCAGTCTTTGCCCTCTCCAATCATTAGAGGAGGGAACCTGTTATATTTTGATGACCGTTAAATCTCGGATCTTGGAGGTAATCACGCACCACTATTTGTTACGCTGCACCTTATTATTTGTGTTTGATGTTCAGACTGAGATCTTTGAGGCAAGTAGATTCTTAATAGAAATGTTAGCCTTCAAGGCTTTCTTCTTTCCTCAGCAGACCCACATTATTGAGATATACTTTGTGCGGCATGTCCCTTTGCAGAACTAAAAATGACTTACGCAGTCTGAATACCAGAGTGGGGTACGACTAGGATTCTTGTTAGCAATTTAAGGACTCTGATTTCTTGTTGGTATATTGTCAACAACTAGAACTCCCAAAACATGAGGTGAAGAAACGGTATATTGTAGGTGACAACCGGTCCCAATGTTTAAATTTAGTTGAACTAGATGCTTGCAGTCTACTCATTATAATTAGGCGAGGCACTCCCTTTTGGTTTTGACGGAAGCTATCTGTGTTATTTTGTGGAAACGTGGAATATATAAGCAGGAGTTGATTGGAAGCGGAAGGAGAGTGTGGTGTTGCTGTAGCCTGCAACTCTCGTCCTTGTCTCTCTACTCTAGTAACACGACTTACATTTGAAGAAGTTAGGTGATAGACTGGGGTTTTAGTACAAATTGAAGATGTTTGGGGACTGGTTTTTATATTTAAAATTTGGTGATAGACTACCATTTAGTACGCTCTTCGTCAGTTTGACCAGCTTTTCCCTTATGACGAAAGGAGCAGTAAGTCCTCTCTCTGTCTCACTCTCTCAGGGCTGTAATTTCCCACAGCTGGGATTTGGCTGCTGCTGCTTCTGGTTCTGCAGATCATCTATCCTTCTATGCTCTACGGTGTGTTATATTGGATATGTGCTTTAGCTATTCCAATTATTTACGTTCCAGCTCTCGTTCTTTCCAAGTGTTGGACTTTAGCACTTAGAATTTCTTATATTATTTGTTAGTCCTGTAGTGTTCCATGTTTCTGAACTACTACTGTTTTTACTTTTGAGCTTCAGTCGTCAAGAACCCTCTTTCAGATCCTAATGCTGTGGAATTATTGTTACCAATTGGCCGTTGCAGCTTCCTCACTTTTGCTAATTGCTTGGATGCCGTTCCTTGTTTTTTAAGTTAAGTGAACACCAGATTTAGTAATGTTCTTGATATCTCTTTTCCCTTTTTTCCTGGTGTAATTTGATGTCTTATCTCTGAGCCTGATATGGATGAATCTATTCGAAATTCAGGATAGCTTCCATTGTGATTGGCTATGTACTTAGCTTCTGAAGTTAAACAGAAGATGTCTCAGAGGTCTGCATAGTGCGGTAATGGAAATCCTGGTATTTTATTGTATGATTATAAAAAGAAGCAATGGTGTTTCCTAGATCTTTGTTAATCTTTCATCATCGGTGTTCAGTTCATAACTAGCGCTTATAGTTTACATCTATATTGCATCGTCAACCGAGCAGTGAAGTCTAAGATTTCTGATAAGTCTTTTCCAATTCTGTGGTGCATCTGATTGTTCACTTCAGAACATAAGCATGTTGTTTAGCTATTGCCCATCTGTTCTTCCAACTTGCTTTGGCTTGGTTTGATAAATAACCTGTATATGTATTTGGTATGGTACATTACATGCATGCCAGCAGCTAGTAATATGGCTCCTTGAAAACCAGCACATAAACAATGCAGCCAATAGCAAAAACAAGGATGAGAGCATCAAATGTGAGAGCCGTCATCGCCTGATCACTGAGCTCCAAGTTTTTCCCTCCAAGACGATCAACCATATCAGGAACCGATTCGTAGGTGTTGAGGTTCAGTTCCAAGGGATCCTCCAACTTCATCCTCATCTTCTCAGCTTGCTTGCTAGCAAGCTCCTGTGCGAGCGACCAGTCATAGAATCTCCGCTTCTCGGGGTCGCACAGGACAGCATAAATTCTCCTCAGCCTCATGAACTTTTCTGAGGCTGTTTTCAGAGGGAGCGATGTTGTGTCCGGGTGGTACTCCTTGGATAGCCGCCGGTAAGCTGATTTAATCTCTTCCAAGTCTGCTTCTGGCTGCACCCCAAGGAACCTGATTTGGTTTGTGTTATGAAAGATGAATGAGATTTTGATCAGTCACATGGAATTTAGCAGCATATGAACATTATTGGAGAAGGGAGCACTCACTGGTAATGAGAGTCAGAAGCATCATCGAGCAAATCAGCAAACTTGTCACCCAGCAAGTCTTCATTGTCCTTTTCCTGGTCGCCGGATGTGTCGGTGTTTGTGCCGCCGCCGCCGATCCAGCCTTCGTCAGGATTGTCCCAGTGGATTCTGGTGTCAACTCCAGGTGGTGCTCTCGGCGGCCGGCTTTGTGGTTCTTTAGCTGCAGTTGCTACAACACTTCTTCTACTATGATTATCACTTCTACCAGCTGTCAACCCTTTTGTTGTGGTTGGTCGATGGAATGCTTTGTGAATATGGTGGCTGCCATTTTGGGTTTTGAATGGCGGTGGATGTGAAGCTTGAGGGGAAGGGGAAGCAGCTCTGAATGCCATGGAAAGCTTGGAGAAGAAAGGGTGGGAAGTATTTTTTGGGGGAGTTTCAGCAAGTTTTGTGAACTGAGATTTGGGGGATTAGTGGCCTCATTTTTTTGTGCGGCTCAGGCGGAGTCCTTGCCCAATCCATGATATGATTTTTGTTTCGGAGCGACATTGGGCCGGGCCCGGGCCTCCATGCTTATCTGGAGAAGCCCATTTGGAGGCTATACCCTTCAATGCGACTGTTTTATTGTAGGGTTAATAGTTTCATACATATTTGTTACATTTTGATAGATAGTTGAAAGGTATAATGAACGTGCAACAAATTAGCCATTAATATAGGGGTACGTTTGTTAACTTGAATTATTAACGTTCTATAATAACATCATCAATATTTATGAAATGAATTATTATTGATATATTCTATAATTATTAACGATTTTAATATACTTATCAATGTTTTATAATTATATTGGTAACGCCTTTAGATAATTTGTTAACCGTTTACATCTTCATCAACAATGCTTATGAAGGAATCAGTAAAGTCATGTCGCATCATCAATTATTAGGTTAAATAACATTATCGTTGATTTATAACATCTTTAAAACAACACGTTTTCACGTCACATTCATAACTAGCCAATCATGACCTATTACAATTACTTCCAATGACGTTATCAAAGTTTTGCGACAAATTGATCTCGCTTTACATTGTCGTTCAGAGCGATACATAAAAACACCACACTTATGTTTCATCATCATCTTTGACATTTGTGACATACCGCACTTGTGATTACTGTTGCTGCATGCCACGTACGTACCGACCATCATGTCGGCGGCTGGATGCTGTCCTTGCCGGCGGCCGGTGAGCAAAACCACAGTCCAGTAGAGGGGTTCCAATTACAATATTCATCGTCTGACACACATGCATCCACCAAAATAAACAAATCCACACATATTAGAGATCTATGTTAAGTTAAATTAAATTAATCATCCAGATCGAAGTAAGCATTCAAACCTTGAGGAAGAAGGGCAGATGGGAAACTGGCGGCCATAGTACTTCCTTTGTGATCCATTGATGTCGTCGGAGCATGGGGAAGCCGGCGGCCGTTGGCCATCGGAGAGACGACCAGTAAGCTCCAGCAGAGCACAGCAGCAGTGAACATGATCCTTACCAACCGTTGGCTGCTTCCCATATCAAACTATGATGGATTGATAATTAGTTGTTTAATTACTTAATTTCCACTCTAATTTATAGCTGACAATCTGAATAGTATATGACGACCTGAGTTTGTAAAACTCCTAATTAGTATTTTTTTTCCTTCCCCCTACCCTCTATTTTCTAGAATTGTTCACTTGACGGGAAATTCAAAATGACGACTTTTAACAATATGTGTATTGTAGATAGATGGAGTTATGGAGATAGGGCATAATATAATTGATGGATATGCCAGAAAAGCTAATTTGGTGCGGCTAAATGCTCTTTGCCCGGGCGCAAGACACCTAAGCCGGCCAAGAAGGAAAAAAAAAAAAAACAGCTAGCTAGTAATTAGTATAACTAAATTGTGCATTAACAAGAAATTAGAGTTTTATTACAAACGCCGGTCGTCACAATATGGAAATGGTTGGCTAGAGGACGAGTCTGGCCGCATGGATGGATCATCGACCTTTACTATATCTCTTCCTTTCTCTCTCGACCTTTACATTTTACAACCCAATACTTAAACAAACCCCTTCCTAGGGATGACAATTTCGACCTGACCCGATTTACCCGACCTGTTTGACCTGTTTTGGAGCGGGTAAAACCCGCCCCATCTCTCATCGACCCGACCTGTCCTGACCCGCCCCATTCTCGACCCGTTCTTGCCTAAATTACATATAATCTTAATCAAATGACTTAAGATTTTCCTCATATTACATTATATTTTAGCTATAATAAAGTTGTAAATAAGTGAAAACCTCAATTTCTTCAATAATTTAACTACATATTATCATATTATGGTTTCTTTCTTGGTCTTTCAATGAAAAGACCGAATATTTCTAATGTTTTCACATAAATTACATACCCATTGGGTCGACCTGCCCTGATCCGCGCCCCGTGATAAATTACCCGACCTGGACCTGACCTGTCATGGGGCGGGTATGGGTATCGAGATACCCGCCCCGGACCTGCCGCATTGCCATTCCTACCCCTTCCAAAAGCACTAAACCTCTAACATATCTAACCCTTCACCCTTAATGCTGAAAATGAAAAGTCAGTTCAAGCTAGATCATTAATTGTAATAGCAAACCAAAATGGAAAATACAAAGGGCAGATCAGCTGATGACATAATTTGCCTAAACCTTAATCTATAGATTCACCAAGCTAATTAAGGGACCATATTACTTGTTACATCATTCACCAAAGAAGCAAATGTTGTTGAATCGTTAATTTGCATAAACCTTAATCTATATCTGGACATGCAGTTGTTGAATCAGCATCTGCTCTCTCTGAAGCTCATGATGAGAAATTCTTAATACTGGTTACAAATGCCATGAATCTTTTTACCTGCAAAAGCTAAAAAATTTAAAAGGTAAATGAACCTAACGTAGCTAAGTATTAAGGTCTCTCCACAACACTCTCGCTGACGATGATAACAAATATCAATCAACAAAATCATGGCCATGTTGCGATAAGCATATAAAAAAAAAATCATGGCCATGTTGCGATAAATTTCGTGTGGTTTATATTTGAACGGTGAGATAAGAAGCTTCACTCATTCCCGGAAAGCAAATGAATCCAGTAAATATTACCGTACCTCATTATCACAGGCAAATTCAACAACAGAAGAAAAAAAAAAACATAGCGTCATACATTTGTTATTTATTCGTTAAAAAAAAAGATATAGCGTCATATATTTGTTGTTTATTCGTACACAAATAAGTCCGAGGAGAGAAACAAGTAGAATCTGACTATGGCCATCAGATCAATCCAGAGACAAGTAGTACTACTGCTCCATGCCACCGATCATCATGTCGGCCCTAATTTAGTTTTTACTGTATGTTTTTTTTCTTCCTAAATGCAAATGGAGCCTTTCTGGCATTTCCCATTGTATCATCTCCATCTGTCTTCACGTACACAATATTATTAATGTGTCCATTTTAAATTTTCCGTGCATGATGGGAACAAGTTTGGATATATTCTTTTGATATTTGCGTCTTTCTCCTTATTATCAAATCGAACCGGTCGGCTTGAATTGGAAGAAGTATCGGGTTGCTATGTCTTCGATTCCACTTACTCTCCCCTCTACAGATGTCTTTCGTAAATAAACATCATGTGCCCGGGAAAAGAGGAATCGACAAAGAACTCAGAAACGAGATAACTCGGAATCCAACATGACAACAACAAAAAAAAAAAAATCAAGAAAGAGGGAGTAATGCATGATATACCCCAGAAATATACCATACTCCAAGTGATATGACCGTTTGATCTCAATTTTGTTCTTAGCGTTTATGAAATAAATTTTATTTGTATGACCTATCATTTGGTAACGATTTTAATATATTCATTTACTTTAGAATAACATTATTAACGATATCTCTCATCATTTTTTAACGTATGCATCACAGCATACCCCACATAAATTATTGAACATAGAAAAATGATACAACATAGATACAAGTTAGGTCACAGGATTCGTGAGTTGAAGGGCGGCGCTCCCGCTTTAGAGGATTGATAATAGGAAGGAAGAAGAGGTTGAGTGGTGGCTGATTTTGGATCTTCAATTCTCAGGCCGATTTGGCTCCAACGAGCCAGAGAAAGAGAGAGGAAGATTGAGGATAGAATGATAGATGAAACCGAACCGTCAAATAGATTTTGATTAGTCTATTTCTAATTCTAAATTCTTATCCCTTTTATTATAGCTGGTTTCCATTATGCTTGCGAAAAATGTTATTAAGTCCCCAATAAATATAGCTACGTACAGTTGGGTCATGATATTTTATTTCCATATGTATTCAGTTATATAATTTTAGGAAGGAGTGTAGAGTAAGTACCTATTAGTCATTGGATCCTTCCTAGTTCCTTTTATTCTTTAGGTCATTATGCTTCACAAAATTTAATTATTTTGTTTGTGCTTCACTATATATTCAAATTTATGGCTTAAATGTAATATAATATTAACAATTTTTTCACGCTCTCAATATTGAATTCTTCTAAATCAGACGCTTTCGCGCTCTCGCTCTCGGATCTGGTTACCTAAGATACAAGTGAGTCGTGGTTCTAGTTGCAATGGACAATGATGATATTGAAGTTGGGGTGTAATTATCCGATGAAGGGCTTGAGATACAGTCAGTAACCACTAGTTACTGACTTGTCAGTAATAAATCGGGGTCGTAGATATAGGAGGGCAGCTCATCGTGCGGTTTGGCTGGACGCGGGGAAGGGGAGGGGTACTTTTGTCCATTTTTTAATTTGTTTAAATTTATCCAGCATTTAAAAGTTGCCTTTTCAATGAAGGAGAGAAAAATAGTATTTTCTCTGCAACTCTTCTTTCTCTTTCTCTCTTCCTTCTCTCTTCCTTATCTTCTTCTCCTGATCTAGATTTGCTCCCTTATCTTCTTCTTCATTTTTTTTAGCAATCGACGAAGAAAAATTGAAACCTCCCTCATTTCTTCTCTTCATCAAATCGTTGACCTCAATTCTGATCTTTCTCCTTTTTTTTGGCATTTTGGTGTTCTTGATTGCAGAGGAGGAAATAAGAGGAGATAGAAGACGAGCTTTTTTTCTCCATCCTTTTTTTTTTCTTTTAGGTAATATATATTGATATGCCATACTATACCATATAGTATTGGGTGATAACGAAATATATATTGGTATTACCACACTATACCATATGGTATTGGGTGGTAACGAAATATATATTGATATTACCACACTATACCATATGGTATTGGCTATTGGGTGGTAATGAAATATATATTGATGTGACAAATTCATACCATATGGTATGCTCTTATTTAATACCAGTCAATACCATATGGTACAGTCAATACCATATGGTATAGACTGGTAATAACTGGAAACAAATTTTGTGTCAAAAAAATATCAAAGTGGAGATCATTTTGAAGAGCACAATTAATCTGATCTAACTGTGCAAAAAAAAATTAAATTCCGACTTAAAACAAGTGAGAAATCGTCTGTTAAAGATTAAGGGAAGGAAAATTGAAGGTTTTTCGAGGAGAGAGAAGGAGGTGCTGATGTGGTCCGGTCAAACGTTAGTGTCAACAATAAATAAGGGTAAGTGCAATTTTAGCTTACTGCCCTTTCGCATTTAATTTAAATAAAAAGTGACTGAGACGTGGGGACAAGAGAAGGGGGTTACTGATGGGTTACTGACCCGATCTGCTCCCCCGATGAAGAGGAGCGGATCCAGTGCACAACTTGTGGTGAGTAACCATGCATAACCCAATCACCATCCGCCACATCAGCACCCCTTCTTTCTCCTGAAAAAGCCTTTAATTTTCCCCCTTAATCTTTAACGGACGATTTATCACTTGTTTTAAGTCGAAATTTAAATTTATTTGCACAGTTAGATCAGATTAATTATGCTCTTCAAAATTATATCCACTTTGATATATTTTTTGAACAAAAAAATTGAGTCATTTTTTACCAGTCTATACCATATGGTATTGACTGGTATTGAAATAAGAGCATACCTATGGTGTTAAAAGCGTATCATGGTGGTATGAACATACCAAGACTGTAGGATGTTTGAATACATGATAGTAGAAGTATATTAACTGTCATTTACGACTTTCAACATTGTGTACCACAAGATACCACCTTGTACCAGGGTGGTATTGTATGGTATTGTGTGGTATTTTTTGGTCATGTATTTTGTTCATCCAGAAATTTGTAGATCCAATAGATCATGATGAACTCGTTCCTTCTGTGCAAAAGTTTTCAAAAACGAAGAAGATACCATATGGTAGGCAGTTGGTAATGAGAGGCAAGAAATTTTATTTTTCTAAAAAATATTGAAAATAGAACTCATTTTGTAGAGCACAAGGAACTCGTTCCATCTGTGCAAAAAAATTTGAAATCCGAGTTAAAACGAAGAAGATATGAGCCGATTAAGAAAGTTAGAAAAAATAAAAAAATGCCTTTAATTCATCCTTAGATCTGAATTTTTTGAATGAAGAGTCCAGATCAAGCTAATGATAGATGCATAACCATGGTTATGCACTCTATCTTGAGCCCCGATGAAGAGTAGCAGCAGCTCAATGGACAATATTATTATTTTTCTAATTAATCGTTAAATCACATATGTGCTAATTATTAAGTTCCTACCAACCAATAGAAATGATTTAAGATAATTCTTAAGTTTTAGATTTAAAGACCTGAATCCAACCCCAATATATTTTATGCCTCATGCTAATATATTGCATAGCCACTCAAGAATCAAGGTCCAACAAAAAGATAAAACTCTTACTTTGTACTGCATTGATGATTTATAAGATGATTAATAATCTTATAAGGACTAGGTAATTATAACAATCAAAGTTATTTAACCCGAGCCTGGATCTTGACTTTTGAATCCAAAGCACTAAATCTTTCATAAGCACGGATGTAAGTAAAAAGAGGGAGTATGATCCTCTAGCGAGAGGCGAGACCATGCCACGAGAAGCATATATATATAATAAACAAATTTCTTGTTCGTGTCTCGATAAGTTTCGTGTGGCCGGAGGATTTATACTTTAATGGTGAGATAAGAAGCTTCACTCACTCAGGAAAACAAATGAATCCCATAAACATTGCAGTACTCATTATCACAGGCAAACCATAGCATCCATTCAACAAAACAAAAACAAAAACATAGCGTCATACATTGTTATTTATTCGTTAGAAGAAAAAAAAATATAGCGTCATACATTTGTTGTTTATTCGTACACAAGTAAGTCCGAGAAGAGAAACAAGTAGAATCTGACTATGACCATACCATACATAATCAGTCACCCTATATATATATATATATTTTTTTTTTTATAAGGATGATATAGGTAATACCTTAATACGTTGATATAGTAATTCCATCGACATCTCAAACACAAATTGAAGATAGATTGATTGTATAAGGTCGTCGTCATGTCGGCGGCTGGATGCTATCCTTGTCGGCGTACGGTGAGCAAATCCTTGTCCAGTAGTGGGGTACCAAATACAATATGACGGCGGCGGTGGCGGTGGCGGTGCATCGTCTGACATGCATCGACGACCAATATTAGAGATCTATATTAATTAAGTTAATATTCCAGATCGATCGAGTAGTAGTTTCAAACCTTGAGCTGGAAGAAGGGCAGTACTGCCCATAATATTTCCTTTGTGATCCATTGACGTCGCCGGAGCCTGGGGAAGCCGGCGGCCGTTGGCCGTCGGAGAAACGACCAGTAAGCTCCAGCAGAGCACAGCAGCAGTGAACATGATTACCAACCGTTGGCTGCTTCCCATATCAACGATGATGGATTGATAATTAATTGTTTACCTTCTACTGATCATATATATCCGCCTTAATTAGCTATTTATAGCTAACAATCTGCATAGTAATTAGTATGACGAGCTGAGTTTGTGAAACTCTAATATCTTTGTTAATCGCCCCCAATTTAGTTTTACTATATGTTTTTTTGCTTCCTAAATGGTGCTTTCTGGCATTCCCATAAATTATATCATCTCCATCTATCTATCGATCTTCACGTACAAATATTATTAATGTTGTCCATTTTAAATTTTCTGCGATGGGAATTTTTTTGTAGATATATCCTTTTTGATATTTGCATCTTTCTTCTTAATTATTACCAAATCGAACCGGTCGGCTCGAATTTCAAGAATTATCGGATTTTTATGTCTTACCGATCTCCCCTCTAGAGATATCTTTTGTTAACCGGAACTTCATGCCGGTCAAAAAGGAATCGACAAGGAATAATATATGTAGTCTAACTGGTCAGAATACTCTCTCGCTTCACTTGCGCAATCTGAGTTTGAATCCTAATAATAGTGGGTTTGAATATATATATAAAGAAAAATTTAACCACAAACTATATGTTTGGTCGGGATAGTTTCAATGGTGAATCGCCCAAACAAGTCATGATCCATCCAACTAGTTATGGCTCATTTTAAGGGTGTCAAAATTGGATTTGTAACTTGGACTCGAATTTTCCGGTCGAGCCGGTCGATTGGTTTTGATAATAATAGTGGGGAAAAAATTTCATTATCAAAAGGCTGTGTGTAGAATTGTTCACTGTCCACGAAATTTAAAATGACGACTTGAACAATATGTGCATTGCAGATAGATGGAGTCATGGAAGATAGGCATATAAAATTTGATGGATATGCTAGAGAGCTAATTAGTGCGGCTAAATGCTCTTTCCCCGGGCGCAGACAACTAAGCTAGGAAGAAAAAGAACAGCTAGTAAAACCTAAATTGGGCATTAACAAGAAATTAGAGTTTAAGAAACTCTGGTCGTCATTAATATGCAAATGGTTGGCTATAGTACTTGTCTGGCCTCATGGATGGATCATCGACCTTTCCTATATCTCTTCCTTTCTCTCTCGACCTTTACTACGTTTTACAATGGTATTGCCCAAATTCATCGACTGTTGAGATCTCGATGAATCAGGCCACGTCAGCGCCATGTGGCCCAATCAGAAACGGCGTCACCGGTGCCGCACTTTTTAGTGCGGCACTGTAGTATTGGCCCTCGATGAAATACATCGGGCCTAAATAGGAACAACAAGTCCAATGAAGGAAGAAACAAAGGAGTTAAGGAAGTAAGGAAAGCCAAAACAAGCCCACAAAAGAAACAAAAACTATTACAGCCCAATACTTAAACAAAACCCTTCCACAACAAACAACCCTAAAATCCCTAGCACACCCAAAAGAAGCCACCGCTGAATATAATCCAATCTTTCCTTAATTAATTGCTATTCCTTACTACTTTATGTGCTTCTGGACTTGTTTCCCTCCTCTGGCTTACCTATTTTTGAGTAGATCCAGCTGAAGTGTATAACTCTTTGATTATGCAATTAACTTATATATTTTTCGGTCAGGAAACGCTAGTGTTTGACATAAATGATTTACACATTGACTTTTTGAACAATGATTCTAAATGCGATTTATACCTTTTCGAACAATGTTTGAACGAGAGTATTTGAAGTTTTTTTTTAATAATTTTTTTGAGAAAAAGCTATGTTAAATTACTCTACTTCTGTGGAGGTTCAGTCATGAGAGCTCCATAAACTAAAAGCTATGGATAATTTACCGAGAAAAGATAAAGTTTGATATTGTGTGTCAAATGTTTGGTTGTGAATCCCCTTTTTCAGTTTTCTCGTAGTGATTGAAGTCCAACAACGTGCATTTATGGTGTCGATTGTGTTCTGGCTGAGTGCTGAATTGCCGAGTTTGATTAATGCTGAATGTAAAGTAATTTGCCATAGTAATACTGTTGCTGGAAATTGGAAAATCTAGGGTTTACATATATTTTATAATGGTCATGACCCTAGTCATGAGATAAAGAAACTTCACTCACTCAGGAAAGCAAATGAATCCCAGTACATATTGCAGTCATTATCTTCCCAGGCAAAACACATCGTACATTGTTGTTTATTCAATTATGACCATAACAGACATATATAATCACTCACACTACTTGGGTCCAATTATTTCATCGAGATCTCAACAGTGACAAGTAGACACTGTTGCTGCTGTCGTCGATCGATATCATGTTGGCGGCTGGATGCTGGTAACCTTGTCGGCGGCCGGTGGTTCATCTGAGCAAAACAATTCTCCGATATTGGGGTTCCAATAACAATATTCTTGCGCTTCAACATCTGACATCATGCATCAACCAAAATAAACCCATTTTAGAGATCTATATATTAATTAGGGTAAATGCCACATTTAGTCACTGAGATTATTAAATCATGTCATGTTTGGTCACTAAAAAAGTTTAATATCAATTTTGATCACTCGCATTACTGAAACATAACGGAGTTGGACGGAAACTAACGGGAGAGTGATCGACTAAATGTGACATGTTTCAGTAATTCGAGTGACACTCATAAAAAAAAAGGTAATTCGAGTGACCGGAGTTGGACGGATGCCAGCGGCAGAGTGACTAAACGTGACCGGCCATTTTAATAATTCGAGTGATCAAAATTGATATTAATTTTTTCTAGTGACTAAATTAACACGATTTAGTAATCCCAGTAACCAAATGTGGCATTTACCAATATTAATTAAGTTAAATCATGCATCCAGATCGAACAAGCATGAAAGAAGAGTACTAGCTACTACTATTTTCAGACCTTGAGGAAGAAGGGTTGATGGGGCAATGGCCATAGTTCTTCCTTTGCGATCCTCCATTGATGACGTCGGAGAAGCGACCAGTAAGCTCCAAAAGAGGACAGCAGCGGTGAACGTGATTACCAACCGTTTGCAGCCGCTGCTTCCCATCTCAACGATGGATGATAATTTGATATTATCGTGGTATATATGATAATGACTGGTATACTCCAGGAGTATAGTATATTTCAGGTTCTACGGTGACGATGCTTAATTGATTAATTGTTTACCTTCCATTGAGTTTGTGAAACTAGCTAAGCTATTTATAGCTAACAATTTGCATGATATGACGACCAGAGTTTGTGAAACTCTTAATTTCTTGTTAATTGCCGAATATGGTTTTACTACGTTTCTTTTTTCCCCCTTCTTCCTAGCTTAGGTATCTGCGTCAGGAGAAGAGCGCATCTTGCCGCACGAAATGGACCTTTTCTGGCATTTCCATCAATTATTTATCATCTCCATCTATCTATGTCCAATATATATGATTAGTTATAGGGTTATGGTTGATATTAACTCGGGTTAAATGGTTTATCGGTCCTTGTTTAGTACCGGAACATTTTTAGTGGTGGAATCATAATCCAACACGGATTATGTAATGACCAACCGATCGATCATTTCATTGGAGCAGTTGACATTAATTTTCTTTTATAGTAGTGGTGGAATCTTGTAGTAATGAGTTAAGCGTGACATCTGGTTGACCATTTTTCTGAAGATGTCAAACATTTTTTTCCCCCTGAGTCATGGTGACTTGGAAGTTACCATAGCTAGCAAACTCCTTAATCTAATTATTCACATAAAACTTAATTAGTATAATTTTTCATGAACATGAAAAAGAAGAGGAGGTCAAAATTCGAAAGAAGTTGCTATTTGCCATGATTAAAAGGGTAATGATAATAGAGTAAACCACATATACAATCTAATATTTAATTTTCAATCAATTTTACTTGAGTTTTATTTCAAAATTAGCCTCCTTTTAAATTTCATAGAATTATTTATTAACCTCTTGAGCTAAAGAAAAATATAGAAATATGAAAGTACAAATACCAAATTGCAACATTTTTCTACTTGGTTATAGTACTCTCTCTTCGCTTGAGCAACCTAGGTTTTGAATCATAGTAATAGGGTTTTCTATTCGGATAGTTTCAATCATGAATCGTCCAAACCGCTCATATGATCGATCCAGCCAGTTTGTAGCTCATTTTAAAACTGTCCAAATTAGATTTGTTTCTTGGACTAGGATTTTTCAGCCGACCGATTCCATTCAATAATAATGCAAAAAATTCAATTATCAAAAGGGTCTTTCTAGAATCGGTCACATGCCAAGAAATTTTAAGACAATTTTAATGATATTGTGTATATGTAGATAGATGGATGGATATGCCCGAAAGCTAATTAGTGCGGCTAAATGCTCTTTCCAGGGCGCAGACACCTAAGCTAGGAAGAAAAGAACAGATAGTAAAACCTAAATTGGGCATTAACAAGAAATTAGAGTTTAAGAAACTCTGGTCGTCATTAATATGCAAATTGTTGGCTATAGTACTTGTCTGGCCTCATGGATGGATCATCGACCTTTACATTTTACAATGGTATTGCCCAAATTCATCGACTGTTGAGATCTCGATGAAATACATTGGCCTAAGTAGTAAGTAGGAACAACAAGCCCAATGAAGGAAGAAACAAAGGAGTTAAGGAAGTAAGGAAAGCCAAAACAAGCCCACAAAAGAAACAAAAACTATTACAGCCCAATACTTAAACAAAACCCTTCCACAACAAACAACCCTAAAATCCCTAGCACACCCAAAAGAAGCCACCGCTGAATAATAATCCAATCTTTCCTTAATTGCTATTCCTTACTACTTTATGTGCTTCTGGACTTCTTTCCCTCCTCTGGCTAGGGGTGGGCATCCGGTTCGGTAAACCCGAACCGGACCGAACCGAAACCGAAGTCAACCGAACCGAAACCGATGTATTCTTATTCGGTTCGGAAATCGGAAGCCAAAACTCAAGAGTTCGGAAACCAGGATCTTCTCAACCGAAACCGATTTCCGATTTCCGAACCGACCAACCGAACAAACACTCACAGTGTACAACTCCAAGCCCTGAGCCCACACAAATCCGAGCCCACACAAATCCAAGCCCACACAACTATTTTTCCATTTCTCTTAGGAAACCCTAGCCCACCCAAACCTCATTCTCACAACAATCACCAGTAGAAAGTGAAGGC